GGCTGCGGCCCCGGCTTCCGCTCCACGCGCCGGAGCATCACGGGATCACGGGTTTGGGTCGGCTCAAGCCTCGCCTATGAAGTCGCCAACTTCCCCCGTCCAACCCCATTCAAGCTCCATCCAACCTCACCTTGGCCCCCCGGCTTCTCCATCGTTCATACTCCACGCTGGGACCTGCCCCGGCTTCTCAGCCTCCTCAGCCCTCGTGCCCCCCTCAAGATCCCACTCGCCCGGCCTCACCCGCCCCCCGGCCGCGCATCGGGATCCCCAGGAACCCAGCTGCCAGTCCTTGCCCAACGTCAGCCCTTTCCAGCACCTTGGAGGCCGTCTCGGCTCTTAGCCTCCCCCTCCTTCGTCATCGTCCCGCGGCATCCATCATGCACCATCATGCCAATTGACCATTGACCGTCATGAATCCAGGACCCCGGCTAACGGCCACGCCTCTCCGGGGGCCCGCATGCTCGTCGTCGCATGTCCGTCGCAGATGCCACTCCTTCAAGGTGCCGCCCGCCGTCCATCCAACGTGGCTCTCCCCGGCCCCAAACCAATGGCCACAACGTCGCAGCCGTCCGTCTGGTGTCATGCATTCATGTCTCTTCAGTGGGCTCTCGAGTTCTCGACGCGAAACGGGCTCCACAAGCCATCATGGCGTCGCGTCTCCAGAACGGTCCATCTCCATGTACACACATGCACTTGGTTGGCCGAGCACCCACATGCTAACAAGAAGAGCCGGTTGGTGTCCATCTTTGGAACATGTTGGAAGCCCGTTGCACCTTTTTAACCTGGAACTTGCCCGTCGCCCCAGCCCAGCTGTCTCGCGGCAAATCAGACAGGCGCCTGGTGCACCAAAGTGCCTGCTTCGCCCGCACTAACACGGCATATCGATATTCAGTGCCTCGGCTGACCTCTCGTGGCAATCTTGTTCATTCAAAAGCCTTGACCCGCGATCTCCATTCCCGGCCCTCCTCCACAACTCGGAACTCGACCGCGTCTTCTGGGAAGTATCCGGCATCCTGCCACGCCTTCATCGTAGCTCCGTCGTACGGTCCTTGACTGGCGCCTCCGTCTCGTCCATCTACCCATCGGAACTCCCACATCGTCCCCGGCTTCACCGCCGTCTCCTGCCCCTCCCCCTCCCCCTCCTGATCCCGGTCAGCCTCTACTGCTTCCGGCTCCACCCAATCCTCGCCAGTCTCTCTGCGATATTCTCGTATGAGGAGCTCCCGTTCCTGATCGTAAATCTCCTCGTGGTCCCGGCTTAGCAGCTTGTCTGCAGCATCCGTGATGGCATTGATTGATGCCTTTATCCGCTGCTGCTCTGCATCTTGGCTGTCAGCACCGCCGTCCACGTCCATGCCTTCAGCGCCCTTGTTCATCTTCTTGAGCTTCCACTTTGGAATCTTCTTGGGCTTTGTTTGCTTCTTGCCAAGTCTGGCCAGTGCCTCGAGTGGCGTTTCTGTTCGATCCAGGTTGAGAATCAGAGTCTTGAGGAGGTCTGACACGAGAACCTCATCTTCGTCCAGACGTCTTTTTCGGGCTTCGGCCTCCCGCTTCTCATGGGCTGCCGCAGCCTTCTTCATCTCCTTCTTGCTAAGACCCTCGAGCCAGCTGTCATGAACGGCGTCGGGGTCGCCGCCTTTGCGGACGTAGTTGCCGTCTTGATCAAACTGACCCTCTTCCATCTCTTGCTTTAGGTTGAACGCCTCGACCTTGGGAGCATTTTTCTTGAGCCCTCCTGCGCCAACCTCTTCGTCGACGCCCTCCTCCTGGATAGCCAGATCCACGTCTTCCTCGTCGTCGCTACTTGCTTCGTTGTCGATCCGAATCTGGTCCTTGTCCCTGCTTGCTTGTTCTTGGCCGAGGATTTGATCATCGTCGAGGAAACGGACCTTGTTCTTCTTGCGACCGTTCTTGTCAAAGTCGCCGTCCTCGGGAGCTTCCTTTGGTTCATCGTCGTCGGCAGCAAACATATCATCGTCATCGTCGTCACCGGCAGCAGCACCCGGAGCTGGGCCGGAACTGGTGGCATCGTAGTTGTCAAGCTGCTCTAGAATATTGACATTGCCTCGTTTGCGACTCTCAGCTCGGGCGTTAAAGGTTTCATTGTCCGAGTCACTGTCATAACCGTCGAGGTTGACAGCACCTCGCTTCGTAGCAGCAGAGCCACCAATGACATCGGCATCGAGGATCGCGTCGTCTTCGCGGGCATCGGGAGCCAGAGTCGAGGGGTTTCGGACGTCAAACTTGACCCGTTTGGAGTCGGAGCCATCTTCGTTGTGATGAGTTCGCGCAAAGTTCTCGCCGTCGCGCTTTGGTCGCGCAGCTGAGTAGCGTGACGCCATTGTCGCTGTGGGAGAGACGGTATGTGAATAAGCTGCTTCCTGGAAATGCGAATGTGGCAGGGAAAGAAAATGGATGATTCGGGGCGAAGGCGCAAAGTGAATGTGATAAAGTTGGAAAGCTTGAAGGAGCTTGGACGTTGTCGCCTGTAGGCTCTGGTGGGTAACAAACGCGCTATGCTGGTTGGAGCAGTGACAGCCATCCAACCTGCCAGCTACAGGGTGGGGATTCTATAATGTCGACAAAGAAACGAGATCAGAAACACAGAGGCTTCCAGGTCCGATGTTCTGTATTTGTCACTTTATTGGATTATCCCCTACAAGCCATGATCTTCTCATTTCTTTTTGTACTCTTTGAGCCGAAATATTTGCAATCAATGTGGTACATGGTTGGAATGTCCATTGCCTCATTGCAACTTAGGCCTGTTCCCATTTTCACAGTACCTCTTTACAATGCAGAAGACAGCCTAGAAATCTGCGTCACCTGCATGGGTGACATTAATAACTGGGCATGGAAATAGTGAAACCCCCATAAAGACGCTGGCTTATTTCTGCAACCAATTACCAGCGTGTATCCTTTTTTTGTCAGCCTGCCGCAACTGCGTCATCCAAGAGCTGCCTCTGCCGTTTCGGTAGCCTCCACCCCCCCACGCGGCAGGAGCCTGTGCCTGTGCCTACCGTGAGTGATGGTGGTCCTTGAGACACCTCCAGCTGCGACCACCATCAAGAAGCTCTTTCTTACTTAACCTTGAATCCCACAACCCAACGCAACCACAGACCGACACTCTCCCTTCACCTTTGCTGGTCCAGAGAGAGTAACCGTCCGATATATTCGAGCCTGGCACACTCTCGATCGATCCTGCTTTGACCGCTCCCGCATACCTCGAACCTGGCCCCGCCACATCACCAAACCATCGGTCCACGAGCAAGAAGCCGTCGCCATGGTATGCCTCTCAGACTTCCCGTATCGGTACTGAATAGCTTCTAACAAGACCACAGTACTCAGGCCTTGGCCGCGGGTATGATCCCGCTAATCCGGATCACCTCTACAACATGGCTCGCCATGGACGACGTCCCATCGTGCAACGCTTCGACGAATACTATCGATGCTATCCTCTCATCATGGCTCCCGGAGCCGAACGACCGGAGCTCAACTATGGATCCAAGATCATCCTCCCTCCCTCGGCCCTTGACAAGGTGTCCAAGCTCCACGTTCAGTGGCCGCTGCTGATGGAGCTGATCAACGGCGAGAAGGGAAAGCACTCGCATGCGGGTGTGTTGGAGTTTATCGCAGAGGAGGGTCGAGCATACATTCCGCAATGGGTACTATTCTCCTTCGCATGCTTTCCGGAGAGAGCTGGAAACTGACCTGGTACAGATGATGGAAACACTGGGCATGGACGTTGGTGATATGATTCAGATCCGGACCACATCCCTGGAACTGGCCAAGATGGTCAAGCTGCAGCCGCAGTCTGTTAGCTTTCTTGAGATCAGCGACCCCAAGGCTGTTCTGGAGAAGGCCTTCCGCAACTTTGCTACCCTAACAAAGGGCGATGTTTTCAACTTTTCATACAACGACGAAGTGTACGAGGTCGCTGTCCTCGACGTGAAGCCCGAGACGGACAAGATGGGTGTCAGTATGATCGAGACAGACGTGTCGGTAGAGTTTGCTCCTCCTGTCGGATACGTCGAGCCCGAGCGCCAGAGTGGCACAAGCACCCCGAGGAGCACAAGCACCCCGAGGAGCACACGAGGCGGCGGCGTTCCTGCTGGAGGCCTGTTACACAGCCAGGGCACCATGGCCCAAGCCATCAACTACAGCGCCATGGCCCCATCAGTAACCAGCAACATCACCAACTTCCTGGGAGAGGGTCAGAAGTTGGCCAAGAAAGGCAGCAAGAATCCGACCCCTAAGCCGGCGACTCCTGTGCCTGCTTCAGTAGACATTCCGGGACTGCCCAAGCGACGCGATGGCGCCCCGGCAGCTCTCCGTCTGCCACCCAACAAGCTTTTCTTTGGATATGAGATTAAGCCGGTCAAGACGGAAGCAGACAAGGAGCAAGAGAAGGAGAATGCCAACAGGCCTCACTTTGCCGGCCAGGGCCAGACCCTCCGAGGCGCAGTTAAGAGAAAGGGCGAAGGAGATGACAAGTCCAAGGCGCCTGAAAAGAAGGGCACAAGTGAGGGGAACCGACTTGATGGTCGACGACCCAGATAACCTGACACTTTCGGTATTTTGAGCGGCGTTTTGGAGGGTATCGGACACGGCTGTCATCTTTGGGATGGGGACTTGTGTATGTAGCTTCAAGGATCCTGGCCGGAAGTTTACGAATTCCGCGACAATATGAATGACGGAGATTGGCATTTGATATTTGGGTAATGGTGAGACAATGTTGGTGGTGGTTGACATATTGGCAGCAGACGGACGTCTGTCTCGTCACTCGTGGCTCACTACTTTAACTTATAGGAGACACGATGATACAGCACACACGAAAGAACAATCATGAATCGTTTTCCATTTAATAGAGGCCTTAAGTATCTTCCTGCCCAGCCCTTTCAAGGCTACAATTTTGCTGAAATCCCCAAAGTCATGACCCCTCAAATACACAAACCAGCTGGCTCAATGACGAGCTAGAAATGCCTGTACCTCGCAGTGAGAGCCTAGGCCTCCTCCTGCTTGCCAGCCTCAAGCCAAGCCTCGAATCTGGCCTCATGGCTGGCGGCAGTGGCACTGTCTCAAGTTAGTCTCTGGTGGTACTGCACAGAAGAAAGGCGAAAACATACCTGCGCTCACGCTTGCGGTCACCAAGGTCATCGGGCTTGACGTCCTTCTCGTCCTCTTGCATCCGCTTCACCTTCTTGGCGAGGGGAGAGTCGGCGAAGGGGTCGTTGGTCTCGTCGTCGTCGTCCTCCTCGGAGGCGGCCTTTCTCTTGCGGCCCTTGGCGGGAGTTGCGCGCTTTCGGGTCGCCTTCTTGGGGACAGAGGTAGGAGTGGAAGCACTACCGTTGTTGGCGTCGCCGTGGCGGGCCTTGAAGTCGCGCATAATGGACTTGCTAAAGTGCTGGCTATCGCAACAGATGGTTAGTACGGACCTTGTTGTTGTGATGGGGGTTTGAAAGAGGCGGGGAGGAGGAAGAGAGAAGATGAAAGAGACTTACGAGATGGCATCCTTGGTGAAGGAGTAGCCAAGTGCTTCCATGGCGCTGTGAACCTTGGGCCAGTTGTAGCGCATGCGATCACCATCCTGGGCGCCCATGATGACGGCGACGCAGAGGTCGCGCTCAGCGTTGGCGTCCCACTTCTTCTCGGCGGGAGGCATGATGAAGAGGGAGGGAGTTGATGTTGTTTGTTGGTGGAGAGAGAGTTGTGTGAGGTGAGAGGTAAAGGACGAATAGTGTTGGTGAAGAGGAGGAGGGAAGGTTTTAAAGAAGAATGTGAGGATTTTAGAGGAGAGTGAGATGGAAGAGAGGGAGAGTAGAAGTCAAAGGATGTGAGGATAATTGGTGAATGAGGTAAATGGGAAGAGAGCTCGGCTGCCTATTGTCAGTGACAGTTATGGCAGTATACTCGCTATTAGTGCCAATTCTGTCAAGCCTGATATTTGAACACCAGCTTGATTATTTGGGAATGATCCAAAACTGTTTTATTGGAGAACCATATACTCAATAAATACCCGTTGTGATATTTCAAGTGATAACATAGCCAGGGTCAAGGAATGGTTCCGATTTGGAGAAAAGGGTTCCAGGCAGAGTGATATCACCTCTCACCTCACCATTGTGGGTGCATCTGGTTCTCATTATGGATGTTAAATGTCCATTGTCGAATCCACTCAATTTCAACGTGTGCTCATATATGCTCTGAATGAGTGACAGGAGTTTCTACGCAGTCTACAACAGATTTGGCGCCCATCTCGTGGGAATTAGAATACCCCTTTTCCAGTCTTGGGGAATCAAGTACAGGGCTCTCATCCAAGATAACAGCCCTACGCCGAGTCAGACATCACAAATTGCAAGTTCATCCATGGTTGTCTTTCGTGTCATCAATTCGTGATAGTAATCTCGTAATATCGCCTCATATGGCAATCCTGTCATTACATCCAGAGGCGTATGCCTGTGCCATCATCATGTTTTCTCGTGCTTTCGTTCATAGGCCTAGAAGCCTGCCATCCATCCATCCATAAAAAGAATATACTCAAGGGTGAGGCGTGTCCTGTGAAGTCCCTGCTGATCCGAGGATGATGAGGGAGACAAAGACCCAAGCAAGAGTCTTGGATTGTTCCATGTGTCTCTCTCCACTACCAATCTGCGAGGAAGTCAGTGGTGGTGTATTTCGAGAAGAGGAGGAGTAAACTTACATGATAGCGACACAAGGAAGAGAATTAGATCTCTCCTTCGATCTCTGCCTCGGGCTCTTCCTCCTTAGGCTCAGGCCTGCCAGGTGGTCAGCAAGTAGACAAAAGATGAAGCGGACACCTGTCCAAACTTACTTGGGAGTTCTCTTGGCGCGCTTCATGGGAGAAGGAGAGACGAGTTCATCACCTCCATCGTCGTCATTCTCCTGCTTGAGCTTCATCTTTTCGTCCTCGGCGTCGTCCTCCTCGACAGCCGTGGTCTTGGCGTTCTTGCGCTTGCGGGGAGTGGCAGTGGCCTTCTTGCGAGGGGTGCCCGTGGCCGAGCCGGCGCCGGCAGCCTGGATGGCAGTGAGGGCGTTGCTGGCGTTGGTGTCGCGGGTCTTGCGAAGCTTCTGGACGTGCTGGCTGTTGACATGTTAGCTTGGTGTCGGAGAGAGGTGTGCTTGGCGACAAGAGAAACAGGGTGCGGTACTTGATGGCATCAAAGGAGTACGTGTAGCCCTTCTCGCGCATCCGCTCGGAAACACTGGTGAGGATGGCTCGAGAGGGCTTGATCTCCTCCAGCAAGGTCAAGAGGAGGTCCTCGTGGGAGTTGGCATCCCAACCGCGCGATGGCTTTCCAGACATGACGATGATTGATGAAGAGGGAGCAGGGTTGGGATGATAGTGGAGGTGGTTGATGAGAGAGGAATGAGAGATGAGTTGTGGTGGAGGAAGAGATGTGGGAAGTGAAGATTGGAGGTCAAGTTTGGAAGAGGGGTGGTTGGTGGGAAAGGTGAATGTGAATAGAGTGAGAGGAAGTAGAGCAAGGAAAAAAAGGTAGACAGCAAAACATGGAGGAGCAAAAGAAACTGCACAGAAACCAAGCCAATTCATACCGAAGAGCACTTTCAGTAAATGTATACCCCAGCTTCTGCAACTCGGCCATGACACTGGTCCACTCCTCGTTGTTCAGCTTGAGGTGCTGAAACATGCAGATGAGAATGTCCTCATGGACGTTGGCATCCCACTGCATGGTCTGACGCTTGGCCATTGTGTATATCGACAAAGAGTAGATGCGTTTGGGAGGGTAACAAGAGGTGGTGGTGAGGAGGGAAAGTGGTGCAGCCCAGGGTTGATGGAGAATGTATGAGGAGATGAGATGCATGAGATGAGAGAGGAGAAGACTTGTCACCTCCTCAGGTCCTGAGATTTAGGCACCCAAGTCCAAGTGCAGCTCGAAGCTCTGTGAATCATGCGGAGGGGAATGTGCACTCGAATTGGAGGGAAATGTGTTCAGCCTCGAGTTACTGCTGAGAGCGAGTGTTTGCCCCGACCAAGCAGCAATCTCGACAGCCAACTCGGCGCTCAAGTTTGAAATCCAGAGAAAGAAAAAAGTGATCACCTACCGAACTGCGTCAAAAGAAGTCTTCCAGCCGCGCTCCTTGAGATAAGCCTCGACGGCTTCCTTGACGGGCACGGGGAGCGCCTTGTTGGCCTGCGCAGCCGTGAAGAGCGCGATCCCGAGATCCATCGGGAACTCGGGGCTATCCCAGTCACTGGTGTTGGGCATCTTGGTCTTTGTTGTGAGGGTTGTTTTTGGTGTGTTGGGAGGCGGTGTTGTGAGTTGAGGAGGTTGTTGCAAAGTGAGGATGTGAGGGAGAAGAGGAACAAGTCTAGGCTGCCCCTCGAGGTCAGAATTTATACCCAGAAGGGCCAAGGCCTGGTGAATCAACCTAGCACATGTTTAGGATACCTTCCTACCAGTCACAATCATCAACGTCACTGGCAAAGCCAACTCGTTCGTTCGTTGAACCCATGATAGCTGCCATAGGTAATCTACACCTCCCAGCAACTTCACCGCTCCTAGCAAAGTAGACAGGCATGTATGTAACCGTACATGTATCCGCCATCAAACTCCAAACAATCGAGGCTCGTTCCATGTATGTAGTAGTAGTACCCTGCGACGTCGTGTGCGCCGCGCAAAAAGACCCAGTTCCCGCTTAAACCTATTGATTCCTGACAACAAGAGACCAAGTTCGAGCAACTCCCGATTTCTACCGATTTCTAACGCCTGTGCCCATGGTATCACTGTTGCAAATTGCTAGCTTTCATGCCTCTCCGTACGTAGCGAAACTGCAAAGGTTAGCATCTTGAACCACGAAGAGACTGGCAGGGACTTACTCAGAAGGGAATGGGTCACCAGGGCCGCTGTGAGCTGCAAGCGCCAGAACAGCCTCATCGTCCATCACCTCCTTGGACGGATCTGGTGAGACTAGTCGTGGTCGCTTGGCAGCAGGTTCGTCAAGGTCGGCATCAGCATCAGCATCGCCATCGGCATCCACGTCGGCGACAGGATCCACCACGTCGGCATCAGCATCAGCGTCAACATCTTCGTTCACTTCCTCAAGGTGTTCCGACGGTCCCACAGATTCTGAAGGCGGCTGATGATTGGGTTCCACAGTTGGAGGTTGAGAGGTTGAACTTGTGTTGGTGCCTTCTCTGAGATCTCGGGGAGGTTCTTGTCGGGGCTCCTGATTTTGCGCTCCATGCTGAAGAGGGTGTAGATGTGGGGGATTTTGGGGAAGCTCAGGGGCACGCGGCGGGCTGGGAAATGTCGCATGAGATACCAACTGATCAGTGGGAGGTGCAGCAGATGGTCCAGCAGTAACGGGAGCAGGAGGACCAGGCACAGTAGCCGCAGTAGGAGCTGGAGCCGGAGCCGGAGCCGGAATAGGACCGGGAACAGCTGCCGTGGTTGGCATTGGCTGAGGGAGTATGGCTTGACCAGGAGCAACACCATAGGCTTGGACGGGCTGAGCGTGAGGTCCTGGAGCAACAAGGCCCATGGCTTGGTTGGGAATACCCTCCCCAGGGACACCAGCGACGGGGACAGGAGGCTGCTTCCTAGGTCGACCTCGACCGGGACCTGGACGACGAGTAATCGGGTTCATAGTCGGATCAACCTTGCGTGAGTTCTCGTTGAGACCACCATTGGACTCTGCCTTGTTCTGGGCTCGTCGGAGACCTTGGAAATGTTGACTGCACCGGTGTTAGTGGCATGTTTAGCAGTATCATGAAGAACATGTTAAATGAAAGAATGAGATGTCTGGGTTGAGTATCTTGGTTGGCCTCGGTCGATCGACATGTCTCATAGATGAGGCAAGTACATGTACGCCAACAGCGCGTGTAAGGTACCCAGGAGAAGCGCAGCAACACTCATCCATCATAAAGAATCAACACGGAACACGATCAGACGATGAATCATCACGTGTTTCAACCCCAATGACACTTTGATAAGAAGAGATCACGATAACTTACCGACATCCTTCGTTAGTGAAGCCATAACCAAGGCCTCTCATGTGATTGCCAATGGTGGTCCATTCCGCGCCGCTTATGACACCAATGTTCTTGACAGACAGTATAGTAAAGAACAGGTCCTTATCTGCTCTGTCGTTCCAATTCTTGTTGTTCATGACGATGGACAGTAACAGACACCGGGGCAAGCAGGACGGAACACAAAAGTGTGATGGACGACAAGACGACTCGAGGTGGTTAGATGCTGTTAAGGCAACGGCTGGATCAATGGGAAAATTGATAGTGAGAAATTGCTAAGGGAGCCACTGAGGCGGGAGGTTGGGGGACCTTGGAAGGCATGTGGCCCGGGCGTCGCCTTGGCATGGGGTAGTGGCGGAGCGGATCAATGTTATTCCCGAAGGCTGGTGTTGCACGACATTGCTTTTGTAGGGAAAATTGTAAATCCATGAGGGATTGAGACGGTTTACGGTCGACGAGGGTGGTCATCACGACAAGGACTCGTTGAATTGCAATTCGCCAGGACAAAAGTCAAATCTCATCCTGATGACGAGACTCGATGATGCTTCTGTCATTTAGATGATCTGGCTTAACCGAGGGTATACCATGGTTTAGCCGGGCGCACGAGAGGAGGTTACGAGTCAAGGGCGGTCCGAACAGACAAAAACGTTTCAGCGACGGTCTAGACATTCAAGACGGAGAAACGGTTCGGAAACGGATCATTGACGGAGTGGCAACGGTCGACCCCGTCAGCCAGGCGTCAATTCGCGTCAGCTCCTGCAAGGGGGAAAGAAAAAAGGACGCGGGTGGATCCCAAGGAGAAGACAATTTACGAGGTGTCAGGGGCTCACGTGCTTTCGTGGTGACTTGGCGAGGAGCCAGGCAGCACAGTGTCCCACCAGATTCGCGCCCGTCGCGTTTCCCATCCCACTTCATCCCATGCCCTCCAAGATGAAGGCCGTCTCCTCGGGGCACATGCGTGACCATAGATGAGGCCGTTTGCCCTCGAGATGCATTTTTCAAACTGGATTATCCCCTCTGCGAATTTTCCAGACTCTTAGAGCTCGTCTGGCGGTGGAATTGCTGCTCGTCGTGTTGCTCGTCACCGCTTGCGACGCTGGCCGGCAGAGCACCATCCTCCAGCTTTTCCAGGCCACACCCCTCAGCCGAGCGTCAGAAAAGGGCAAAGCAAACCTGGATGGATCGGCTGCATGGCGTAATCATTTCTTTCTCATTCTCAAGGCTGTCTGGGTTTGTCATAGGGGGTGGAGGTCTGTACTCTGTTCAGCTTGCCTTTTTTAAGCTTCCTTGCGATTCAGGCAATTTTGCTCATGCATTGAATGATCAACTCTTTGTTTCCTTGCACACCACAAGCTCCAGCTCAATTCAAATTCCCGAGCCAATTGTAGAATAGATATAGACACCATCGGTAGACTCGAAGCCACGAGGCCCGTCCAAGCTACTGTATCGCCATGGGATAAACCAGGTCGCCCAAACCATGTCCACCCCATATCGTTGCCCCCCCTGCGCTCTTACATGTCGGATGCTTGATGTGCCAAAGATAATTCGTCGGTGGCCCGCGGAATGAGTCACACGTTGTGGTTTCACTCCATTCCAGGCTTTGACATCCCTGTCCAAGCCCGCTTTAGCTTGCCTTTTGTCGATTGAGATCCGGACCAAAAACTTGTCTTCCGTTTGTCGTGGCGCAATTGAGCGATAGGAGTCGGCACAGGTTCCCGGCGGAGCTGACAAGGTTTGTACATGTCGCATATGAGTCGCAATGGAAAAAACTTCATTCATTCCATAATTAAAAAGCCCCCGTAGAGAGCGTGAAGTTTGCTGTCTCAATTGTCGAATCTGTCTCTCACGAACCGAATCTGGATGCAAATTGCTGGGACCTGCGGCGAGCCGCTGTAGGTAGTGGTTGCAGCAGACTTAGCCCCGGCGGCAGGGGACATGGGGGGGGGGGGGGGGCGGTCTTAGACTCTGATTTAGTGGGTTTTAGCGGGGGGTGGGCAACCACTTTACGCGGTGCTCGCGGCCGTCACAGCCCCTCGTCGCGAGCGCCCCCATTTACTTTCCTCCCATCAGCAGCAGCGGAAGGGATCATCTCGAGCCAACAAGGAAAAAAAAGTCGTAGCACCAGGCAACTATGGGGCATCATGACCGCCATCTCAGACATTTTCGGCCCTAGATGGGCTTGCGCATTACAGTGCGATTACACAGGCCCCTCCCATGGATCCCATGTGTGCCTGGATGTGGATGGATCCCCTGGGCTGCCTGCGCTGCGTATTCGCTGTTCCCCCACAGAACAAAGATGGTGGCATCGAAGAGAGCGGGAGTCTTGGTGTACATACATAATGCAAGCATCTGCCGCCCCCTTTCAGCAGAGGCTCTTTCCATTCTGTTCCTCTTCCTCCCTCCTCTGCGCCTCTACCTGTTCCCTCTGCAGTTCACGCTTCCTCAGGCTTCAACTCCTTACATGATCACATCTGCTACTGCTACGCTACACATGCACACCAGCTCCAACAAGTCAAATTCTCCCTAGCACAGCTCAGCTGACACCCCCCCGACGGGTTTCCCGCCGAGAGGCCCTGCCCGGCCCGTTATCCCCTCCGCCTCGTCCATCTACTGGTTCTCCTGTTGGCCAGAAAACCCTCAACTCCTCCTGCAAGCTTCCTATCACACGCCTTTGCCTGTAACGCCTTGCAACCAGTCGATCGCACTTGGGAGTGCTTCAGCCTTGCTGTCGAACCTTGCAACCTTGAGTTCACGGCATCGAGAATCTCGGTGATAGCCACTTGTGACTCAGTTCAACCCACAACTTTGCATTCGGGCCGCTACTAGATCCCGATTCCAAAAATTTCACGCTCCCGTTGAGGCAACTACAACCACAGCTGCCTAATACATGTTCTGATTTATATACTCGCCATCGTCCTTTCTATTCTGCCTGCTTCCGCAGCCTCGTTCTCGCTGCACGTCGCCAATATCATCCTTGCTTCGTCCTCGACAATACTATCTATACTCTACTCTATTCATAATGACTCCCAACAGCGAGAACGCCATGGCTCGGTTCCTTCTGGCCATCCTCAACCAGAAGAACCTTAAAGACGTAAGTCCCTCAGCTGCGGATAACCCCCGACATTCCCACTTACCATCCTGGACAGATCGACTGGAACCAAGTCGCCGCGGATCCCGTCCTCCTTCAGCCCATCACAAACGGACACGCTGCGAGGATGCGTTTTGCTCGGTTTCGTGCCACCGTCAACGGACATGAGCCGCAAAAGAGGAACCGCACTGCCGACAAGTCCCGAGTGACCAAGTCGAAGAAGACACAACCGGCTAAGAGAGAGAGCCTCATCAAGGCTGAGACGGGCGTGAACCTTTCGTCGTATGCCCAAGTTCGCCCGAGTCCCAAGATCAAGCAGGAACCTAGTCAACCTGGGTATCTTGCCCAGTTCTCTCCCGCGTCGACTTCATCACCTTACCTCACCGACAACCGAGACGACATGAACCCTCGATTCCTCACCCCCTGCAGCGATGACATGACCCATAGTCTTGCCATTAACCCTGCATCCCTCGAGGACCTCAGACTGCGCAACGGCTTTGGTCCCTCGATGGACTGTCCCCAGGACATCATGGCACCGCCTTCCCATGACTTTACCCTGGGGCAGTCAACCTTTGATACGTTTGATGCCGCCTACGATCTGACGGCTTACAAGACTGCCGTCGGCGGCGGCCAGAGCCCCGTGAATATCGACTTCGGTGCTGCCTCTCTGGCAGATTGCAGCCCCGAGTGGACTGATCACTTCAACGACCATCACTTTTGATACCCACGGAAAAGAAAAAACACTGCGGATAGAGGACGAGACATGTACAAAACTGGAGATATGGTAGAATGATTTTTGCCTTTGCTTTTCATGATTAATGACAATGATTACTTTGAGATGGAGACCTTCTCTTTGGTGCTTGTTTGTGTTTGATATTTGTTTCTGTAATGGCTTGCTTTTGAAACATCTCTACTACAACATGATCCCAAGATGGAATCGAAATATGGAATGGCTGCCGTGTTTGGGTTGCTGGATTTTGCCTGCTTGGTATTGAAGTTGTATACTAGCATCCCATAGGTGCAGTCTGAAATTGAGCGTTCTGGTGTTGCAGCAGCCTGCCTTGCATATGTTTCTACTCATCGCGTGTTGATGCTCTCATTTTCCAAGAACTCCTTGATACAACCAACTGACTTGGTGTTTAGCAGGATCGTCTCCCATGTATCTATTCATTAGCGACAAGACAAATATGGAGAATGTTTTCACACTAACTTGGAAAATGGCCTTTTCTTCCACTGAAAAATGTCCCCATTCGTCGGCATTATCTCGAGTATTTGCATCGCCAACCCAGATTGGTTAATTCTGAAACTGGGCACCTGACTGGCCTATTCACCACCTTTTCTACAAACCTCGTCTAAGAAACAGCACAGGCCTGTCACTGTGATTGCAGAATTTCTCCCCGTTTGTTTTCACCTTCTGCCTAAGCCTGAAAACGAAAACAATCTCTCCTCCTCTGGTGAAATAGAACTTCCCCTCTTCCAAAAACACCTTTGCATTCTTCGCATCTTCCCACCACAACCACATCGCAAGGCGACTCATATTCTTTTACCAAACGTGAGTTTTAATGCCTTTGTTCTCGTTTGGCTTTTGATCATCGTTTGAACTGACCTTGTTGATTAGACCCGACGTTGAACCAACATCATGTCCGACACAAAGAAGGAACCCACTGCCGCCGAGGCCATGCTCTTCTTCAGCATCGTCAAGCACACCCGAAACAAGGCTGATGTCGACTGGGATTCTGTCGCCCTTGAGGCTGGATTCAAGAATGCCGATGTTGCCAAGGTGAGCACACTTCCTGCCCTACCCACCGCCCACCGCCACCCTCTATTGTCGCTTGAACAACTTCACTCGATATCACCTACTGACATTTAAATCTAAGGTCCGCTTCGGCCAGGTAAAGCGCAAGCTTGGTATCTCTACCGACACTGGCGTCGCCCCTCGCGCTCCCACCACCCCTACCAAGAAGGGCGCCTTCAGAGTGGCCAAGACTCCCCGCAGCACCACCAAGGGCAAGGGCCGTAGCCGAGTCAAGAAGGAAGAGGAGAAGCCTGCCGAGGCTGAAGAGGACGAGGACCAGAAGATGGAGATGGAGCAGCCCATCGTCAAGGACGAGCAGCAGGATGAGCTCTCCGCTGACAACACCAAGGCTGATCCTTTCTAATCTGCCCTTCTGCAACATGGTCCCGACCAAGTGTTGATCTCGGATGATGGACTACGATATGATGGTGGATGATTTTGGAATGATTCACTGAACCAGGATGGACGTGTGATCTGGAGGTAGATGATATAGCTGAAGTGGCTGTACTATACCACAAGATACGACATCATGAGGAATTAAACCGATGATCTAGGTACACGAAAGCAATTGCCTAGCAAAAACCACTTGATATCATTGCTTTCACTTTTCGTGGGCGTAAATTGCAAACATGACCAAACAGTGCCAGTCGAGCGAAGGCCGTGGCCGAAACGCAACTCCGCACCGGTTTTGGTGATATTGCCATACTCTACTGAGCGATGCTCTGCTCTCTGATGAAGCACCCCAATGGAAAGCCCTAATTACCTCTTCTGTGCCCGTAAACAGGCACTCGATCTCTTTTTCTCCCGTTTTGACCGATCTCAGCTCCATGACCCCTTTCCCCGCCTCATATTCTGCCCCTCTCGGTTTCACGGCCGACCTGACACTGCAAGCTAATATCCCCCAGCACGGATACAGAAGAACAATAGCTATTGAATTCCATTTTACAGTGGCTGCAACTCGCTATTGTCTCTGTTTTCTGGTCATTCTTCCACCTCCTCCCAGGCTATAAAATCTCTCCTCCCAAACATTCACCTCCAAACACTTTCCATCCCACAAACACACTCCCGCAAACAACCCTTCAGAACATCTGAGGATACCAACTGGGTTCTCTCCAAGCTTCGTCTTTCTTCAAGAAACTTTTCATCACAGTAAGTCTTTCATTTGAGCACCTCTCCTCCCAAGTTCACAGCTGACCATGTCGCAGACCCCAAACACATCAACAAAGATGCCTCCCAAGAAGACCACCACCGAGGACGGTTCCCCCACTGGTCTCACCGACGGTGAACTTCGCTTCATCAAGGCCATCTTCGACAACATGACCCAGAAGCCCGACGCCGACTGGGACGCCGTCGCCACCACCCTCGGTCTCAAGGATGCCAAGTGCGCCAAAGAGCGCTTCCGCCAGATGTCTGTCCGTCACGGCTGGCGCGACCAGTCTAGCGGCGGTGCGGCTGCTAGCCCCCGCAAGGCTGCCGCCGGCGACAAGGTCACCAAGAAGCGCGCCACTCCTCGCAAGAAGGCTGCTGCCAAGAAGGCCGAGAAGGATGAGGAGGACGAGGAGGCCAAGGAGGAAGTCAAGGCTGAGGACAAGAAGGAGGTTGTCAAGTCGGAGGATGCTGACGATGACACTGAGTGAACTTCTTCATCGGAATGAGATTCGTTGGCGGGTGTGTTGATATGTGGTGTCGCAAGCATGATGGCGGTATGGCCGCATCCTTGGGGTTCATGATATATCCACTCAAGTAGCTGTCGATCTTTTCGAGATGTGACACTAAGGTGAAATGGAGGCATTCAGACATGACTCTACGTTGTTTCTGCACTTTGACTTTCTTGACTTGCGGTTGTGGTGCCTGTGATCCAATTGGCGCCACACGCTTGGAGGCGAGGTGACTACCTGCGAACAACATTCGGCCTTTGCGCGCAGCTGCATCGAGCGTTTTTTGTAATATCAAACGAAATGGTCACCTGGCTGTGCACTCTTGAGTTAGGGCTTGTCACATTTTCATTTTACTGCCCGTAGGCGCTGATACCAGCGATGCGACTTAGCCCCTGAATCTACGGCGCACTGGCATCCTGTAGACAGATATGGGTTGAAGGTTCATGTCACAGCCGGAGGACTTGAGGTCGCGGGTTGGAATATCTATGACCTTATTTGATCGCATCTCTTGAGGCTCGAACCTGTTGCCCAAGTTCACAGCACCGTAAGGCAATGAGCTGGCGCCTAGAGGCAGCTCGTCGCCCCGGAGACTGCACTGCAAAGACCTTGATGAGTGCCAAACTGCCCTGTAAACCCGTCTCTCAGCGCATCTAAACCTGGTGTCCGTTCATTGGCTGTTAAGACTTATCGTGGACGTCGTCTGTTTGGTTAATCGTCGCCTGGCCTCATCTGGTGCTCAGATTCACCTTCACCACTGCCAGACCACTGCCTGTCGTAATCTTCCCTTTCGAGCAGACACGACGCGTTTGTTTTTCGACATAAATTGTCCCTCGACTCTTTGCGTCTCCTCCCTCTCTCTTTTTCTTTTCCACCATCCGCAACTTTGTTGTTCGCCACGCACATTCTCGCCTCGCAACACAGCGCAACACTCAATCACCACACCTCCTTCAACCATCGTGAGTTTCCTCTTCGCTTTCATTTTGCTTTGTCTTATCTTGCACATTTGTCTTGTCGAGTTTGAGTTTTCGGTTTATCCTGACGCGCTTGCAGTTCAAACAATCGTCACCATGTCCAAGCAAGACCCCGCCGATCAGGTCAAGTTCCTCGTCTCCTGCATTGGACACACGTCCAACGGCCGAGTAAGTTCAACTCTTTTCGCATGCCTTCGCATTAGCTGACATGTATAGCCCGACTTCCAGGCCGTCGCCGATGAGCTTTCCATCGTTTCCAAGGCCGCTGCGTAAGTACCACTCCTCCTCACCCTCCTCGCCCACGCAGACACTGACACAAACACCAACAGTCAGAAGCGATATGAGCGAATGCTGAAGGCTCATGGAATCAGCCGCCCCGGCGTTCTCGCTGGCGGCGACAGCGTTCCCACCACTCCTACCAAGCGCAAGGCCAAGGGCGAGGGTGCTGGCAGCGCCAAGAAGAAGCCCGCTCGCGGAAAGGCCAAGAAGGAGTCTGACGAGGACGAGGAGGCTGAGGCTAAGCCTAAGCCCAAGGCCAAGCGTGGCAAGCAGGCGGACAAGGTCAAGAAGGAGGAGGAGGAGAGTGACTCTGGCGAGTCTCGTGGCTCTTCTCTCACCGGTACGTTCAAGTGTCTTGTCGTTTCTGCTCATCAACTAACATCTGGCAGAGCCTCCCGCCGCCTCTGAGGAGGGCAGCTCCTAGAGCAAAGCGACAACCGCATGATCATCTGATGGAGGGTCTTTTTGGAACAAAAAACATGGACTTCGTACACCTATTCCGAGATCTCTGTTGCAACTACCTAGTTATCTAGATGTGACAGTCGGAGTAGCAGCGTCGTCGAGGACATGGTCGGGGATGAAGGAAGTAATGACAATGATATGAACTTAGTATCAGTGGGCAATGTTCCATAGTTGAAGCATTTTATCTTTTGAATTTGTGTGTTCTCCAGTGAATATTTATTGTCTTGTGATGTTCCAAACTGTGCGGACTGTCAACACCAAGTGATCCCCCTCTGTACAAACTGTCAGGTAACACTCTTTGATTTCTCTACGACTTGTCAAGGTCATGCATTAGTTTGCGTCCAGACCGTGGGTTACGTGTTTATGTATCTACCAGGCAACACGCGACAAGCTATTGAATAATTCGAGGCGTGGGTGAAGGTCGTTTCTGAGCCACATCCGCCATCCCCCATCTCCACCGCATTGGTCTCGATTGATCCCCATTGCTGGCTTTTATTCTAGTGTTTTTTCTTCCCTTCGTGGTCGTGCGAGGCCATGTTTTCTCTATTGTCTCTCTTTTCGGCACTCACCTTTATCCATTCATCCTGCATTCAGATCTTGGCTCCCGCCGCGTCCCTCGTTTGAACATGTGCAGCAACATTTCCTTCTCTTGATTCTCTCGAGGCATATTTCTATTACGCAAAAGCTGCTCTACACTCTTTATCCCAGTTGAGCATCAAGACTTCTATTACTTCACATCTTGTGAGCATCTCCCCATCCCTTGTCGCGCCGCCATGCTAACCTGTCAAGGCACATCTACTGCTTCACCAAACACACCAACAAACCCACGCTCCCTTATCACCCTTTGGCTCTGCCCAAGAAGACCTCCTCATGTCGCCACCTTCCAATATCCCATCGTCGACCTCTCAGCTGCAGAGATTCAAATCGCAGCTGAATGATCTCGTGGCCCGCGAGAGAGCCCACACCCAAGCTACTGCCGCCGTCATTCCCGAGTCGCCCATCGAGGCGTTCCTCCAAAAGCCCGAGACCCCCAAGGAGAACAACAACTTCATGGCGTCGACACGGGGATGCAGCACCTATCCAACTGATCAGCTGCAGATGATGGCATCGCAGCTAGCAGAGGCGAGACGCAATGGAGAGTTTCCTACCACCAAGGCGTCTCCCATGGATGTTGATGCAACCATCGAGGACTACCAGGCTCTGACACGGCTTCGGCAGCTTCGTGGTAACCCCATGTGCCCTGCCCCTGAGGCTTACAACCACCTTCGCATCGAAATCACCCGCCGTATCAGAGAACGTGATGCACTGAGCGGGGATGATGAGACCGAGGGTGCAGCAGCTCGTCGGGTCGACACATATCTTCAGGCTGTTCAGCATGAGAACCGTTACTTTGCTGCTGCGAACAAGCCTATGCCCCAACGCCGTGTACAAACCGCCAACAAAGGCAACAACGGTTGCAATGGTCAGATCACTAAGAGCAACGCGAATGGGTCTGACGAGAAGATGCGTTCCATGGTCGAGCAGACTATCGAGCAAGGCATCGCTGATGCCACTGGCCCTCTTCGCATGAACGTGGGCAAGCTTGACGCTCAAGCAAGCACACTTCGACGCCAGAGTGACACCATGGGCCAGCAGATCGAGATGCAGCAGCAAACCGTCTCGGCCCTGCAGACCATGATCCAGCCCCAGGCCTTCAACATCCAAGCCACCACCCAGAACCTCGCCATGACCCACGGGCTCGCCAACCAACTCTCACAGATCGCCAATGATCTTCCCCAATCCATCAACCAAGCCGTCAACTCGGCTTTACAGGAGCACACTCAAGCTTCACTCAACGGCCTCCTCGAGGCCCAGCGACAAGCCATCCACGACATCGAGATGCGCACTCAGCGTCTGAACGAGCTGAACCGCGAGGCCGAGGCCCGAGACAGCACCACGCGCAGCAGAACAAACTCGACCGCGAGTGCCAGAGACCGTTCCAAGATCCAGAGCTTCTTTCAGAAGACGTTTGGACGTACGAACTAGGGTGCTTATGCTGGGTGGGTTCGGACATGGATGCGAGCAGGTGCGGGTTGAGGCATCCTCATGTATGTAACCAAGATCTGTCACCATAATGAGGAGAGTTCTCTTTGAGAAAGAGGAGTATCTACGACAATTCTTCAACTACGCAATACAGTGACTGCAAATCAACGTGCAAACGTCTTCATTTGGGTCAACTTGATAGTGACACCCATGCGCGACACTCTGCACAAACAGAACGACCGTTTGGAATTATGGCCCCAGAATATCTTATCTTTGAATGTTATCATCTCAATTCAACTACAGATATCATCATCCCAGAAATGTCGGTGCGGTGGTGTTCCAAAATGCCAATATCAAATGCGACCACCAAGCATCGCGACCAGCCTCACCACCGCGGTCCTCTCCGTCAGGGCCACCCTCCACGATGCGCGCAGCCCTTCAATTTCGACTCAATTCTCCAATTCAGGTTGTGCGCTTTCCAATCAGGTGATTTTCAGGCGATGGCGAAAACGATTGGGTTGACGGCCGTCGAGATATGCGACTCCGCCTCGACGGCCGTCTGGCAGCTGTCAGCCGTCCGGCGATAGCTTCACTCAGGGCACGCCTCAGCACTGGCAGCTTCAGAGATTTTACCATAAGAGATTTCATCTCATTCTCTCCTCCTCCCTCTCTTCTTCTTCTTCACCAGAATTTGAATCCAAGAGATCTTCACACTCAACTCAATCTTCGATTCGAATTCATCATTCACTCAGCTCATCGTTCAAGTCGCTTGTCACGTTTACTTACTTCTACTTCACTTACGTCTTCAAGTCACTTTTCACGATGTCTTCTTACGGTCACACCAAGTCTGCTTCCTCATCTTCCTCTGCTTCCGCGCCGACCCCTTCCCGTCGCCGTGACAAGAAGTCTCAGCAAGCCTGGACTCACACTCATCAACTCCCTACCGCTGAACAACGCTCTCTCAACGGCCGCAAGAAGGATCGCAACTTGATTTCGTGGACCCGTAAGTACTCTAACTTGATTGACTCTTTGCCTCAATTCTAACACTGTTTTAGGACCTCGAATGTCTGACAAGCTACTTCAAGTTCTTGTGTATGAATGCAACAGAGCCAAGATCAGATTGCCTTGGGACCAAGTTGCTCATCGACTCAATCCTGGTTCAAGTGGCAGTTCAATCATTCAGTGGCTTGGCCGAAACCGCAACGATCTCATCGCTGAAGGTCACATCGTCCCTCCTCCACTTTCTCCTCGCGCCGACAGGACTGTTCGTGGCGTCATGCGTGCCGACCTTGACGGCGATGATACCAGCACCACTCGTGAAGTTCTTTTCACCGAGCCACTCTATCACCCCGAGTACAGCCTAGATGGTGCTCCCGAGATCAAAGACCCTTTCACTTCTCAGATGGAGGCTGCCATTGGCGCCCCTGAAGCACACACCTTCTCTGATGCTCATCTTCCCGTCACCCCAACTCCTGTCTCTCGTCGTCGACGCCGCCGTCACCACACTCCTCAGCCTTCCGTCGAAGAGTCTGTTGCCGCTTCTTCTCCTTCTTCTCTCCCTTCTCTTCCTGGCTCCGAAGTGTCTTGCCCTTCTCCCCTCCCAGCATCCGCAGAGTCCAACGAGTTTGAGTCTCCTGGCCTGTACCTGCCTGAGCTTACCGACGACTATCTTTCCGACCTTCCTGCCGACTACGGCAACGAGTCTCCCAGCGCATACCTCGATGAGCCTGAGGCTGACTCTTCCGTCAACAACGCGGCAACCTTCTCTGACGGGGCCACCCCTGAATACCAGGTGGTGTTTACTTCTCCCATCACAGCCTCCAACGCCCACTTCATGATCGAGCCAGTCTCGCCGGACTCGGACTCGGACACTGAAGACTTCGATGGCTACCCGTTCGTCGAGCTAGACGAGCGGGGGCTTGAAAAGTCTTCAGTGTCCGAGGAAGAGAAGACTGAGCCCGTTCCCGTTGCTGCTGCCGCTTCTGTTCCCGTCGCCGCCCCCGTTGTCGCCCCCATCCCCTTCGCCGACAACGCCGTCCAGAACTTTGCCGGCCCAGGTTCGGTCGCAGCTTTTGCTGCGCCAGCCTTTGGGTCGGAAGTTCCGTTCGACGCAGAGGCCATCGCCGCCTCCCTCCCTCCCCCTCCCCCATTCGATGTCAACGACATCACCGACTGGTCCTGGTTCCCTGCCGCCGCTCAAGCGGCGGCAGAGGAGATCAACCAGACCGACCTGTTGGCGGGACTCGACTTCCCGCAGGACATCCTCGGCAGCGGGACTGGGGTCGCCGGCTTCACAGCTGGTGACCAAGGTTATGGTTTCGACCTAACCTACCAGTTCCCTGTCGCAGGCTCTGTCGCCGACGACGTCTTCTTCGGGGCGGGTGGCCAAGGCCAGCCCGCCTTTTCACAAAACCTGAAGAGGATGGTAAGTTTTACCTTGAACACTTGACATGAATGAACAACAGCTAACATCAGTCTACAGCGGGGAGAGGGTGAGGGAGAGGAATCTCCTTCGAAGAGGGGTTGCCCTGGGTGGTTTATCCCCCAGTGAAGAAAAAAAAAAAAGGAGGGAGAGAGAGAGAGGAGGTCGCCGGTTGTTGTTGTTGTTTCGCTTCGTTCCCCAAGAGGGAACCGGTTGGGCTCTAGACTTTGTAATTTTGTTATTTCTTTTTTTATTTTGGCCATATAGAGGAATACCGACTCGGAGTCACCTGCCCATGGCAGAGTGTATTATGATTATATTGCATGACCTTGCCAAGTACTGCCGTGACGTGAATTACCTTTGCCAAGTATTGAATCTTTTGATGCCAATGATGCTTCTCTAGATATATTCTACTCCCATGGGATATCCGACATGTGTGTAGACTTAAGTTAGTAAGGTATAGTGCTGAACTATTTTGCAATACTTAGATCGAACGCAGTTTTCTATGAGGGCAACGCGCATATCTACCGCCGCGGCCTTTGCTTCAGAGTCTGAGGGGGAGGGCGTGCTGGTTCTTTGCCACTGCTGAAACTCAAACTCGCTTTCCCCTGGGAGATGGATGCGAAATAGGATGCTAGAGAGGCTCGGTTTCTCTGGCTCGCTCATGTAAATAGACGGGCCAGAACACCACCCCACCCGTTCTAGAGTATCACCGAGGGTGAACCGCTACAAACTATCATTACATAAGTCTTGTTTCTAGATTCAAGATGAGCTTGTCGGACTCCGCAGAGAGTTTCTCTCACCGTGCCGAGCTGGATGATCGAGGCATCCCGAATCACGGCGCGGTACACAGTTTCCACAACCTCTTTCCCTTAGTCCCGGAACAAGTCGCCCAACGATTCAATCCTCGAGGCCCCCATCACTTCAAAGATAATGTTGCTTGGCACGACCTGATGGTATGAGCCGATGCCAAAGGTAAGGTGTGTTACATCATGTTGGGTGGACCAGGGATATGCTCTTGAATCACTTATCAAAACATTTATCACCTAGAGTCCCTGATGTTCATCAGCAATGCGTAGGGTTGGAGATACTAACTACGGCGGCAGTGACTATCCAAGTGGTAGTTTAATTAAGGTGAGCTGCAGGCTTTTCTTGGTGGCTGGAGCCGAGGTCCCTGTTCTTGGAGGTTAGACTAGCTCAACATTTGTTAGTGGGTGTCTGTTCACACCAAGTAATGAGTATTCGGTGACTTGGCTGGCGGATTCACCAGTTCATTATCCAGATCATGAGCCCTACTCAATATTCAATGTTGCCATCTTTGCTTCTCGTTGCTTCTTGTTCCTGTCCCTAGCCTCCCTCTCCAGCCAATGCTTACTTCCTACTATTGCCTCGATATTTTTGTCCAACCACCAGTTATGCTCGGTTCGCACCTTGCAGACTGCAGGGAGTGGGCCTATGCAGCATATTCCTTTGGCACAAGAGGTGAACAAACTACTACGTGGAGCCGGAGCTGGGCATCTTGTGGCTGGGCTTCGAGGTGAAGAATTGGAAGAGAAGAGTTCCATTGAACAGAGGCAGAGGGTTAGAGTAGGTCTTGGTTTGGGATTGAAGTGACAGAGTAAATAAATCAGTCGTAACCAATGCGTCAATGACCATCTCCTTCTCCTCGGCCTCCTTCACTCATGGACGGCACATTCAACGATCATTCTGCATCTACCAAAGAATAGCGCAAGCATGGTCACTCCGACCCCCAGAGAACAAGAGCGAACCCCAGCCAACACATTTGTCATGATGGAGTCGTTGGTGGAGCCGTTCGCTGGACATTGAAAGCCGCTCGTGACCCGTCAAAAGGCGCCAAAGGGCTCACAGCGGTCTGTCCCCTCGGCTATGGCTCCGGTAATATGAGTTCCAGGGCCCAAAAGCCGCCTCTTGGAGGGGGTTAGCGACCTTGTCCAGCGAGTTTCACGGACGTCGTTGGAAAGGTGTGGAAAGCAGCCGGCGATGGCGCTAGGCTGTTTCTGGATTAGACTCGCTTCTGGGTGGATGTTTTGCCGACGCTCCGAGCGACGATTTTTTTGGACCTCGAGCTCTTCTCCAGTTTTGCCATCATATCAACCTCTTGTCTCCCCGTCTCGCTCTGCTCGTCCGTCCTCGTCTCAAGGTCGAATTCCTCCCGAGCGTTCTTCCTCCTCTTCCCTTTCTTTCAAGTCACATTATACCCCCTAATTCACACATCATGCAGCGCGCATTGAGCACTCGGGCAAGGGCCTCTGTCCTGTCCTCAGCAGCCACCAAGTACCGAGCGGGCGGTCTTAGCCAGCAGGTCCGATTTGCTCACAAGGTAAGAAGATGATGAATTGATACCTTGGGCATTCGAATTGGGTCACTGACATGTCTACAGGAGCTCAAGTTTGGTGTTGAGGGCCGCGCTGCTCTTCTCGCCGGTGTCGACACCCTCGCCAAGGCCGTTGCTACCACCCTCGGACCCAAGGGCCGAAATGTCCTCATTGAGTCCAGCTTCGGCTCTCCCAAGATCACCAAGGGTTCGTACAAGCAGTCTATTCGTCTTCATCGGCATCTAACTAACTTCAACAGATGGTGTGACCGTTGCCCGCGCTGTCAGCCTCAAGGACAAGTTCGAGAACCTCGGCGCCAAGCTGCTCCAGGATGTTGCCTCCAAGACCAACGAGGTCGCCGGTGACGGTACCACCACCGCCACTGTCCTCGCCCGCGCCATCTTCTCCGAGACTGTCAAGAACGTTGCTGCCGGCTGCAACCCCATGGATCTCCGCCGCGGTATCCAGGCTGCCGTCGAGGCCGTTGTCGAGTTCCTCCAGAAGAACAAGCGGGACATCACCACCAGCGCCGAGATCGCTCAGGTCGCCACCATCTCCGCCAACGGTGATATCCACATTGGTCAGATGATTGCCAACGCCATGGAGAAGGTTGGTAAGGAGGGTGTCATCACCGTCAAGGAGGGCAAGACTGTCCAGGATGAGCTTGAGGTCACCGAGGGTATGCGATTCGACCGTGGTTTCGTCTCCCCTTACTTCATCACCGACACAAAGTCCCAGAAGGTCGAGTTTGAGAACCCCCTCATCCTCCTCTCCGAGAAGAAGATCTCTGCTGTCCAGGACATCATCCCTGCTCTCGAGGTCTCCACCCAGCAGCGACGACCTCTCGTCATCATTGCTGAGGACATTGAGGGTGAGGCTCTCGCTGTCTGCATTCTCAACAAGCTCCGTGGCCAGCTCCAGGTCGCTGCTGTCAAGGCTCCCGGCTTCGGTGACAACCGCAAGTCAATCCTCGGCGATCTCGCCATCCTGACCGACGGTACCGTCTTCACTGACGAGCTCGACGTCAAGCTTGAGAAGGCCACCCCCGACATGCTCGGCTCCACTGGTTCCATCACCATCACCAAGGAGGACACCATCCTCCTCAACGGCAACGGTGCCAAGGACAGCATCGCTCAGCGATGCGAGCAGATCCGTGGTGTCATGGCTGACCCCACCACCTCCGAGTACGAGAAGGAGAAGCTCCAGGAGCGTCTCGCCAAGCTCTCTGGCGGTGTCGCCGTCATCAAGGTCGGCGGTTCCTCCGAGGTTGAGGTCGGTGAGAAGAAGGACCGCTTCGTCGATGCCCTGAACGCTACCCGCGCCGCCGTTGAGGAGGGTATCCTGCCCGGTGGTGGTACTGCCCTCATCAAGGCCTCTGCCCACGCCCTCAGCGAGGTCAAGACTGCCAACTTTGACCAGCAGCTCGGTGTCAGCATCGTCAAGAACGCCATCACCCGCCCTGCCCGCACTATCATTGAGAACGCCGGCCTTGAAGGTTCTGTCGTCATTGGCAAGCTCACCGATGAGCACGCCAACGACTTCAACAAGGGCTTCGACAGCGCCAAGGGCGAGTACGTCGACATGATCGCCGCCGGTATCCTTGATCCCTTCAAGGTCGTCCGCACTGGTCTCATTGATGCCAGCGGTGTTGCCTCTCTGCTAGGCACCACCGAGGTCGCCATCGTCGATGCTCCCGAAGAGAAGGGCCCTGCTGGTCCTCCTATGGGTGGTATGGGCGGTATGGGCGGCATGGGTGGCATGGGAGGCATGATGTAAGAGACGGAATAATGTGATTGGGATGACATGATGTACAACAAAAAAGCTGGACGGACGGCGCACATGGTTTGCGTGTTATCATGGGACAGTGGCCTTGCAATCTCCCCTCTCTCTACTCTACCTACCTTTTCTCAACCACCACCACGACGGCCATGTCCTCATACCCCCTGCAGATTTTCAGGCCACATTTGAGCCCTGTATACTAGCATTGACTGTGTAGCACTAGCATGAAAAGACATGAGATCAAGAAAGAATAAAAAAATCTATAAACATACTTAGTCTCTGGTTGCCTGGGCTGTGTTTCGTAAGGGAATGATTGGAAGCTGATGCCTCGTTTAGGCTTCACCGAAACGAGGCCGGGCTCGGCGGGCGGGACAACAGGCAGGGGTGTGTAGCATTGATGAGATGATGATGGGTTGCTGAGGCCGTCGTCAACGACAACGAGACAGCACAGACAGCAGCACGGCCTCACCTCGCCATTGCCATGGATAGCTCTCCATAGGAGGGACGAGATGATAAGCTGACGAGCCACAATTGACACGCACGCCAGGGGAGTCACGTGGAAGGCCTCCTCCTCCTCATGGTGGTGGGGGAGAAGGTAGCCAGGCCAGGTGGTGTTTTTCTCCCGCAAGACGCAAGACCTGTCCTGGCCCCGCCTTTCTATGGGACAAGTCCCAGTCCGTTCCCCTACCGCCTAAATCCGCCCAACCCCCAAGATACAAACGACCCTCCCTACAACGCCCATTTCCATCTTGTTTCTTCATCTTGAACCTCGACTACTTTTAACCTCGATCTTCTTCCTCTCCCGGTACGCCAACAAAGCCTCCCCACTTGGTCCTGCACCTGCATCTTCCCCTTCTGCACCTCTGCTGCAACTCATCCTCTCTGCTCTGTCCTGATAGCTAATTCGAAAGCTCCCGCCAGCCCGTCCGCCCCTCATTCCCAAGATCTCGACCGTCTCCTGACGTAGACCGCAACCATGGTAAGCTCACCGACGTCTCCTCTAACAAGATCTTCTATCTAACTATGATTTTTCAGTCTCAATCCGGGTTCGTCCTCTCGTTCTCCTCGCTCCATTTTATTCGCGCGCCGTTTCCCCCCCGCGCCTGATGCTCCCCCTCCCCCTCGACCATGACGCCGCCGCCGCGGGGCAACACAACACAGCACAACAAAACACACGCAGCTTCAAACCTTTGAGACAACCGCGCTAACCTCGCCGCCTCCGTGTTCCAGAGCCACCGTTTCCCAGGAGTGCATAACTGCCTACAATGACTTGAAGCTCAACAAGAAGTACAAGTACATCGTCTACAAGCTCTCGGACGACTACAAGGAGATTGTTGTCGAGCACGCCTCCGACGACAAGGACTGGGAGGAGTTCCGTGAGAAGCTCATCAACGCTACCGCCAAGAGCCGAACCGTACGTCCCGCTCATGAACTGACGAGGAATCCGGGCAAGAATCTGACAGGTTGCAGGGCGCTGTCGGCAAGGGTCCCCGATACGCCGTCTACGACTTTGAGTACAGCCTGGCCTCTGGCGACGGTATCCGGTGCGTTTAAACAGTCAACTGGAAACACATGTCCTAACAATTTTTCAGAAACAAGCTCGCCTTCATTGCCTGGTCTCCCGATGATGCCGGCATCCAGGTCAGTAACCCCTGTCTGTCCTCGCCTCGCTGCGAACCATGAACTGACACCCCACCAGCCCAAGATGATCTACGCCTCCTCCAAAGAGGCTCTGAAGCGATCACTTACCGGCATTGCGGTCGAGCTCCAGGCCAACGACACTGATGATATCGAATACGACACCATCATCAAGACCGTCAGCAAGGGTCTTGCTGGTTAAGCGCGCTGTCACGAATCAACCCACTGGCCGCCCCGCACTCTATAGAAGCGGTGCCGGCATAACTGAGCATATCTAGGGTCGTTTCAAGCGTTGAGAGACCAAAACAACCATGATGTAGGAGTGCAGCTGTGGATGGAAGCACGGGGATGGTGGACGTCCTTCAGGGACGTGAGCCATCGAGTTTACTTCTGGGCGGATACGTAAATTCTCAGATTTGCCAGCCCTGACCATGTACCGTACCACGGGAATAAACTCGCATGCTGGTATGTGGAATTATTGCCATTTTTCATCTATCGTGTCGTCTATCATGTCTGCGCTCCGAGAGATATCATGGACTTGCTTGGCTAGACTGCCAACTCGATTTAAAGAGACCGGATAGCTCCTCTGCCTGAGCCTCATCCTTTAGTCGCTGCATCAAGAATCCCTTGAGGTCGCTCCAGAACTCTTCCGTTTCCAATGCGTCCTTGCCTGTAGGCAGCACCTCAGGAGCGGCCTCGGGCTCCTCAGGGGGGATGGCAGCGGCTCCACCAATGACCATGACCGTAAACTCGATAGACATGTCCGTATCCCCTAGGAGGTCCTTGAGGATCTTGCTATCCGGCACGGGCTTCTTGTTGTGTAGCAACTTCATCTTTGCGACGGGTATCCTGGTCTGCTTCTGGACACTGCTCTTAATGTCCAGGACCGACGTGTCGAGGGGCTGCGAGGTGAGCTTGATGCTCAGAGGAGGGTTGCGCAAGGACTTGAGGGAGACGGTGACGCTTCGCTCGGAGCCGGGAGCGAGGTGGGTGGGCTTGCTCATGGCCTTGGGCATGCGGGGGATGATGTACTATCGCCGTTAGAACAGTCGCGGGTGCGGTAGATGCTGGGTTCGTACAGGTGGCCGAGCCGGGAAGGTCTTGGGATCTTCGACATGGTCGGCAGAGAGTCGGAGAGGTCGCGACTGGAGCGACCCGAGGAAGGTCTGGGCAAAGGCGGTTTCAGACATGGTGAGCTCGCGATGGAGGTGAGCTTGAGGTGGGGTTAAGCTAGTAGGAGGTGTAGGAGGCGGTGGAGTTAAAGATGATGGTAGAAGATACTCTCAAGTCCTAATAAAGCTCCTCGGGGAGATTTAAGCAAAATACCGAGACTCGAGTCCAAGTAAGAATGTTGACCGTGTCCAGATCATCGTCATTGAGCATCGCCTTGGGCTTGGGGAGTGGTGTAGCTCCACCACAGCGTGGATCACGTGGAGATTACCATCTTATCGGACCCTTGCTATCGTTGCGCAAAGAAAAAAGTTTCGGCGGGGACTGCCTTTTTCTTTGGTAGCCAAAAAAAGACAAGACGACCTCTCGCGTCTCGTCTCAATCTTTTCTCCAACAACTCCCACAATCGATTGATAACACTCTTTCAAGATGGGTGTCGGACGTCGCATGAAGAAGCAGGGCCCGCCCCAACCCCTGTCGGAAGAGCACTTTGCAAAGCTCAAGCGCAAGGCCGGTCTGCCTGCCGATCCCGTCGTCGAGGCCCCCGAGAAGAAGAAGCGGAAAACCAGCAAGGCTGTCGAGCCCAAGAGCAATGGGGTCGCCAAGAAGGACTCTGCTAAGAAGGATGCTGTCAAGAAGAAGGGAGCCAAGGCTGTGAAGGCTGCGCCGCCCGCGCCCAAGGCGAATGGCAAGAGCAAGAAGAGCAAGGCCCCTGCGCCGGCATTGGAGGACCTTTCTGATGAGGAGATGGGTGATGAGTTTGACCTTGATGATCTGGAGGATGGATCTTCAGACGCTGGTGTTGGATTGAAGGACGACTTCCTCGCCTCTGGGTCTGACGACGACTCTGTGTTCGACTCAGAAGAGGAAGGCGGCGCTTCAAAGGCCATGTGGTCCGAGGATGAGGACGAGTCGGACGCCGAGGAGAAGCTCACAGCCGCCAACATTGAGGGTCTCTCAAGGAAACTGGACGCTCAAATGGCGGAGGAGGCTGCCGAGGCCGAGGCCGAGATGGCTGAGGACGCTCTGCAGACCAACATCCACGGCGACAAGCCTCACATTCTACAAGACGATGACGAGGACGAGGACGAGGACGAGCTCACAAAGACCAAAGCCCTTCTGGCGCCCGACCTGCAGCTCCTGCGAACGAGAATCACCGAAACTATCCGCGTCCTCGACGACTTTGCCAACCTGTCCGAGGACGGCCGCTCGAGAGTCGAGTACACGACACAGCTCATTAAGGATATCTGCGCATACTACGGTTACTCCGAGTACCTAGCTGAGAAGCTCTTCAACCTCTTTACACCCCGCGAGGCCTTTGCCTTTTTCGAGGCCAACGAGTCAGCTAGACCTGTCGTTATCCGCACAAACACCCTACGCACCCACCGCCGTGACCTCGCCCAGGCCCTCATCAACCGTGGCGTCACTTTGGAGCCTGTTGGCAAGTGGTCCAAGGTCGGTCTCCAGGTCTTTGAGAGCAACGTTCCCCTTGGTGCTACCCCTGAGTACCTCGCCGGTCACTACATCCTCCAAGCTGCTTCATCTTTCCTGCCCTGCATGGCTCTCGAGCCCCAGGAGAATGAGCGTGTACTGGATATGGCCGCTGCTCCCGGTGGAAAGACGACTTACATGGCTGCCATGATGAAGAACACCGGTGTCATCGTGGCCAACGATCCCAACAAGGCCCGAGCCAAGGGTCTCATCGGAAACATCCACCGTCTCGGCACGCGCAACGTTGTCGTCTCCAACTATGATGCCCGAGAGTTCCCCAAGCCCATGGGCGGCTTCGACCGTGTCCTGCTCGATGCCCCCTGTTCTGGTACCGGTGTTATTGCAAAGGATCCTAGTGTGAAGACCAACAAGACGGAGCGTGACTTTATGCAGCTGCCTCACATCCAGAAGCAGCTTGTCCTCGCCGCCATTGACTCTGTCAACCACGCCTCCAAGACTGGTGGTTACATCGTCTACTCTACCTGTTCCGTCACCGTTGAGGAGAACGAGCAGGTCGTCCAGTACGCCCTCTCTCGTCGTCCCAACGTCCGCCTCGTGGAGTCCGGCCTCCCCTTTGGAAAGGAGGGCTTCACGAGCTACATGGGCAAGAAGTTTGATCCTTCAATGCGCCACACACGCCGATACTATCCCCACACTTACAACGTCGACGGTTTCTTCGTCGCCAAGTTCCACAAGATTGGTCCTACACCTCTCAAGTCGTCTGCACCCCGCGACCGCTCCTCGGGCCCTGCGGACGAGGAGGAAGAGGTCATCGACAGGACGCCCATCCCCACCGACGACGACGAGGAGCCCAAGTCCAAGGCCAACGACGACTTTGGAGGCTGGGACGAGGACGAGGACAAGGAGTACATGGAGAAAGGCAAGAGGAACGCCATGCGCAGGAGAGGTCTGGATCCCAAGAGTATCAGCAAAAAGGCCAAGAAGCAAAGCAAAAAGTAGATATACCAAACCAACCGTTGGAGCGGGCGTTTATTTGTCCAAAAAAGGGGGTCTGGGTGTAAACTGTTTCTATATCTTAGAGTTGTGCTACTTTTCAATCTCATGGCTGGAATAATACAAGTGATGTCTTTTAAACGGTTGAATATTCTGCCCATCATTATCTATACTTGTGGTGAGAATAAGTCAAGTCTATATGATAGAAGTGGAAGATGGGCATAAAAGAGCAGACATCTCCGATTCTTCTGACCATTTCCATAATCATGCTATACATGAAGCTGTTTAACCTCGTTCACATATCCAGAAGGCGGACCGACGCAACCCAGTAAGAGAAACATATTTATCAACACAATTAAGTCATCATGCTCAATGCTTCTCATCGCAAGAGTGGATATCAGCTAAGCTCTGCAAAGCCTCATGCTATAAGAGACCCAAGACCAAGATAGTGAGCATCTCTGAGCATCTTATAAATGCTACTGTCTTGTCATTACTTATAGATCTTTTAACGGGCAAAACATTTGCTGTTAGGGACATTCAAGGTTAAACCTGCCTGGCCAGAGTGCTCAGGCTCAGGGGCCAAAGTCGATAATCTCAACCTCTATCCTCGCCTCCTGGGGTACGACATGGAGTTTTCATCAGATCAACCTCACCCCCATGGAATAGTTGATTTCTCACTAGGCATGCTGAAGCGGAGAGGCCTGGGTGGAATTCTGCCCCTCTGGTTCATACCAAACTTTTCCTACCGTCTCAGCCTCATCAATGCTGCCCCTGACGGACCTCGAATGGCCCAAACCAGCGGTGTACCAATCTTGACGAGACACAAGTATCACAGCTCTAGGTAGCTGCCGGTGGAAAAGCCGGGCTCATTAGTGGAGATGTTGTATATGACAGTGTCTTAAGGAAGAAGGCGGTCTGCGTTTCTAGACAACATTCAACTCAAGTCTCACTATATGGGCGAGACCATCAGAGGGTTAACCCCCTCGGTCCAGATTTAGTACTAATCACGCCTATGGAATTCCCTCCCCCTGGCACAAATATCAAGTAGTTTCTGTCTTTCATATCGAAACCACTCCTGATGGTCTCGGCCCCTGTAAAAAAAACACTCAAGTAGACGCCTACTTTCAAAGAACAACGGCCACGGAGCAAATATCCAGTCTATCCGGTGTCATCTCAGCTCGCAATGAGCTTCGAATGGAATCGGGGTAAGCATCATCGACTCTTTGGGTGACATGAGGTAGATATCATCCTGCCAATAAGTCCCGAGTTTGACAGCTCTTGTGGTCGAAACTTGACTACCCATCCCCAATGTCTTCACATATCCATCTCCACCAAAAGGATGGGTTACGTATCTTTAGCGGCATCAACACTATCCGTAGGGCCGGCCTCGGAACCCCCCCCAGCGTGGACATATAGGGGTCAAGGGCGGAATCTAAGTCAAAGTCAGCCTTTTAAGGATGAAGGGAATGTTTCAGTGGGCTCTGAGACAGTACGATCGCCCATCTCTAGGGAGGGACCCTTGTTTCGATCTAGACCCTTGAAATCGCCGAGGAAGATTATTCTATAGCCGCAGGAAGCGATAATACCAGTATCACTTTGTGAGATGGTGAAAGAGGTGGAGGACGGAGGTTCCAATCGCGGTGGTGGGTGGAGGTTATAATTGGCAATTGCGAGCGTTTTAATCATCGATTGGTTTCGTGGTCTAACGGCTATGACTGCGGATTCTGATTCCGCCAGCGAGGGTTCGACTCCCTCCGAGACCTTTCTTTTTAATGTCTGAGACAAAGTCGTAAACTGGCTTATAACAACCTTGGATGTCTTCTTTTTGTCTTGTCCATTGTAATCTTGGCTTCATGGCACTACCTAATGGCATACGTTGCTATCACCTCAAGTCAAAGCATCTGTACGGAGTACATCAGAACATCAAGCCAGTAAAAGAGGGACCACAACGCCAGCAAGACCAACCTCTTGGTTTTCACTGTTCCACTTGTTGTCTCGGTAACACTGAGAAGAGGGTGTTAGTCAGGGCGTGCCAGCCACCGAACTTTCACCTCGCACACCATGACGCCTCGTGGTACTCCTGACGCCTCTAAACAAATGAGAGTAAATTAAAGGAATGAACAAAAAGTAGGTACTGTAGGTAGGTAGGTATCCTGCAATTAAAACAAAGTCATCAAGTTCGTCTCGTCATTAGATCCCCCACTCCCAGATCGTAGGGGTTTTCCACATCCATCCCATCCCGTCCCGCCCACCGTTTTTTGTCTATCATGACAGCCGAACCGAACCAAAAGCCAGCCCAACCATCCTGAGTGATTCCCATAGAGTACATGGTCATATCGTCCATCAACAGCCCTTCCCTTCTTGGGGCGCTGGCATCAAAACATTAAATCCATCAAAATGACAAAGCAAAGCAAACAGAATCTCCGTTGCCGTGTCATCAACACACAAACAAACTCAGTCAAACCAAACCACCCAGGGTATCCAGCCATAATGCCTCCGTGACAACCGGTACTCGTTTCCGACATGTCTAACGTACTGTACTGTACTGTAGTGTACTGTGATGTGCTGTGTATCCACAAAGATCCGGCATGGTGATTGTGTGTGGTGTTACAAGTGTTGCTGAAACAGGAAATTCGGGAAAGAATGAAGGCCCGAGGGCTTGAACTCTCACATGGCCAAGTCGTCGAATTGAGAGACGAGTTCTCGGATCGTCCATCGCCAGGCTTCACGATCTCTCGTGCCTCGGCCGATCCATCTCTCACACTTCTTCCGCCACCGCTCTTCTTCTTCGCGCTGTCGTCTGATGAACTCGGGTCCAACATCAAACTCTTCACCCACGAGCCAGTCATCTTTGATGTCGCTGACACGGCCCTGGACACCCTCGTCATCGGCAGTGTTGTCTTCGAGATCGGGAATATCCTTAAAAACGTCCTCGTCGTCAAGGGCATCGAAACCGTCCATGGGGTCGCTGAGCTCGGAGCTTGGCTTTGTGGGCTGGTCAAGTTTGAGCCAGCACATGTTTTGGGGGTCAAAGACCATGCCACCGACGACCTGGACACCCTTGGTCGCGCTAATGTTGGTGATCAGCGCGGGCCGAGGTGTCGGCGCCTCCTTTTCGCGTGTGTTGCTTGCGACCTGAGTCGGCGTTTGTACCGGCGGGTCAAAGACATGCAGAGCATTCTCGTTACCTTCCCACCGGTATGTGTCCGCATTATAATACATCCCGTTCACCACTGTGGCTTGGTTAGCACTAGTTCCGAAAGGACTAGGTATCATCAACTTACTCTTCGACTCCTTTCCGCTATTCAGGTTCGAGATGAGATGGGGTTTTGTCTGCTGGTGTCTCTTGTGCTTCTTGGACCGGACAGTCGACTGAGGAAGAGAAGGGTTAAGATTGCTGGCCCTCGTATTGAGCTGGGTAGCACGTTGGGTGCCTAAAGGAGTCAACGAGCCGCTGCTAGGGACTCGTTGGGCCAGAGCAGTCTCCCTCGCGATCCTACTCGCAGCCGTGTCACGAGCAAAGTGAGGCGTAAAAGAAGGTCGCGGCGTCTGCGGTATTGAGGGAGATATCGTCGTGGTCCTGTCCGGAAGAACGTTGTGATAAAGCTTGTTTCGCATAGCAGCCTTAGGTCCAGATGTCGTAGGCTGCTTCAAGTATTTGGTCTCGGTCTCCCTGGAGGTGGGTAGATCGTCAAAGGCGTCCAGCTCATGCCCGTCGCCAAAGTTTTTCTTGTTCTTTGGCTTGCTCAGTCGCTCCCACGTATCAGCAGCGACTCGGTAACGGTGATTTGGACTGGGAGACCGCATCGTTGACCTAGATATTGTGCGAGAGTTGGGTCGAAGTTCAATCGAGTTGTCAGAGTCGTGACGACGGAAGCTACGCATGTTCTTTGATGAAGCGTGCTGTGACTGTGACTGGGAGGCTCCGGCAGGCAAGAATGGCATTTGAGACTTGCGAGTGGTTGCAGGGCTCTCCGAGGCACTCTGTCGTTGGCGTTCCACGGGTGTCTTGGGACGGACCCCAGACGATGGCCGGTTGCTCTCCGACCTCGATGGCGGCCGTTCATTGCGGAAGGTGGGTGGCTTAATCGACGAGTTCGAAGCCCTAATAGCTGGCAGGGAACGCTTTTGCTTAAGAAGCTGAGCACTGGTCGTAGTTGGCTCAGTTCGGAGCGAACTCGTCGATGTTCTGAGACCAAGCTCCCTTCTTCGAGGGGTCGGTGGCAAACCCTGGGGTGAAGTTGTTGTAGGTGTTGGAAGGCTGGCGACGGAAGATTGTGAAGAGTGGCCCAGCCTAGAATGGGAGTGACGGCTTCGTTGGGGGGCAGGACCACCACTCTCGTACACGGGCTCCAGAGCTGTCGAGTGTGCCCGCTCATGATGGTTCAGCCGAGGTATCCGAGTGTTGACAGGCTTGTTGGTGAATGTCAGAGACACTGCCGCCTTGGGCCGAGCGGGACTCGCAGGCCGCGTCTCCTTGACTCTAACATTCTTGTGGAGAGTGAGCTTGCTTGAGTCAAATACATCGCCATCACCAAGGTCCAGACCATCCAGGAAGTCAGGCCTATCAGCTTCAGCTGCAGACGCCTTCTTTGGAGGTACAATGGGTTCCTCGGAAATTCGCTGTGGAGACCGGCTCTTCCGGCGCTGCTGCAGCCTTTCCGTCCAGTTGACAGGTCCGGGGGGGAGGACCAGGCCATCGAAAGTCTCATCCTCGCTTTCAGCGGTGATCGAACTAGACACGCTGGGGCTAAGAGCCGATGCTGACGAGCTTCGGGCAGATCGTGCATCCCGTCGGGTCCCACCGTATCGAGTCCCGAGACTGCTTTCTCCCCAATCCAGATCCTCGGACTGGTTGAGGGGGGTTTTGGGGATATCTTTTCTTGTGGAGAGCTTGAGCTTTCCATCTGATGGGAGCTCGAGGTCCATTTCAAAATCGTCCTCGGCATCTGTGGGCTTTGTTTCCTTCTGGGGGGTAGGTGGTGTAATGAAGGAAACAGGTTTAGGTTGACGACTCTTGGAGACCCTAATAGTGTCTCCGCCGTCTCCGAAGAAGTCGTCATCCTCTTCGGCATCTTTAAACCTGTCCAGGTTTATGGCGGCGGACAAGTTGCTTGTGGCAGACTGGATAGACTCTCTCCGATCATCCTTGTCAAGGGCGGAGGCCATCCTGATGACGTTACCAGGGCTGGTCTGTGTAGAAGAGGAGCCGATGCTAACTTGCCGCAGGCTCTCAGGGAAGGCAGACTGGTCCAACTTCTTGATCTTGAATCCTTGAGATGGGTCGGGCAGCTCCATGTCGTTCTCCCAGTCATCCTGAATAATCTTTCGTATTTTTCTTCCACCCAGACGTTTGATAGTGCCGCCCATCAAGGCGGAGGATGGGACATTTGATGGTAGTGGGATGCCGGCATTTTGAGCAGCGGTGATGGCATCTCGGGTTGATTTCTCGTCGTCTCCAGGAATGTGGACGTGCTTCTCTTCCTCGCCCTCTAACTCAGATCGGAAAGAAAAGTGCGACGAGCCAGAGTCCCGACGTCTAGAAGAAGATGGTCGGGAGGGGACGTTTGTGGCGGTAGACGGGCTCCGGAAAGTCAAGTCGTCGCCGTCAACGACAAAGTCGTCATCGTCCCAGTCCTCGATGTCGGCCTCCACTGGTTGTCGGGGTTTAAGTCGTAGTGGTTCCATGGTAGCGAGTGTTGTATGTGTTTGGTGCGCAATCTATTGCAAAAGTCCAAGAAATAGCAGGAATCGCAGCTGAGAAGACTGTTGGGACGCGATGTCAATTGCGCACAGTCATTCTTGTCAACGGCGACAGTTCCCCGCATACAGCAGCATCTCCCCCAGGCGTGATAGTGGCGTGGACGATGAGGCTTCCAAAGTTGAGTTTGAGCAATAGAGAAAAATCGAAAAAGTGTGGGAAGCTATTTTCTCGGTTCCGCAGTTGAGGGGGCTGGTTCTCTGCGGTGCGTCTCGGCGGTGATAAAGAAGCTCGGTGTGCGGAGAAGCGACTGTAGATGATTTGTTTGCTTGCGGGCGGGCGATACGGGCCTCAGAACGCACCGTCGCAGTGCGGTCTCGTGGAAAAGAACGGCCACAGACGAAGGACAAGGGAAAGCAAGACGGGCAAAAGAGTTTCGCGAAACAGGGGGATTGGTTTTGATAGCTGAGGATTTTTTCGATGGTCGTGAGGGTGACGTGCGAGACAGATGTGAAGGTCAGGAATGTGGTCGCTCGGCGTGCTCAAAGGTCGGTGGATGGTGGGTTGTGTTGTAAAGAGAAAGGCTGGGGGGTCGCAGTGGGCGTGGCTGGAGGACCCAGGTTCCCGCTAACTCATAAGGGACGTGCCTTCCCACGATGGGGTTACGTCCACTGAGGCCACCGGATTCTGGGCGCTGAGGTCACTAAAGATGGCAACAGGTTCTGACCCATCCAGGTTGGTCACTGCGCTACCCAGGGCTACAGGGGACGCTACACCAAACTGGGCTCCCCGGAGGGAAAGAAAAAATTGAAAATTCGGAGGCAGCACGTGATCAGTTCTCGCGGAAACAAAGAGAGTCTTCTTCCAACGCTCAGGTGGCTTGTTTCAGGGGACTTGTCCGATTGGTCCCCGAGTCAAAATACCGCGCCGTCTCGTCTCTCACGCGTCATGGTCGCGACAAGGAACGAGCCCAAGCCCATGCCCAAGCAAGCCAGCCAAGCCAAGCTTGATGGGACAACGCTCAGGTTGCGAGCCGGACGTCAGGTCAGCTCCTGTTAAGCGGGGACTCGGGGAGGCTGGATCATCAGCTTTCTAGGCTTTGTGCCTCCATTCTTTGTTCCTGGACTATCCTAACCGAGGAACCCGGGGGCGCTCATTATTAGCTGACTTGCGGTCTTCTCTTTGTCCCATCACTGGAAAAACTCTGCCTTGGTCATCTCCAGAATAGATTAACTACCCTCCCTTCTGGAAGAAATGTGGTCGCATTGTTCATGCGACTGTCATGCCGGCACTCAACTCCACCAGGACGCGGGCACGATCTCGAGGCCAGTTGCCAGGTCCTCCCTAGACCAGGACCAGGCCCAGGCCTCTAGGGGTCTTGGGAGGGCAGCCTCTTGATCCAGATCAGCTTATCCGGGGGCCAAGGTCCCCTATTCCCCACCGCGAATCTTTCACTTGGACCTACACGGGGATGGGCTCTCTCCAGCGGCGGGAGGTGCCTGGAGTGGGCAGCCATGTGGCCCGGAGATGCCCTGGACTAAAGACGGCCTGCAGGCTGCAGCCGCCCGCTCTACCTGCCTACATACAGACAGCTGCGCAGGCCAATAATGCAAGATCCCTAGACACAGCTGCCTAGCAGTGTTGATCCTTTCAAGATCGAATCACCTTCATTTAAGAACGACGCCTCTTGTCATCAAACTCGCCGCTTGATTCTGTCAGCAGAAACAGAATCAGCAACAAGAACAATTTGTCTTCATTCCCACCAGCAATTGCCCCTCTCCCTCGCCCTCGCTCGCTCAACTCCCCTGTCTGAATCTTGCGCCCGGGCGCTCGCCTCATATCCTAGACTCTGCGGATCAGCCGAAGGTCCAAGCACCACCAACAACAACAGATCATCACCAACTAGCAGCAGGCGTTCACGATCGAGTTTGCTAACACCTATCCTCACGCCCCCCTCCCTCTTTGTCTCTCCCGTCTGTTTGCTCTGGGTGGCCACAGATCCGAGAGCTACGACATCCAGAAACATCATTCCTCAAACAAGCCCAGGTTCCCACGCGCCCATCTCGTCGGCCCGTGTCTCGCTCACCTCTAAGACACAGCAAGGGCTCAAACGGCTTCCGTCTTTCCGCCCGAGATCATTCCCGCTACGCCGTCATCTGTCATCATTCCACCCTGCTCAATCTAAACCCTTCGTATCATCCAAATCACGAGAATCCTTCTGGCCCAAGTGACATCAGCACTGATCAGTCCCTCCCCCACTCATGGCGCAGACTCGCATCCTCAGATTCGCTCGCAGCGATGACAAGTCCGCCTTTGTCCTCGTCCAGGTCACCCCAAAGGGCTCAAAGCCGTTGGATCTCAAGCTGGTGGGCACTGAGGGGGAGGCGCCATATGTCGCATCATGCAAGTCATTCCATTCCCCTCCATTGCATCGCAATCTACAACCCTGGTCCGCAATTTCCAGCACTGACGTAAACTGACTTCTTGTTAGTGAAACACGATAGGGTTGTGTCTCTCCGTGTGAAGAATTGTCCAGCTTCAGAGGACGAATGGCAGAGCATCCTCGAGGCCTTGTTTCAGCAGGAGCCGGTTCCGGACATCCAGGCCACAGCCACAGTTCAGAATGACAAGAACATCTCAATCACCATTCGAAAAGAGATACAGGGCATCACTGTGGGTCTATGATGCCATCTCTGAAACTCGAATGAGGCACTAACCAGTCTAGCAACGCCTTGGCGCAGTCACCCTCAACTATGATCCGGATGAGGCCATCGAGCTGTTTGAATGGTGCGGTGCAGCCGTTGAGAGCTCCGCCGCCAGTAAGCAAGCCGTGGCTGACTTGACAGTCAAATCGGCCGATTCGGAGGCTGCCGTAACTCAGCTTCAGTCCCAGCTGGAGGAACTGCTCCGAGCCAAGGATGAGGATGAGACAGCCTTGCTAAGGAAGTTCAGAGACCTGTTAAACGAGAAGAAGGTCAAGATCCGTGAGCAGCAACAGGTCTTGGCATCGACGACTTTCAACGCCAGTATGCCGGGTCAATCACAACGAGCTGAGTCTGTTGAGGTGAAGGTCGAGGAATCAGAAGTCAAGCAACCAAAGAAACCCGTTCGTAAAGCAGGCAAGTCAAGGGCATCAAAACGAAAGGCTCCGGCTTCAAAGCCGGTAGAAGAGTCGGAAGAAGAGGATGTCCAACCGATGGAGGTCGACATCAAGCAAGAACCCGAGGACACTGATCCCGGAAACACAACGGAAGCAACTGCATCGGTTTCTGGTGACGATGAAGATGACGACGCCGGAGTGCTTTCCAGCTCCTCTCAGCAGAGGGCTGTTTCGGAATCAGCTGCTCCTCAAGAGGAAGCTCCAACACAAGTCTCACAGCCTCCGCCACGAAGGGAACTTCCTTTTGCACTCAGAAAGAAATCTGCCAAGCCTGCTCCCCCACCTGCAGGAAGTGATACAGATTCTGATGACGAATTATGAGTTATGAGTTATGAGAGGTACAAAGCCTTGCATAGATATGTCTCTCAAGTAGTCATTGTATAAATCAACTTTACGCGGACTCAGTGTCCACTTATAGCAATCGACTGCTATTTCTATCATGACACATTACAACGTGAATCTCCAGCAACTTAGGATCGATCGTTCTCATCAAACTTGTTCTTCCAGAATCCGCGGAAGTGCTTTTGGCTTCCCAGTCTGGAGATCTCGGCAATCTCCTCAGGTGTCAACTTGAACTTGGGAAGCCTGGACAGGTAGCCCTCGAGTCTCTCCACCTTGTTGCTCGTTGTGAGCGCAATGATGTCTTGATCGATCACCCATCGGAGACCAATCTCAGACTCTGTGACATCATACTTCTTGGCCAATTCAGTGTAAAGACTGTCGACGGGACCACCCTTGGCTGTGACGAGAGGGGTAAGGGGACCGTAGGAGGACACAGCAATGCCGTGCTTCTTGTGGAAGGCAACGAGATCACCGTGCTGGAGATAAGGGTGGTACTCGATCTGGTTGATGGCGGGCTTGACCTTGGCCGTCTTGAGGATGGCCTCGAGGTGCACCTGCAGGAAGTTGGACACGCCGATGGACTTGACACGACCAGACGCCTGGAGCTGCTCGAGCTCAGCCCAGCGCTTCTGCAGGTCCTCGTCGGTCTCGGCGAACCAGGGGCCGTGGATGAGATACAAATCGACGTACTCAAGGCCGAGCTTCTTAAGGGAGACGTCAAACGAGTCAATGGCGGAACCCTTCTTCTCGGCGGGGATCTTGGTGGTGACATAGAGCTGCTCCCTGGGAACGCCACCCGCCTTGATGGCCTGGCCAAGCTCCTCCTCGTTGCCGTAAACTAGAAATGATCAGTAGTGTTCAATATTAACCTGGAATTGGACTGACCTTCGGCACCGTCGAGATGGCGATAGCCGACCCCAATGGCCTTGGTGGTGATGTCAATCACATGAGCATCGAGGCCGCTGTTGGGGTCGTTCTTGTACTGAGCAGTTCCCAGACCAAAAGCAAGCTACAACGTGTAAGCTGGTGCTGTTCCGCAGATGGAATCAAGTTCCTGAGTTGTGTGTCCGGAATAGTGACTCTTGGAGGATAAACGTACAACCGGGATCTCATTGCCGTCATTGAGCTTGTAGTGGGGGATATCCAGTGGAGCGCCCATCTTGAATGATTCTCTTCTCACAGGGTGAATAGTCGTTTAGAAAAGTACTTGGTTCTGATCCAGCAGGAGGTGTTTAGTAGAGTTTCAATTGAGGTTCAAGAGTTGCAGCCGCAAGCGGGAAGCTGCGTCGTTTAAGAAGTCTCCCCTCCCTCCCCCACCAACGCATTAACACGGCAGCGATATCCACGGGAATGGCGATCGAGAGTGGGACAATGCCGTGATCTTCGGCCGAGCGACCTCGGCGGACAAGCTAGAAAAGCAACCAGGGCATGTACTTGCGGGGTCTTTGCACATTTGCTGTCGAAATGGCGCCCTGTGCTGTAAGGCGTGAGATGGATGCGTCACGTCTTTCTTGCAGGGACTAGTCCTCCAATTGTTGCAGTAACTGAACAAGGAGTATGACGATGACGATAGATGTAGCATGTGTTGATACAATTGAAACTAATGCCTACCTCGAGTTGCTACTTCTTCCCCATTCTTGTGTCATGAGCAATTGCCTGATGGTAACCCGGAAATAACTATCCGGATAGGATGTAGGGCGAGATCGGAAAACATCATAGATGCAGTAGTATTAGAAATCAATATTAGAGACGGCATATCGGACCGGCAGACATTGCCTCAGCGTCAATGTCAATGCGTCCTACCATATATATAGATATAACTATCAGTGGCATTGGCATTGGCGTTGGCGTTGGCGTTGCTTTTATAGCACCAAGTTCACCCGGCATTGATAGGCTAACAGCACATTCACCAACACCGATCAAGTGACCGGCGATAATTCCGTCCATCTCATAACCCGTCGATTTCCCCCGTACCTCGCATGCAAGTCGTCGGCATCACCAATTCCGACGTAGAAACGCGGCCCGGTTCCGTCTTACATGCGTCCGAGCAGCCGGGGGTTAATCGGAGCTGACAATGTGGGGGGGAGCCCGAAGCCCCGGAGATGTGATGTCAGTGGGCGACGGTAAGCGTACCTCGAGTCGCCACACCTTTTTTGTCAGCGAAACACCATAGGTCGGCGGCAGATGCTACCGTTAGCAGGCATCCATTGTCACTATTGCCGCTCTCGTAAATAATTCCAAATCAAATTCCAAATCAATATTCGACCTGCGCGGTATAAATCCCTCCATTGATGCTCTGTCGCAACGCCCTCCGCAGAGTTACCCCTCGGTCACCTTTGCAGAGAATCAACAAGATGGCAGCCCATCTCTCCAACGGTGCGGCGACGCCCAATTCGAATTACCCCGGCGCATCCCTCGAGGATCTTCCCAAGTCATGGCACTTTACCGAATCGCTACCCGCCGATGCCGTCTTCCCTACGCCCGCCGATTCGCACAAGACCCCACGAGATCAGATAACACCCCGACAAGTCCAAAAAGCCATCTTCACATGGGTGCGCCCAGCTGAGCAGAAGGACCCCGAGCTTCTTGCCGTTAGTCCAGCTGCGTTGCGAGATCTGGGTATCAAGGCTGGGGAGGAAAAGACGGAAGACTTCAGACAATTGGTTGCCGGCAATAAGCTCTACGGCTGGGATGAAGAAAAGCTTGAGGGAGGATATCCGTGGGCTCAATGCTATGGTGGTTTCCAGTTTGGACAATGGGCTGGTCAACTCGGCGATGGCAGAGCTATCTCCCTCTTCGAGACAACCAATCCAGCCTCTGGTGAGCGGTACGAGCTTCAGCTCAAGGGCGCCGGTCTGACACCCTACTCCCGCTTCGCCGATGGAAAAGCCGTTCTCCGATCGAGTATCCGGGAGTTTGTCGTTTCAGAGGCACTCAATGCGCTCAAGATTCCCACCACTAGAGCATTGTCGCTTACCCTGTTGCCAGACTCCAAGGTCCTTCGGGAGAGGGTTGAACCGGGAGCTATTGTGCTGCGGTTCGCCCAGTCTTGGTTGCGTCTGGGCAACTTTGATATCCTCCGTGCCAGGGGAGACCGCGACTTGATCAGAAAGCTGTCTACGTATATTGCTGAAGACGTCTTTGGTGGTTGGGATGAACTACCTGCTCGATTGGAGAACCCAGACGAGCCGAAGACTTCGCCGCCGCCGAAGCGTGGAGTTGCAAAAGATACCATTGAAGGACCTGAAGACGGTGAGGAAAACCGGTTCACGAGGCTTTATCGAGAAGTTGTCAGACGCAATGCAACAACAGTGGCCAACTGGCAAGCATACGGGTTCATGAATGGAGTGCTGGTAAGTTATCAGATTATGAATCTGAAGTAAGACTGCTTACTGACAGCATGAAGAACACAGACAATACCTCCATCTATGGACTCTCGATAGACTTTGGTCCGTTTGCCTTTATGGACAACTTTGATCCGACATACACACCAAATCACGATGACTACGCCCTGCGATACAGCTACAGAAACCAGCCCACCATCATCTGGTGGAATCTCGTCCGCTTCGGCGAGGCAATTGGCGAGATGATGGGAATGGGGGCCAAGGTGGACGACCCAACCTTTGTTGAAAAGGGTGTTACAGAAGGGGAGGAGGCAGCAGTTGTAGCCAGGGCCGAGAAGCTCATCACACAGGCCGGCGAGGAGTTCAAGATTGTCTTCCTTAATGAGTACAAGAGACTCATGACTGCCCGGCTTGGTCTAAAGACACACAAAGACTCTGACTTTGACGTGCTCTTCAGCGAAGCCTTGGATACCCTGGAAGCCTTGGAACTGGACTTTCACCATTTCTTCCGTCGCCTCAGCAACCTCAAGCTGCAAGATCTGGCCACCGAAGAGGGTCGAAAGGAGAAGGCATCCACTTTCTTCCACAAGGAAGGCCCGCCGACGACTGGCACAGAAGATGGGGCCAGGGAGCGCATTGCAAAATGGCTGGCCAGCTGGCGAGAACGTATTGTCGAAGACTGGAAGGATGAGGGCGACAACGTGCCAGAAGAGAAGGACAACGAGAGGATCAAGGCCATGAAGAAGGTCAACCCCAACTTTGTCCCTCGCGGCTGGATCCTCGACGAGGTTATCAAGCGCGTCGAAAAGGACGGTGAGAGGGATGTACTCGACCGCATCATGCAAATGGCTCTTCACCCATTCGAAGACGCCTGGGATGGACAGACCTTCGAGGGGCAGACATTCCAAGGCGACAAGGACGAGGAGACTCGGTGGATTGCCGACCCTCCCAAGACTGAGAGAGCCATCCAATGTAGCTGTAGCTCATAGATATAGACAACAGCGTACAGCCTTTCGAATCATCTCCAAGGTCACGTCTACAACTATTCAAATTGGTTCAAACTGGTGGTATGTAACGACCGGCGGTAAGAGGCAGCGGTCATGGAGATTGGTTACTCTCCCATGCTTCCATAAACGGCGTGATATTTCTCTTGAGCACAAGATAGAGGAAGACTCGACTGATGCAACAGTTCTGCAGAAGCAGTCCTGTTGCGCAAGCTCACCTACAATAAAATGTGCCCGTGTACAATTTGTTTGGTGAAGAAGAAAGAAAAATTCCAAAATAGCGGCCGAAGATGGAGACAATGAGGTGATGGGTTCTGCCTTATGGCCTCAGGCATCAGATATTTGGTGCTGACCAATGAGCATCTACGTAAATTAATCGCGGACTAGCGCCACTAAATCCATCACCCGAACAGCAGTTCCCTTCGAGAGACGTCAACGACTGAGCACATATTCGCCGCAACGGCCTGCAACGTTCATCTCCTTCACCCCGTCAAGGCGACACGATGCTCCGACATACCATAGCTCGTTCGGCTTGGCGGACCAGCCGGCGGGCGGCCAATGTCTCGCGAGCCTTCGCGACGACAAGCCAGCGTCCAGCCGAGGTGGAGCTGACGATTGGTGAGCATCTTTGTGTCCCGAGCCATTGACCGTCCGAGGATAGCTAACAGTGCTGGTAGATGGAAAGAAGGTCTCGATTGAAGGTACGCTTGGATGTATGGCCGGCGTTGGGGTCTTGTTCTGACGAAATTGTAGCCGGTTCGGCCCTTATCCAGGCCTGCGAGAAGGCGGGTGTGACAGTCCCGAGGTAAGTTGACACAGCAATGACGACTTGAGTGGCCTGGCTGACATTGTCTAGATACTGCTACCATGAGTACGATCCCTCCGAGCGTTCGTCCGACCGATATAGAGCTGACAATGCTTCAGGAAGCTTATGATTGCCGGCAACTGCCGAATGTGCCTGGTGGAGGTTGAGAGGGCCCCGAAGCCCGTCGCCTCTTGTGCCTGGCCCGTACAACCCGGAATGGTCGTCAAGACCAACTCTCCTCTTACCCACAAGGCCCGCGAGGGTGTCATGGAGTTCCTGCTCGCCAACCACCCCCTCGACTGCCCCATCTGTGATCAGGGTGGTGAGTGCGATCTCCAGGACCAGTCCATGCGTTACGGAGCCGACCGAGGCCGATTCCACGAGATTGGCGGCAAGCGAGCCGTCGAAGACAAGAACATTGGCCCCCTGATCAAGACGTCCATGAACCGATGCATTCACTGCACCCGATGTGTCCGTTTCGCCAACGATATCGCCGGAGCTCCGGAGCTTGGCTCCACCGGCCGTGGTAACGACCTCCAGATTGGCACCTACCTTGAGAAGAACCTGGACTCTGAGATGTCCGGCAACGTTATCGACCTCTGCCCCGTTGGTGCCCTCACCTCCAAGCCCTACGCCTTCCGAGCTCGTCCCTGGGAGCTGAAGCACACCGAGTCGATCGACGTCCTTGACGGCCTTGGGTCCAACATCCGAGTTGACTCCCGTGGTCTCGAGGTTATGCGTATCCTCCCCCGATTGAACGACGACGTGAACGAGGAGTGGATTAACGACAAGACTCGATTCGCCTGTGACGGTCTCAAGACTCAGCGTCTGACCATGCCTTTGGTCCGCCGTGAGGGTCGCTTCGAGGCCGCCGACTGGGAGGAGGCTCTGTCCGAGGTTGCCCGAGCCTGGCAGATTAAGAACCCCCAGGGCAACGAGTTCAAGGTTATTGCTGGTGCTCTTACTGAGGTCGAGTCTCTTGTTGTTGCCAAGGATATGGCCAACAAGCTCGGCTCCGAGAACCTCGCCCTGGATACCCCCACTGGCAGCCAGCCCATTGCCCACGGTGTCGACGTCCGATCCAACTTCCTCTTCAACTCCCAGATCTGGGGTATCGAGGAGGCTGATGCCATCCTGATTGTTGGCAGCAACCCCCGACATGAGGCTGCTGTCCTCAACGCCCGTATCCGAAAGCAGTGGCTCCGATCCGACCTTGAGATTGGTGTTGTTGGTGAGACCTGGGACTCCACCTTTGAGTTTGAGCACTTGGGCAACGACCACGCTGCTCTCAAGCAGGCTCTTGCCGGACCCTTCGGGGCCAAGCTCAAGGCTGCCAAGCGACCCATGATCATCGTGGGCTCTGGTGTTACTGACCACGCTGATGCCAAGGCTTACTACGAGACCGTCGGCGCCTTTGTTGAGAAGTACGCTGACAACTTCCGAACTGAGGAGTGGCAGGGTTACAACGTTCTCCAGCGTGAGGCCTCGCGTGCCGGTGCTTTCGAGGTTGGCTTCACTACCCCCTCTGCCGAGGTTGCCGAGACCAAGCCCAAGTTTGTCTGGCTCCTGGGTGCCGATGAGGTCAACGAGGCCGACATCCCCAAGGATGCTTTCGTTGTCTACCAGGGCCACCACGGTGACAAGGGCGCTCAGATCGCCGATATCATCCTCCCCGGTGCTGCCTACACTGAGAAGGCTGGTACTTACATCAACACCGAGGGCCGAGTCCAGATGACCCGTGCTGCCACCTCTCTGCCTGGCGCTGCCCGAACTGACTGGAAGATCCTCCGAGCTGTCAGCGAGTTCCTGGGTGCTCCCCTTCCCTACGATGACGTCGCCATGGTTCGGGACCGCATGGTTGAGATCAGCCCTGCCCTGGCCGCCTACGATGTCGTTGAGCCCGTCGCTCTCCCTGCTCTGAGCAAGGTTCAACTTGTGGACCAGAACAAGGGTGCCGCTGCTAGCGGTTCTCCTCTCAAGAAGGTTATCGACAACTTCTATTTCACAGATGTTATCTCACGAAGGTATGATACATGTCTCTGCTCGACTAGCAAAACCCCCCTGCTGACTCTTTTACCTAGCTCGCCAACAATGGCACGCTGCTCGGCAGCCAAGGCTACGGGTGACCCCCGGACAAACTTTATGGCTCCCGGAATGGAGGAGGATAGGCCCATGGGTCAGGTCGAGTATGGGGCATAAGGGGGCGGAAGCTGTAAAAGAATAGAAAGATTTTTTGCTGTTTTTGCGTCTCGGAAGTTAGTAACTAGTGTTTGTACATATAGGACGTCGGGCTTGAGGGCAGAGAGAGGTAAATGAGTTGAGATTACCTGTTTCCCTCGCCGCGACGTAGAAGGTTCAAGACACATTTTCTATGTTACTTCTTCCTCTTCCGGTTGGGATTTGGCAGAAACATGTCCTGGTACTTTTTCTTCGTAGGCGTGATGTTGGGCGACGTCTTCACATTGACGTCCCCTGCCTTTGTAGGTGTAGTATCCTTTGGAAGCCCAGACTTGTGAGTCGATTCCTACTCGGCCGCACGCGCCTGGCTTTCTCTTGCCTGCTCGGCCTTTATCTCTGCCTTGAGCTCTTCACGTCGCTTGGCAAGGTCGGCCTCTCGCGTCTCTGCCAACTCTGCCGCGAAACCCGCAAAGTCGAGGAGCTGTATGGCTTGGCGCTCGCGTATCGGCCGGTTCTGGTTCATGAATTGGGGCTTGGGGATGCTCTTGATCTCGACGTCGGCACCGGGGAGTGGCTTAGCCTCCATGTTGGCGATCATGTCGTGGAGAATCCCAGGGCGAGGAGCATCTGGAGTTACTTGACCCGTCCTTTGCCCATGGGCCTCGAGACGACGGCCCTCTTGCTTGATGCGCTCACGCTCACGAACGCAGAGGTCGAGAAAGTTGTCGCGGTTAGCCGCAACGTGAGCATCCATAGCCTGGAGCTTCCTCTGCAAGCCATCGTGCTTTGTGGCGTCGGCGGGGTCGACAAAGGTCTCGGACTCGGGGATGGGGGCAAAGAGCCCCGCGGTGAAGTTGCCCAGGTTCGGGATGATGGGGTGACCCTTTGGATCTGGGACGTCGTCGAGCTCCGAGGCGCTAGGATCGGGGCGCTGAGGCTGAGCAGCCATTGTTTGCTTCGCTTTTGTTTCTGGTGGGATCGGTCGGATGGGAGGGTGTAGACCCCGCGTTATGGTCGAGGTTGCTCGGCGCGACCAAGCGCTGTGTAGCGTTGCAGTTTGTGCATGTGATGGTGTAGGACTGGTGATGTGGGAGTTGAGAGGTACCTGCATAAGCTCTTTGAAGTGATGAGGCTGAGCAAGTCCAGGCAGGTCTTTAGGTAAGGACATATATACTGCAATAAACCAATGGATTAGTGCCTGCGGGCACAGAAGTGGGCGCTGCACTATGGATGGTATAACAGCTAAGTAGCCCTCTTGGCTTAAGTTTTTGAATGTTCAACTTTTTGACAGATCAAGATACATGTTCGAATCCGCCGTTATTTTTTGTCTTTTGCATTGCGTCATGTTCTCTCTATCGCCTTGCAAGCCCTGCATCGCCTCTATTCCAAGAGAGATGCTCGAATCTCTGACTTAACCCGGAGCCTTTCTTCTATATTAACCCCATTCGAGCATCAACGGCGCCACCATTCACCGACCGCATTGACAATTAGATGTAGGTACTTGACAGAAAGCAGGTATACATGTTCCAATCATGCTGGTTCCAAGCTTCTCTTGCCAATTAGGGGGTTAGAAACCTCGATATCCAAGATCTGAGGAGGCATCAAGCACCTATCCTCTGTATCGACTTCAGTCCGCTCTTCAAGGGCCGGAGCCTGGTAGACTCGCAGGTTGGCCACGACTTGGTAGGACTTTCCGGACGTATTCCCTCGCAAGCCTCAGAGCTGCCCTCACCAAATCCTCTAACCGTCGGTCCTTGCGCTTCCTCATCCATAGTAATACGATGGCCAAGATGACGAAATCTGCAGACAGATGCTTCACCACTAGCCAAGCGAACCACTTGGCCCACGCCGGGAAGCTGCGCTGCTTCTTTGCTCGCCACTCCCGGCCCGTCGTTATCTGCTCCCGTAGCGCGGCCACCTCGGCTGACATGGTCGTTAGGGCTCGTTCCACCCTTCGTTGCCACCGGCCTCCACGTTGACTGCCTTCTTGTCCTTCTTCCATCTCGTCCTCGAGGTCGAGCTGCCGCTGCGATCGCAATTCCGCCTCGTCGTATTCGCTCATTGGGCTAATCATCTTCATGGGGCCTTCGGCTTCGCTCGGGGGGTCGGCATAGTGTTGTTGGGATGCGCCGCCTGATCGGTTCGCTCTCGGTGATGACATGGACGAGCTCGGGCTGTTGTGTTTGATTTGATTCCAGACGAATTCGAGCTCCGCGACGAGTTCCTTGGCGTCTCTGGAAGGGTGTCAGTGAATTCGGCTCTTCTGCAGGTCGTGCCGAAGGGGTCTCTTACGGTGTCGTCGCATAGCGATGCATCGTATCTATCAAGGCCTCGACATATCTCCTCTTAGACTCTGTCCGGCTCAGGCCCTTCTGTAGATTCCACGCATCCCACTTGTCCTTCTCGCGCTGCAGGTCGTCAGGAGCCATCCCTGAGGCAGCATTCGGGCGCTCCATAACGCCGTCCACGTCGCCCTCCATAGCTTGCTTGTAGAGTCCATAGAGCCGTAGCCGATCGTTCGGTGGCGGCCGTGACGCGCCCGTCTTGGGTATCTTCTTTACTGTGTTGAGGGCGTGCACAAACACGCGATCTGTAGCCATCACGTCAGCCATCGCGAACCATCAACCTCGGCGCCATCGGTGCCCCGGATTTCGGAGAGGCAAAAAAGCAACCCCAGGAATTAGCACAGCAATGACGTACCCACTGAATCCGCCATCTTCTTTATAGAAGGCGGCTCACAGCTCGCCAACTGCGACCTTGTGAAAGCGTGACAAGGTGTCGAGGGCCGAGGTCTGGATATCCTTTATCGGGGTCTGAGCCGTCCGGACCGCGGCTTGCTGGCCGAGATAAAGCAATGGAACCCCACTGACGCCAAATAAAGTCGCGGGTGGCCAGGGGAAGTAGTAGTGGCGTGGATTCAGGAACGAGGGGAGATATTAACAGCTTTGAAAAAAGATAAATACAGAATTAAAAAGAGAAACAAGCAATGAGGCGAAAGAGTAACCTAATACGCCGGATCCTATGACTCCATTGGGAAAAAAAGAAGAAGAGGGCCCTTTTTTTGGAGGAGGAGAAGGGGTAAAGGGGGACCAGGCTAATGCTTGACGGGTGATCAGAAGCGAGCGATGATGATGCTGGATCTGAATTGCGGAGGCCGTTTATCGGCAAATGGACTGGACTTTGACCTCGGCGCGGGCACCTCAGGCTCACGACTCGCGACGGACGGAGCCTGTGGACGGGACTCGGGGATGCGGTTACAAGGGCCGTCCCCACTGAAGCGCGTGAGCTTCTAGGGGGGTTCCAAGAGACGTCAATCAATCAACGGGCAGCCCCAGACGGATGGGATCTGGGGCAATTGAACTTGACTGGATCCATTCATCGCGCCGCCTGTGAGATGGATGGATGTCGTCGGGGTCGGGGTTGTTCACCCATGGCAGTGTTTTGCAGTTTGGGCCGAGACACGTGAAAGGTAGGGCGAGGTAGCATTGATGAACATGCTCAACTTGCGCTAGCTGGATTACTTTTTGCATTAATCATGGCTTATTTGATATTAAACCCAATGCTGCTTGGATGAGTTCATTCCATCTTGTCATGCGGAGGTGATGGTTGACTTCATGTAGTAGATCCGATCTCTTGTCGCCAACTCACACTTGTTGAGCACTCTCAGTCAAGACATGGAACCCAAGGAAAATATGAGACACGAGAACGAGTATGATAATTAATTCTCCTCTAAATATATTTAATAAATTATAATAAAAATATATAAAAAATCTCCTTATTATTTTACAATTTTATTGTATTCCTTATTAATTAATAACTTATATTTATAAGGAGTTAGGTAAGTCTCTTCAAACTGTCGCGTCTCTTTTATTTCTTTTCCCGCGTACCACTGTACCTAAGGTGGGTAATCTTGTTGTTTCCACCGGGAGTTATGGACTTGATGATAAACGACTTCTACCTACCCTCTTGCACTCAAAAACGCCTGCTTCTTGTCCCCAAGCAGCTTCATCAGCTTCCGGTTCTCCAACGCCGCGCTCGCCGCCTTCGCACCCGCTTCCGTCTTCTTCAACGCAGTTCCAACGCCCAACAGCTTGTTTGTCTCCCCCCAGCCGTCCAAATAGACACCTATCGCGTATAGAGGAAGCCCTAGGTTCTTATCCTTCTTGTTACATGGCATGTCCTCATACCGAATTTTGACACCCTTGACGACGAGAATCTGGGCAAGGCGCTCCTTTGGCGTGGGCTCCTTCGGTGGTCTTGCTTCGCCTTCGGCAGGTTGATCGACTTGAATCTTGGGTGCAGAGGCGTCTGCCCTCTCTACCTTTATGATCTGGTCTTTGATAGTACGGCTCCAGAGTGCCTTGAGCCAGGCCGCAGCGTTTGTCCGCCCTTGCACGGGGTCTGCTCGTATAATTGCTCCGACATATGCTTCGAAAATATCTCCTTGAATCTTGATGACATCCCTGTCTCTCGGCTTCGTGCGCATCAACTGCTCCATGGTCCCCATATCGGCCGGGAGCTGAGTTCTCTTGTGAAATTCATACTGTCGGTAGTATTCTGCCAATGTGACGTTGCGCACAAGCTGCTCGCGAAGTTGAGACAGACGTCCCACTGTGAGGTGATTCTCAAAGGTTTGCATGACAAGGTCTGTGGAGATGGTCTCGAGGGCAGCGTCACCGAACCACTCGAGGATTTCATAGTTGGGTCCATATCCAATTCCGGGGTGTCTGAAAACTGCCGTCTCGAGCTCTGACTTTGCTATGGGTGGTAGAGGTGGGAGCTCTTTCGGAATGTCCGAAGAAGTCCAGGGTGTGATGCCCGCGATGATTGAACCGACTGTGTTGACTGTGTTGGGTGTAAGATGCGGGCGCTTTCGAAGCCCTTCATCCTCGAGGGTTTCTGAGTTCCGTCGTTTACTCATTTGGCCGTGAACAACAGTGAAGATTAAATAAATATGAAGTATACACAGCTTCGAGAGGGTCTAAAAATTGTACGACGTTGTGTTTTCATGGAGGTTGAATAAACTGAATCTTTGAGGTGAAGGCAGGAGGACCCTTGGATCCCGCGAAGCCCCACCAGAGGTTTCTTCAGCCAATCAGTACCCCTCGTTCCACTTCGGCTCAGATGCTTCTCAACGTCAATTCGACTTCGAAAAAAGTTGACTGGAACACATTTCATGTCATCCACGCCAAGATGAGTATCCCACGAGCGCGGATATTGGATTTGATCAAGGTAAGAAGCCCAATTCTGGCTCTGTAACACTGTTGCTGACTTTCCCCAGGCGCAATGCCAGGTCTTCGCGACCACCTTCAACCCTGAGGGTGTTCGCATGGGCAACAAGGTCCTCCGACAGCGACTCAAGGGCCCGGCCGTGGCCGCCTACTACCCTCGAAAGACAGCTACGATCAAGGACCTGAAGCGCGAGTTCGGCCCGACCCTGGCGACCTGGGATGAGGCGGAGGAGGATCGATTCGAGTACATCGACGAGTAAGCGCGGACACGAACATATTTGCCGAGGATGAGGTATACTGACGGTTGGATTCTAGACTCAAGCTCCGTGGAAAGAGTGCGCCCAAGAAGAAGAGGGGACCCCCAGGTACGAGCAGCAATGCACACGATGGAGACCAATGGCTAACGAATCTTCAGCTCCCACCGGCAAGAAGCGATAAACTGAACGAAACCCACCATGACGCCTCCGATGTCGATGATGGTGGCCCAGAAGGATCCTCCCGCACGCCGCAAGAGCCGAATGTTTGGATATATGCACGACTCCTTGCGCGCAGCAGAGGGGAGGACGGGGCCGGGAAAGTCTTGATGTTTCCCTTGTGGTTTTTCATCCAAGTATGTAAAACTATTTGTACCATTAACCAAAATACATCTGCATATGACCTAAATGCCAAAACTTTGCGACATCATTGATATGTGTGCGGGCAAATTCGTGACGGAAAGACTACCATGCTCCTGGATGAGCCATCTGCCAGAGGTTCCTGGGGCTGAGTTGGCCCTCTCCCTGATCTGTGGACTGGATTTCATCTGCGATTGTAATACTGGAAAGCATCAATGCCTACTTAGGTAGGAATACTTCCCAAGGGGCCTAATCTTGGCTACCTATGATGCCCTGAATCCGTCCATGTAAGCTGCATCAAGCGCCCCTCAACATAGACCTCTTCTGCCCCAAGGCTCCTACCAAGTATCTTGTCACTTGTGCGCTTTCGATCCATGATAGATCTATATCTAATCTCTAGTGGCAGGAACTCCAGCTCAACGCTTGTCGAGCTCCGCCCGTGATCAATGTTTCGCTTGACGTCGCCTCGCATCACAAGCTACGTGCCTCCCTATCTAGGCAACCAGGAGTCGACATTTGAGTTCTACGCGTTTAAAGCGCCGACACCTTATTCATTTAGAAGGTCATTCGGGGCCTCCTCTACAAATTCAGTCGGGCCGTCTTGGTGTTTTTGCCCGTTTTATGAAAATGCCCACCAAGCTACAGTGCAAACCCCCTGAGGACCGTCCGTGACTGCCAGCTGCAATCGACATCTTACACTGGCAGGAGCGACCACGTTCGTGGCAATGACTGTCGGCTGCTGCCACTTGCCGCGCCTACGCTCCTTCCCTTCGTCTTTCCTCCGCCTTGGCCCTGCTCAAATACTTGGTCAGTGAATAACCGTCCTCTTCTCCACCGTCTTCTCCTCTTCTCTTCGACTCTCCCCATTCACTTTTCTCTTCTCTTCACTCCCACAACCCTTCTTGGCCACGGCGTTCTGCACATTCACTCTCGTTCTTCTTTCTCCGTCACTCCTTTCTTCGTCTTCACAATCTCGGCCGCTATCATTTTACTACACTTCGATTTCTGCCTCTGCTGCATCGGCTCTCGACGCCTCAACCGAGTCCTGCAGCCTCATGTCATCCCCAAAACCTTCCTTGTCCCCACCACAGGCGACCTCTCGCATGCCTCCTGGTGTCGTGCATGCGGGTGACTCAGTGTCTCCCTCCGTCTCTGCCAGCGTACGTCTTACCTCGGTTTCCTACCCCCCTCCGCATGCACACTTCTCGCTGGCATCGTCCGCTCGAATGCTTTGCTGCACTACGCATTTTGATAATGGTGCTGATCAATCTTCTACAGGACCTTAGTCTGGGTACCTCGATGAAGAAGAATGTTACGGCTCTTTCTACTTCGAAGCTTGCCAACCAAGGTGTCCCAAAGGTGATTTCAGCTACTTGTCATGATATCTACCGATTGCTGACCATGATAGAAGATGAAGATAAGCCACGATACCTCGCCCGTCGAGGAGTCTTACCCAATGGACAAGCTTCTGGCTAAGCTCTCGGAGCAGCAAGCTGTCTTGTGCCAGCAGAATGAAGCCCTCAAAGCCAGCGAGGATGGCGGTGCGTATCCGAGAGGCCTGGATCATGCCTCTTCCAGCAACTCTCTCCCCATCACTCCTGCTACCGATGCTTTCCCAAGCACTGCTCCTACCACTCGCCCAGCAAGCGCCGCTCTTGAAGATGCCCGTGGCGACACCGAGGAGATCATGCGTCTGAAGCTGCAGCTTGCGCAGGCCAAGAGTGAAATCTCCAAGCTTGACCAGGAGCTGGCCGAGACCCGTTCGCTGAAGCAAGAACCCGATATCTCAGCTTTCGGTCTTCGAGGCCCGCCTACCTACGCTCCTCGTGAGGGTGCCTGGGGAACCCCAGAGGACGCGCATTCTGATACTAGTGATGCCATGTCCACCACTACCTTCAGCCGCACTCGAGGAATCTGGGGCCATCCAAAGGGCTCTTTTGCCAACAACACTCTCCAGGCTCCAGTTTCCGAGCCTTCCCCGGGAAACTGGCTCGGAGGTCGTGGTTTCAATGCCCCTTACCCAGATCCGACTGGCAACCCTTACCCCGGTGTGGAGGCTCATCGAGGTGACCGCCTGACCCCGGACTCCGAGATGATGCGTTCCAACAACGGCCGTCGCAATAACCGTTTCGAAGGCCGATTCAACTCGCCTCAGCCATTTGGACCTGGCTACGGAGGGGGTTACAGCAGCCCCGCCAGCCATACTGATTACACGGGTAGCCCAGTGCCCGGAGCGCCCATGAATGTCCCCCAGGGACTTGGCCCCATGGGGATTTTTCCACCTTACCCAGGCCAGCCGGTTGGTACTCCCTTATCCCCACATGCATCAGAGTTCACTTCTAAGGGTGGTTGGAAGAATGAGGTCGGTAAATCCTCCAAACCCACGCCATGGGCACTAACCTGGGTACAGGTTGTGTCTCCCGAGGACCAAACATATCTCCCGCCTACAGAGCCACTCAACTACCGTCGTCTGCTAGACCGAAACGTTAACTGCAACTGGAAGTATATCGTCGACAAGATCGTTTGCAACAATGATCAGCAGGCTTCCATCTTCTTGCAACAGAAGCTCAAGGTCGGTACCCCTGAGCAGAAGTTCGAGATTGTCGAGGCTATCGTGGCTCAAGCCTATCCTCTCATGGTCAACCGCTTTGGCAACTTTCTTGTGCAGCGTTGCTTTGAGCACGGAACGCCTGAACAGGTCGTCAACATTGCCGAGTCGATTCGAGGCAACACCCTGAACCTCTCGATGGATCCTTTCGGGTGTCATGTTGTTCAAAAGGCTTTCGATTCTGTTCCTGAAAACTTCAAGGCTATCATGGTTCACGAGCTTTTGCGCCGGATCCCGGAGACGGTCATCCACCGCTACGCTTGTCATGTCTGGCAGAAGCTTTTTGAGCTTCGGTGGACTGAGTCCCCCCCTCAGATCATGAAGTATGTCAATGAGTCTCTTATGGGCATGTGGCATGAGGTAGCTCTGGGTGAAACCGGCAGCCTCGTCGTCCAGAACATCTTTGAAAATTGCCTCGAAGAGGACAAGGTACATGGCCCCTCTCCACGATTTAGATGTTTTGCTAACGTGTTCTATAGCGCCCCTGTATCGAGGAGGTCCTCGCCAACATTGACATTGTTGCCCATGGCCAGTTCGGAAACTGGTGCATCCAGCACATCTGCGAGCACGGCGCTCCTCCCGACCGTAGCCGGGCAATCGACCATGTCATTCGCTACGCTGCCGAGTACAGCACCGACCAGTTCGCCTCGAAGGTGGTTGAGAAGTGCCTCAAGATTGGTGGTGCTGAGTTCCTTGGCCGCTACCTTGACCGAGTTTGCGAAGGACGTCGCGATCGCACCCGCATCCCCTTGATTGACATCGCGAGCGATCAGTATGGAAACTACCTCATCCAGTGGATCCTGAACAATTCCTCTCCTCAGCATCGCGAAATCGTTGCTGCTCACATCCGGAAGCACATGGTCTCCCTTCGCGGATCCAAGTTTGGTTCCCGAGTCGGAATGCTCTGCACCAACCATGCGGTTACCACCCGTCCCGGTCCTGGTGCCGGCCCAGGAATGACTGGACGCATGGGAGCTGGGCCACGCTACAGCGGTGGCTATCGTTGAAGGTCCTTGATCTTTTTGACGACGTCGCCTTTGCTAGCGGCCTTTCCTGCTGAGACAGGCGAAACCCTCTCGACGCCTGTCTTTCATCCTTTGTCACCACCCATGTCACGGAGTCCCTATCTGAATTCGCCATTCGTTCCACTCGTCAAGATCACGCAGAACAGCCCAGAATATGTCGACCTTTCTTAAGAAACATCTTCCCACGCAAAAATTTACAGCTCACACGTCATCCTACGCTCAGCAGGCTACTGCTTGCTTGGGTGCATTGGACACATTATGGTTATGGATTTTGCAATATGCAGGAGATGGCAGATGCTAATCACCGCAGCCGCCCTCGAAGGGCCACAGTTTGCATCTCACCGCTCGCCCTCTACATGATACGAAGCCAGTGAGGGGGAGCGCCCTTTCCAAGATGCCAGAACCATACTTCAGTCAGCCTATGAGTAGCAGGGATGGTGATCTAGGAGGACGCCCTTGGAGGGCGGAACGAACTGAGTTCACATGAGAAATTGTATGCTGTTTTTCGATGCGGATGCCGGCTGGGTTCGGTGCCCCTTAAATGAGTTGTTATGGTAGTTACTAAACACCTTTAATACACTTGCTTCTCTTATCCAGACTCCTTGCTTGAAGTTTGTGATGTATGACGCCCGAATTTGTGCGCCATGTTGACTTTTCTTGGTGCTTTCTTTGCGAAAGCAACTAAAGGTACAGAAACAAGCACGATATTGGCGTTAGGGCCGGCTGTGACAGTTGATGTTACCCGGTAGAAATGGCATTGACTTGTGTCTTTTTTTAGGCAGTGGCAACATTCGCAGAGGCAGGGACATCATCGTCAACTGGTGGAAACTCGGTGTCCAGAGCCTTTGGGAGATCTGGGAGAGTTGGGGGGTCGGCGGCCGCGTCTTTCTCCCATGGCTTCCTTGGGACAGCCCTGGCCCCTACAGGCTTGACAGACTAACAAAACATCAGTGCTGTTTTATGCTATGCTGGCTTTTTTGAGTACACTTACAGGATCTCGAGCAATGGTGTTGGGGATCTGGCGGATTCCAGGCACGGGTTTGCCCTCCTTCAAAAGCTTAATCATCTCAGCAAAGCCCATGGGGTAATTAGGCTGATCCTCTGAGCCTGCTTGTGCAGCCGCAGCCTTACGATCGATGTACAAATCAGCTTTGGGGGCGGCTTTTTGCCAGTCCAAGACTGGTGGCGGAGATGCATTGGGTCCATCACGGCGGTGATACTCCTCTGGGAGGACGTCAGGGGGGCTGTGGTCGGGGTTGCTAGCGAGCCAAGCCTTGTAGGCGGTAAAATCAATCATAACGCCGATTCGTTGGGAATAGTAGAAGACGCGGGCATGGATGGCCATGTCTACAAGGGAGGCTTGAGGGTTTTGCTGGCCAGGTTCACCGAGGATGGCGTAGAGGCCGGACTGGGGAAAGGAGTAAGTAAAGGAGATTAAGCATGGATAAGGTTGAGGTGTTACCATAAACATCTTGTCTTTTGTCCAGGGGTAAGAGTCAAAAGCAGTGAAGATGGCATTGTCGTCTTTGAGGGCTCGGATGCTGTCGGCTCCGGCGAGGGGCCGTTGGGCAGAGGATTGTTGTTGTTCCATGATGAGGTACTTTCACTGTGGGTAGATCCAATTAGATCCAAGAAGGAACCGGCTGTTGAATAAAAATCAGATATTCATCCGTAGATAGAATTTTGTAAGTGATGGCAATAGAGGCTAATGAAATGGATGGAAGGGTGTATCCGTATGTGAGGTGTGAACGGAGCCTAACTAACATGTGAGAATCCGGGGTCGGCAAGACGGAGCTCACAGGCCAAGGATGAACCCCGAGGTCGGCACCTACTACGAACAAAGTAGGATCACCTAAGATGCCTGGATGAGTATGGCCGGCAGAAGTCGGTCTGAGACAAAACACACGCTCACACAAAGAATAACAAGCAACAACTGGGAAACCAGGTTCAGAGAATGTCGGGTGCTTGTTCCGTTGGCTCACGTGCAGCTGAGAAGGCGACGCAGGCGGGACAGTGTTGGATCAAGTGAGCGAGGGTGTGACCTTGAGGGCATGCGAGAGCTCGGGATATTTCGCGACGGGGAGTTGGTCAGGCAGATATTCTTTTCGTCTGCAACAACTGCAGTCTTTGCCTGGAAGAGATCAGATGAAAAGGTCGATAGGTTCGCAATGGTAAAGTCTTTGATCCTCGACGTCGTTCAACTTTACAGTTAATACCAGAAGGGAAAGGTCGAGATAAGATAGCGCAATCGGGGACCCACCACGGAGCAGCTGTCGCCGCCTGCATCTGGGTCCGCCTCGATTCATCACGGCCTCCTCTTCTATCGCTTCCCCTTCTCTCATCTCATCGCTGTTGCCGAGTCTTTGACCGACAATATCCTAACCTATTTCTTGGGTTACAGCTTTATCCATTAATTCTTTCTTCGCCCTCTTCTTACATCTCAGGCCAAGCTTACCACAAGCTCCAGCCGCCCAGATGAATCGAGTCGCCGTTCGAGCCATTCGGACGACGTCTCTCTCTGCCGTCCGCACCCTCTCCCACACGCCGCGCCGAGGCTTCTCCATCTCGTCGCTCTCGCTCGCTCAGGCCAGGTCCACCGCCAGCGCCCACGCTCGCCGCGCCCGTCGCAACCCAGCAAATACCACGCCGTTGAGGTCCTCCATGTACTTCCGCCGCCTGCCCCTCGCTCTCGTATCCAGTCTCGTCGTCGGATACGGTGCATGGTACTCCTACAACGACTCTAACGCTGCACCAAGTTCGGCCACCGCCTCCAGGAACGTCCTCACTTCGACTCAGACAGCTGATGCGCTGCCCACCCGAACCGTCCTCGTAGTGGGCGCCGACGAGCTCCGACAGGGTACTATTGTTGGCGAGGGTCCCATTTCCAAGGCCACACGTGACGACGGTCGTCGCATCGTCGAGATGCTCACCCCGGAGCAGGCCACCGATAAGCTGCGACGTCTTGAGCAATCCTTCTCCGTCAACCGAGGCCACGGTGTCACCCGCTACGATGTGGTTCAGCTACCCAGCAACGACCCTATTGAGGACGACCATGCCGAGAAGATCGTGGAGGTTCCCAACAGGTCCGCGGGTGCTGAGACTGACAGCAGTGACTGGATGTTCTGGGGTGTCTTTGATGGTCACTCGTGAGTTTCAACATGACAATTGACATTGCGCAAGGCTTTGAAAGCATGACTATATACTTACACTCATTTAGAGGATGGACTACGTCGGCGACTCTGAGAGAAAGCCTGATCAACTATGTTGCGCGGGAGCTCAATGACACATATAAGAAGGCTGCTGGAGACCTTCCCTCGGAGGATGCGGTTAGCCTGGCCATCAAGACTGGTTTCACCAACCTGGACAACGAGATCGTTCACAAGAGTGTCGAGAAGGTTTTCAAGGCTAGTTCCAAAACCGTCGCCGCCGAATTGTTGCAACCTGCACTGTCCGGATCGTGCGCCTTGCTTTCGTTCTACGACAGCCGCAGCAACCTTCTTCGGGTTGCTTGCACTGGTGATTCACGAGCCGTCTTGGGTCGTCGGTCAGATAATGGAAAGTGGACTGCTACGGCCCTGTCGGAGGACCAGACGGGCAGCAACCCCGAAGAGGTTGCTCGCATGCGCAAGGAGCACCCTGGAGAGGAAAACGTGATCCGCAATGGCCGTGTCCTCGGCGGCCTCGAGCCCTCTCGTGCCTTTGGTGATGCCGTCTACAAGTGGAGCAGAGATGTGGCCTGGAAGTTGCGTGAGAACTTCTTTGGACGTAGTCCGTCGCCTCTTCTGAAGACTCCCCCTTACGTCACAGCCGAGCCTATCGTCACCACCACCAAGGTTAATCCCGAAAAGGGCGACTTCCTCGTCTTGGCCACCGATGGTCTCTGGGAGATGCTGACCAACGAGGAGGTTGTTGGTCTTGTGGGCAAGTGGATTGAGACCCAGGGACAGGCTTCATCCAGCACCCAGTTCGACGCTGCTTGGAACAAGATCTTTGGCTCATCAAAGGCCCCGCTACCCGTTGAGGAGAGCAAGACCGCAGGCCCCGACGGCAACAAGACGCCGATACGCCTCCAGCAGTGGGGTATCGACCCTGATGCCAAGGATCGGTTTGTGGTCAAGGACAAGAACGTGGCAACGCATCTTATCAGGAATGCCCTTGGCGGCACCAACGATGAGCAGGTCTGTGCCTTGCTCACATTGCCTTCTCCCTTTTCACGACGATATCGGTAAGTTGTATCTGTTACCTATACTGAGGTATCATGACTGACGGTTCCCAGTGACGACCTGACTGTTCAGGTCATCTTCTTTGGCCACGGCGAGAAGACGGGCGAGGTCACCGTGAATCTGGACGCATCTACTGGCGAGAGTATGCGAGCGAAGTTGTAGAGATGATCGCATCGCAGGCCCTAGTCCTCTATTGGATGACAGCGCAAATATTATCATGGAGTTGCAAGGCGTTTTAAGGATTTCCATGGGAGCGGATCGCATCCATTTCATTTCAGGTCTTGGCTTGTAAGAATAGAAGAGCGGCAGCGGTAAAGACCAGATATACATGGTTGATAGCGTTAGAGGGGATTACTCGTAGTCTGTTGTGGGATAGAGACCAATGCATTGGTTACACGCCATCTATTAAGGATCGAATCAAGAACCATCCCTCATTAACCCTCCTTTTGCATGATTCCCCTGAACGCCATGTGACTGTTGTCATGGGCCACCGCTTGGGAAGCCAAAATCTAATTCTACAAGGTCACAGAAGATCCAAGTAGAAGTATTAAAAATAGTACAGAGAATTAAAACCCTTGAGACTTACGTCTCATTCTTAGGCCAGAGGAGTCGCTTCTCCTTTAGACACCACACCATTCTCCCAAAGACGACAGCCCATACAATTACAATAGCGATGGTCATGACGCATGCAAAGATATGCAGACCATCGCTATGAAAGATGTTTCCCATGACGCTAGTGGCCGTGACCTACAAAAGGGGTCAGTGATGCGTAACAATGATCAATGATAGGGGACACACGAGAGCAGTGTTTGGAAAGACAAAGGACCACCAGGATATTTGGAACGGCATGCTACTACCAGCACGAACATATTTCCACAGTGCGCCGACACAGACAAGGAAGAACCACATGGCTAGGCCCCAGAGCCAGAGGCTGACGAGGATGCAAACGACCTTGATGATTGGGGCAACTTGTGGAGTGTCCAGGAAGTCAGGCGGTAGAAGTGATTCTGCTTGGTTTCCCAGTTGGGCTAGAAGAATTAGAGTGTTTCTATGGTGAGGGCCAATGCTTAACTCACCTATACCGGCGGCGGTGAAACCGTACGGACCAATAGACATGAACTAGCAAAAAGTTAGACAACTTCAAACAAGTCGGGTTGAGGGCGCTTACAATGCCGGGCCTTTGCGTATCCCGCGGGAGCTTCTGCGTCATGAGACGGTAGATGAAGGCAGAAGAGATCATGAATGCGATCAAGCATCCAGTTCCCTGGATCGCAGCAGCACCGAGAGCCATTGCCGTGGTGTTAGTCGACAAGGCATGGCCAGATGCATGCGCGGCAGCTATGAGGTTTGCTGCAAAGGGAGCATTGAGGAGTAGGGGATACGCGGGAAAGACCCATGTTGGTGTCATCGTATGGACCGGGAAGACTCTGGAACTTCTGTCAGTGTGCCCATCATGGCAGTGACGAGGTTTGGACTATTGTTAGGAGCACATACAACGTCGACCAGAGGATGAGGTACAGCAACGCGCTGACACCGACGCTCAGGGCGGCGTAGATCCAAAACATGAGCTCCATAGTGCGGAGGAGCCATATGCCGGTATTGGGGATGCCATATTGACATGTGTTGATGAGTATCACTGCGATGCTGAGGGCGTTAGAGGGTACACGTGAGTCCAATATATGTTTAGTTGTCTTACGAGACTACCTATCACGAACAGATCAGTGTCGATCCAAGTGAAACGAGAAAGAGTGGGAAATCTTACAGATGCCGGGATAAATAGCGATTCAACCTGGTCGGTGAACGAATGGGTGAAGCTCCCTGGACGGATATGGAACCGAATGGACAGGAGGATGAGATTGGTGACGAAGAGAATAAGGTTAAGGATAAAGAAGAAGAGACCGATGCCGCGGATCCAGGGTGTGTCCCATTTGACTAGTGAGGATCAGCAAGCTGACGTGTAAGTGATACTTGTACCGTTTGGTGTGGGTTTACGTGAGTGAAGGATGTTGGCAACGCCACCGGTGGACATGGTCTTGAAAGTGTAAGCTTTGGTAAGATTATAAGCACTTGAGGGAGGAGGCGTACCATGGTGAAGTAGGTCCATCTATGACACGCAATGCGATCTCGGATGCCGACCTTTGGCGTAACCGGCGACTTTTCCGCAATGGCCATGACATGATTCAAGCTGTTGGAGGTTGGAGTAGAGGCGTTATTCAACATGCGAGTGGGATTCCGGCGGTGGTCATCCGGAGCAGCAGCGGCGATATACGACGGCCGCTGGACAAGGGGAGGCCGCGTCACGGCGACGGGACGGTCATTCGGAACCGGGGTAGCATGGCCGGGGCCGGCGATGAAGGGCGGGTTCTCCTCCGAGGGGGACTCGTAGCCCGTGGCCAACAGGAACGAGGGGTCGGAGTTTACCATTGGATGACGGGAGGGGGCCATTCCGGAGGCGGACCGTCAATGTCGTCGGCGCGGCGGGCGAGCAGCTTTGAGACGCAGTAGAGGACCACGAGGGCGCTGGGCTCCATGTGGGCAAAGGCGATGTGGAAGTAGGCCAGGTGGGCGACGAAGACGAGGTGGTGGAGGACCAGGGTACCAAAGTTGGCGAGCGGCATTTTTTCCCCTTCTTTTTTTTTTCTATTTATTTTCCAGTTTTTTTAGGGGTCGGATCGGCGGATGTCAAGAAAAAGAGACAAGACAATGCCGCGTGAGCCGCTCTGGTGGAGGGAGGGTTGGTGCCGGTGTGGCCGTCTTGTGTTGATGGGGGGAGGGTGTTGAGTGCGACTGTGTGAAAAAAGAGGGGATTTAGAGTTGGTTGACAGATGCTATGCTACCTTGAGTTTTTGTGCCTGCATCTTGAGCCCCTGCTTAACCGTTTCTTCGTTTAGTAGAGTTGTTGAGGAAAATGGCAGCTTCAACGGAGCATCATTAAACAAAGATGATGAGCTTCCCCCCGTCGCTTGGCTTCGAGCGCCGAGTCAGGATAGCCTAGACGCGGGTTGGCCTGGTCCCAAGTCGCTTGTGCATGTGCGTGACGTTGTAGCGCCAAGGATTACGTCGATGGCCGGCTCTAGGGTCCAGGGTAGGTTATCCGAGTTATCTCCAGGAAGAGTCTTAAACCGAATGCAGCGGTAATGATTTGTCAATGACCTATTTCAAATGATGATTCCTTCAGTAGTTTCTTTGATGGTGTATGTTTGTAGTTGACTTGGAATAATCCCGACTTGTTCTGTCATCGCTACACAACAGCGCGCCACTCCCAATAAGGAAGAAAGTCAGCACTATTCACCACTTAGAATCATGGACCTACCAGGGCACAAGATCCAATACCACGACATCCCCCGCCAACCCTCTTTCTGATTATCCTATCAAACTTGCCTTTTTAGGACATGTCATATTGCAAAGCCACATTGGACGAACTGGCTGGATAACTAGGGTTCATGTAAGTTTTCCTGCTATACTAGCGCTTGAGATGATTCCATCCAACTCCTAACCTCTCCTTTGACACTACCGCCATCAATGACACAAAGTCCATTCCAACCCAACTCAAGCCCGCCTCCGGCTCTCAACCCCGGGGCTGGCGGAGCTGTCAACCGGCATGAAGGCGGGGCTTCGGTGTCAGACCCACAATTACCCGGACCAAGCTGCACGTGATCGATAGATGCCACCTTTCGCACCCACCTAGCTTCACACGTAGCTGCATTTACTTGAACCCGCGAAAGCTAGCTTTCAACTTTGTCCTGGAGAAACGACATTGCGCTTCCTCCGGGACCTCCCCGACAACCCAACCTCTTGCGACAGCATGAACCCTTAACCATTCGAAACACCAGTAGCCCTGCGTGCCAGCAATGTCCTTTACTAACGCTCCCGTGACCCGGCTTGGGGTGCTCTGCCTCATCGCTGGCTCCATCCTCGCCAGCGTCCTCGACGTCAAGCACTACTTCTACATCATCATCGACACACACATATGGCGCTACCGCCAGCTCTGGAGGCTACTGGCCTATCAGCTATGCTACACCAATTCGACCGAGGTCCTATTCGCAGCCATGTCTCTGTATAATTTGCGTATCGTCGAGCGCATGTGGGGTTCTCGCAAGTTTGCCGTCAGTTTTCGCCTCCTCGTATTCTTTCCCGGTGAAATGACAGCTAACATTCTTGTGACCAGTCCTTCTTGATAGTCACGTTCCTCCTCACCACATTGCTCCCGCCCCTCGTCTCAATCGTCTTGCGACCTCTTACCGCGGGGTGGTTCAACTACATGCCGGCTGGCCCGACACCCATCATCTTTGCCATCCTGGCCCAATATCATGCTATGGTCCCGCACATGTACAAATACCGTGTTGCTACGTCCGAGGCGCCACCCACTGACGAGCCCTTTGTCGGCCTTACATTCTCGGACAAGTCATACAAGTATGCTATCACATTGCACCTCGCTTTGTTGCAATGGCCGGGATCACTCTTGGGGGCTGTCATTGGCTGGGTCCTGGGGTACTCGTGGCGGGAGGGACTCCTTCCGGCTGCCCTCGTGCGCTGGCGGGTGCCGGGCTGGGTGGTGGGGCTGAGCACGCAGAGGCGGAGTGCCGAGTTTGAAGGTCTGCGACGTCGGCTCGAGGGCGAGACGACGACATCGGCCGTCGCAACTGGTGCCCAAGGTGCGGCAGAGGGTCAGGCGGAGAGGCGAAGGACGATGGGGCAGCAGATTATGGATCAGGTCCGAGAGGTGCTGTAGGATCCAAAAAGTTGGCATTGATACCATGACGAGATGCAACATGATTTGGCCTGGCAACCATCTAAAGCTCCGTACATATAATGCTCCGTGAAATCGCGGGACGTGCGGTGCGGGCATGCATGTCCAAGCGCGTGCCTGTTGTGCAATGTCTCAGCCCAACGTGCGTATGACATTTTGAGTGTCTGGGAGCCGTCACTGGAGCTTGTAGATGGTGTTCAGCCGTCCACAGATCTGGATCTAGGCCCGACGGACTACCGTTCCCTGCAATCAATCCGTGGGAAGAGGCTGTCATGGGGGGAATAGCCATGGCGTCGTCAGCCACCGCCAAATAACCTGTCAGCATCCATACATTGCATAGCAAAGATTGGCGACACACACAGCCATGATGGCGCTGGTAGTCGATCGGGGAGCGGTGACGGCTAAAAATAAAAATTGTCCACGAGAAGGATGTGAGGGCATTCGCGCAGGATGAAACTAGAGAACAACTCAGCCACGGGATGGGATTCACGCATGGAAAACTCGTGGTCCGTACGTTTGTGTTGGATGCCATCATGGTCCATTAAACGCAGCGAGACGTGCACCTCATCATTATACCTATTTCCGAATACAGAATAGCACGTAAATTAGGACCCGCATGCCTGTGTCCAATGCGGCAATGCCCCATGCCCAAGAACGCGGGTGCGCCCCCCGGCACCTTCCCAGCCGCCCTGGTGGACGCTGGGGTGTAAAAGTACGTACCCAACTGCGGCTCGTCAGAACCTAGCTCCAAGCGCTGCAATTCAGCTTCCAGGTCCCTTCTGGAGGGTCCCGGGTCCACTAGCCAAAAGGACGGCGATGGGCCTCCTTTTTCCTGGGCTGGACTCAAGTGGACAACCCCCCGACCTCTCCTTTTCTCTCCCCCAGTATCTGCATTGTTCCTGCGTCTTTTCTGCGAACGCTTGACCGATATCTATCGAGAGTTTCTGAAAGTATCATTCTCGAGTTTCTGCGGTTGTCCAGACCAAGAGGCGTCCCAGCGCAAACGCCCCTTTGTTACATCCATCCGACCTCATCAACCCCCCCGTCCAGTCAAGTCCCAAGCGAGCCCGGCGGCCGGTCAACCACTGACGAGTCCGAACGAACTCTTTTTATTTCGACCAGCCACTCAATCCCCATGGCCGCTGTTACCATCGCCTAGTCCTATAAACCGCCTTGTTTCCTCCCTCATGTTTTGCTGACCGAGACGACGACGCGACATTGAGCCTTGCAACCATGAATGCGTACGCGCCAGAGGCTCCCCGGAGCCCTTACGGGTACGGCCCTTCCAGGCTGTCGCCTCCGGCCCCGAGCCCCAGCGGCAAGACTCTTGTGGAAGGATATCGTAAAGACATCCTCACTGGTTTTGAGAAGGAGCACCCTCGTTATAATCCAGTATGTGATTCGACACGTGGAACCACGCCAATTCTCGACTTGACCACTTACACATTCACTCCCTGCAGATGAACCCAGATCGCCCCCAGAGCTCCGTTCTAGTCGACCTCAAAGACCCGATCCAAGTACATCTCCTCACCGAGACGGCCCTCTCCGACAGCAAGAAATTCGAGATCCTGTCGCAGGAGGAGGTGGACGACCTGAAGAAGCAATGTCAATCCCTGACCCAGCGAGTTGAGTCGACGAGACAGAACTTGACCATCCAATCGAAATACCGCGATGCTGCCATCTCCATGGCGAGGCTATACTCCCCTGGGAAAATAGAAGGGAGACGGAGGAGCTTGTTGGGCCGGAATAGTGGTGGCGACCATGCTCGTGCTAAGGAGGCCGAGGCTGAACGACAGGCGAGCGAGCGGAAATGTGAAGAACTGGCTGCCGAGCTGTTCAATCTCGAAAAACGACTGATGGAACCTCAACGGCGTCTCCTGGAACACACGGCCGGTATCCTCCAGTTGACGCACAAGGTTTCCAAGAAGAAGGGCCAAACACCACCGAACCAACCTGTGAACGGCATGCCTGGGAGCCCAGAGAGCCTATATACTTATACCCGAAACAGCATGGACCATCCCGCCGACGACAATTATTTCAACGACAACTATGGTTTTGGTCAAATGGACGAGTTTTCAAGGGGACAACCTCGCCAGAATGCTATTGAGATCCCCCTCAAGTCGCCAATCAGGGAACAGAACCAGCTCAAGGAAGAGATGGAGAAGATGCGAGATGAGAACACACAATTAAGGGGCCAAACGGACACTTTGGTCAGATCGATATCTGATATGGAGACACGGTTGGAGAACCTCAATGGTTCATTGCGGGACGCCATCGTTCGCTTCAACCCCTCCAAGAACGACGAGTATCTGGAGCCGCCGTTTGGAGTTCCAGGAATGGAGCCTGGAGAGATGCTCAGGAATCAGATGGATTACCTGGAGATGGGTCTTGTTGCTATTGAAGCTGAGCAAGACTCGACGGATGAGCATGGGAAGGTGGACGAAAAGATTGAACAACGGATCGAGGCGTTGATCAAGCAAGTGCGAGAACTTCTCCTGACGGTGGATCCCGACTACCCCATGGCGCCTCGGTCAGCCAAGGGTGATACCGATGCGCAGTTCGCCTATCTCGAGGATGCCTTGCGAGCTGCCGACTCGGAGCTGGAACGAGCTGTGCGGGCAGCTTCAGCTGTCATGCCACCTGGTCAGGACAATGACCAAGTAGAAAGGGTCTTGATGGGTCTATGGGAGATGATGCAATCCGGCTTTGCCAAGATTAAGAAGGAAAAGGAGGAACGGCGGAGAGCTCGCATGGACAAGGGTTACCAAGACGAAGAGATTTCCGACGACGAGTTCGATGTGGATGAGCCCTTCACCATTTCTGGCTTCTCGAACCGTGTTCAATGGCTCTATTCCCAGGCCACCACGCTCAAGGACCAGAAGTCGGTGCTCAAGCGACAAATCAAGCAGCAGCGTGAGCTCAACAACAAGTCTGACGCTGAGAAGGACGAGGAGATCCAGAGGAGACAGGAGGAGCTAGAAGAGACCCAGGTTCTACTCGCCCGCGCCGAGAGAGACGCCATGACCGCCCAGACGATGCTCTCTGAGGCACTGGAGGAACTCGAGAACGCTCGCATGCTTTCCACCAACAATATCGGCCGTGGGCCCGAGTCTGAGGAGGACAGCAAGAAGGTTGCAGCTCTTGAGGCTGATGTAAAGCGGCTCCAGACTGACTTGGCTGGAGCGGCTGGCGCAGCTGGTGCAGCGCACGCTCAGGTTGAAGAGCGCGACGAGAAGATTGCGGACCTGGAAGCAGATCTCAAGCGGCTTCAGGCCGATCTTGCTGGTGCCGCGGCGGCTGCAGGTGCTGCTCAGTCCCAGATCGAGGACCGTGAAAGCAAGATTGCTGCGCTTGAATCTGAACTGGAATACCTCGAGACCGCCAACGCCCAGATTGAGGAGCGCAACCAGAAGATTGCCGCACTCCAGACTGAGACCCAACAACTCAACACTCTGCGAGACGAAGTCGAGGAGCGTAACGCCAAAATCGCCACTCTGGAAGCAGAGATCCAGAAGGCTAATCTCCTCCGAGATCAGCTTGACGAGCGCAACGCCAAGATTACTATCCTGGAAGCCGAAGTTGAGCATCTCAACGCTCTTCAAGAAGAGGTCCAGGAGCGTAATGCCAAGATCGCTATCCTCGAGGCCGAAACCCAGCAGACCAACGCTCTCCGAGGACAGACCGAAGAGCATAATGCCAAGATTGCCGCCCTTGAAGCTGAGCTACAGAAGGCTAGTGATGCACAGGCTCGACTCGAGGAGCGCAATGCTAGGGTCGCCCACCTCGAGTCTGATATGGAGCTTCTCCAGTCTGACTTGGCTGGAGCCGCTGGAGCCGCCGGAGCTGCCCAGGCCCAGATTGAGGAACGCAACCAGAAGATTGCGGCCCTTGAGGCTGAGTTGAAGCAGGTCGAGGCAAACCTCCTTGTTGCCGAGTCTTCGAGCAAAACTACCAGCAACCAGTTGACTAGCGTGGATTCTGTAATCGATGCGCTCAACGCACAGCTCGACGAGACGAACAGGCTGAAGAACAATGCGGAAGAGTCTGCCCGTTCCTTGAAGCAGCAAGTGAGCACACAGAAAGAGGATATTGCAGCGAAGAAGAAGGCGCTCAAGGTCAAGGAGGACGAACTCGAGCTTCTTAACATGAACCTCGTCGAGATGAAGACGGAACTCACCATTGCCCAGGCCGAGCTGGACGGCGCCTACGGATCACGCGCGGAACGTGCCGCTGACGTTGCCGCCATCAAGACCAGCGGAGAGGTGATGAAGCTCCAGAATCAGCTCACAAGACTCAAGAACGAGCTCACTGGAACCGTGCAGGAGCTAGAGGAAGTGACAAAGGAGACGCTGAGTGCCGAGCGCGAGAAGATTGTGCTTGAGAACAAGCTTGAAGACGTCCTGTCGACAAAGTCTGGCCTTGAAACTGAGTTGATGAAGCTGCGTGGGCGACTCGAGTCTGAAATGGAAAAGGCAAACGAGCAGATCAGCAAGCTCCAGGAGGAGTTGGATAGCGAACGTCTGAAGGCGATACCCCCTACGGGCGGAACTGGCCGAGGAGCGTCTATGCTGAGCGAGCAGTTCCGAGCCACGATGAGGGAAGAGAGGAAGAAGTTCCAGGAGAACATGAAGGTACGTGTTGTCCTCGCTGCATGATGCCGTTTGCCATGGTTGACTAACAATGTGTGTAGGAGGAGCGTGCGAGATACCGCCAGCTTGAAGAAGAGCTCGCAAAGCTAAAGCGTACCCCGGGGTCTGACAAGAACTCACTGAGCCCACCATGAGTACATGGTCAACCAGAGAAGCTCAGTCCCTGAGGACGCCGTCGAGCCAGGCGATGGCCCTCATTGTACAACACTGTCTTGTCTTGTGTGCGCCATGGATGTCGTGATCGTTATGGGCCATCGTCGGCCCCATTTCTGTCGTTCTGTTTCTTGTAACATTATCCTCAACGGATGAGGAGTCGGATTTGTTGTCTTGGAGATATGGCGTGGCTGGGAGTAAATGCTGAAGCTCGATGGGGGAGGTTTACATACATACAGATTATACTGGGAGTTATTATATGGGGGATGAATCAATGACCAAAAAAACCTGGGCGGGAAGTAGTCGATACGAGCTTCCTCTAGGATGATGGGAGAAGGAGGTTTGGTGTTTTTTTTTTTTTTTTATTCGGGTCTGAGCTGGAGATAGTCAACAGCCCAAGAGATAGATGACGAACCATGGATGCATTTAAGTTGTCATGTCTTTTTTAAACTCGGATATTTCGACAAGTATCAGTGACGTTGGTCGGGGGCGTGTCTTGAAGTAATTGTCTGTTTTTGAGATCGACTTGACTTTGGAGGCTGCACACGTTAAGGCAGAGTCATTGCAAAGTTTGGAACAAGGAATCGTAGAGAAAACGACAGAATTTGAAGCACCATCCCCAGCAATGACTGTGTTGTTCACTCTTGCATGCATTTGACAGCCTGTTGTTGACTGGAAGCAACTCTTTGGGTTGGTGAGACGCTATCCCAAAAAAGGGGTCATAGTTTGACATGCGCGCACCGAGACTTTAGAAAGGTTCTGCAAGCAAGTGCATGCAACTCGGAGAGGTTAATATGAACAAAATCACTCAGCTCAGGAGAATCATGGTGGAGTTTCTGCAGAACAAAAGTTGTGTGGTTGGATAAAGCAAGCGATTGAGATTGCTTATAGAAGTATACAAGTTGGCAACTCATGCGATGGCCAATCAGAGACTACCATAGGTCTTTCACTACTACTGCTTAAAAAACCCGTCTCGTTCTTACCAAAGAAACACGAGACAGGCTTTATAAAGATTAATAAAAATAAAAAAGGTTTCAGATAAACATCATGGGCCCTTTGTTCGAGAGACCGTTGAGATTCTGGGGAATAAAAGGTTTAAAATCTCAGTCCCAGTGTCTGCGCAACTCAAATCTCGTGGCTTGTGGTGACACAATCGTAACAGCTTTCCTTCTAGAACAAACCGATACAGGCCTCTTCTTCCTCGTATTTTACCAGGGAATTTCTTACAAGACCAATTGAGCCAGTAGAGTGCTTCTAGTACTCCTCTCTGATAACATTTTCCCCAGAGCACCCACCGTATATAAGCTCCACTCCTTTCACGCATCTTTCTCAAGAGGATAATGCTGACCTCAGAGTATGAGGAGTCTGCAAAACAAACTGCGTCGTCTTCTTCATGTAAATGCGTAAACTAAAATTAACTTTCGGTCTATACATGTAGCCCGCAAAATATTTCTGCACCCGCCAAAACCCGAGCACATGGCTCTTCAGGGGGGGCCTCTTGATTTGGTCACGGTTCGAAATGCAGGTTGGCAGAATGGCTCTTTGGCGTGTGGCTTTTGGTGGGAAGCATCACTTGCATGCCAGTCTCTTCACGTGGCTCCCTTCTGATGACCAAAGGTCCAGGCCACCCCTTTGGGCACTCAACAGGAGCAACATTTAACCTGCGACAACACTCGATGATGCAACTGAGGCCTTTAGCCTGTGGCCAGCTTGCCATTATCATCTCAACACATTAAACCAATCAACCGACATGGAAACATGAAGAATCACATAATTCTCAAGCTACATGGTCTCCAGGAGGTCCCAGACATATCACCTATACCGATATAAAGTCCAATCCTATCACTGATTATGTGTGACCGCATCGAGATTAACAAAGTTGTATGCTTCAATTCCAGTTCAAACCCTTGTCTAGTCTAATGCCAGAAGGCGCCTCGTATATGTACAGAAGGGATATCAAGTAAACGAGCTTGTGTAAACGAGTCTGATCTAAATGCGAGTGAGGGTGGTACAAGTGCTTGCGTAAAAAAAGGCTGATTCTGATCCCCAGTGCGTGGGCGGCTTCTGCCGTACATGTAGAGAATGCAGGGCCAACACAGTGTAATGACGAGACGAATTTCAATGCAACGACCGCCCAGGCGCCGTGTATCAGGGGAGCTCCATTCTCCTGCCGTCCCCCTTATCCGTCCGCCCAACCAACCATCCGTCCCTAACGCCGAGGAAAAAGGGGCAAAACAAAGTGCCGAGCAAAGTGTAAAGACCCCGGCCACCATTGAAAAGCAAAAACAAAATCTAACATTCCCGCCCTTTGTTTGAATACACCATTACCCCTCCCTGAGATAGGTAGGTTCGCAGGGGACAACAGCCAAGAGGTTGTGATTCGGTCCAGCCGGGCTGGGTGTGGCTCGGGACCCAGTGAGAGACGAGAAAAAAGGGGTATTGTGCAGAGTGCGAAATGTCGCCATTAAAAAGGTGATAAGCGTGATATAGTGGTTCAACAACCAACAGTCGAGGTGAGGGAGGGGAGATTAGTCCATCGACATGTCGTCTTCGTCAATGTAGGCCATCCGGGACCAGATCCTCCAGTGAACAACGCCGACATGAGCGATGCGCGTAGCAATGTCCTCGATGCCTCCCTCCTGCTGACCCATGCGGATGGCCGCATCTAGTTCTCGGTCTCGTCCAGCGTCAAGGCTGCGGCTGCTGACTGGTACCCGGTTGCCCGTAGCAATCGAGAACAGGCAAACACCTGAGAGTGCCTTGAAGTAGCGGACCCGAGTAGCCAGCTCAGACAAGAGTCGGCTGCGGTAGGCCTCTTCCATCTCTTGATACATGGGAGAAGACATGTTGCAAACGTTCTCTGTCAGCTTGTCTTCGAACGAAGGGAGCATCTCCATAGGTGCCTTGGTAAATCGGAAGATCTGGAGGGCCAGCGAGGGGGCCATGTTTCGCCACTTCTCATGGTAGTGGGTATCATGGGGCGCCTGCTGGAGCAGAGCAACCAGCGACTCGCGGACATTTCGGGCCTTGGTCTTGCTCTCGTTGGTATCCAATGCAAGGTACGAAGGGAGGACCAAGGAAGATCGCGGTGATGACGCAGCCGAACCAGCCGAGCTAAGAGCAACGCTTGCAGGTCGCGAGATGGAGGGGGGAGTGTTGAAGTTGAACTCGTGACCGTCCTTGCTCAAGGACATGGGCAGGTCGTCATCTGACCCGAGGCTGGCAAAGGCGGGGGCCAGATTGCATCGTGCAACCCGATCAAGATCATCAAACATGCGCATGCACACGTCGAGGTTGATTGCGTCGAGGATGTCGGACCGAACCCTGCCTAGTCGATCCTCGTCGAAGAAGAAAGTTCCTGGCAGCGGCTTCTCGCCGGCAGAAGGAAGCATTGATCGGGAGAGTCCTTCAAAGAAGACACCCATGTCGCCGAAATGAGACGACATGGATCCAGCTCCAGCTGGGTACGTCTGAGCTGCCTCCTGGTACCAAGGCTTCGCATCGCCAATATCCATCTTGCGGTTTCTGAGCTTCTTCATCAGGAACTTTTGCTCAAAGGCTGTCGTCTCCTCAATGAGGGCCGGTCGAAGGCAGCGGATCTGGTGGTTTGCAACATCCAGCTTCATTGCCTCAAGAACGCTGAGTAGACTTCGCATGCCATTGACAAGCTCATCCACGTCATTGTTTCGGTTTCCGTTGCTGAGTTGCTTGTGCATCGAGTCGACCCAGTCATCCCGCATAGGTGCGCAGTGTGACTTGAGGACCCGTGAGAGCCACCCGGCGAGCTTCTCAAGATCAGCAATGCCTCGGTGAAATTGTTGCATCAAGAGATCAACGTTGAGGCCCTCATCCAGAAACTGGCGGTCCCGCTGTGGTACCAAAGTTTGAATGATTTCCTTGACCGACTTCAGAAGCTTTGGCAAGCACCAATCGTCTCCCGTTCCGTACTTTTCATAAAAGCTTGGGCGATCCACAATGAACTCGACCAGTTGTTCCTTCAGATTCGTCCAGAAAACACTTGCGCGGTCGTGTTTCCTTCGCCCCTTGTCGCCTTCCACATTGGGTCTAAAGTGTAGCTCAGGGTCAAAATTGATATCGTGCCTTAGCTTTGGGTTGTTGATGATTTTTGAGACCTCGAGCTCGCTCAGACTTGTCTTGGTAACTGGGGGCTCGAGGGGTTGATAAGGAGATCTCCGGCTTTCGGGGGTCGGACTTGATGATGCTGTTGAGGTCTCGGATGGGTTCCGCGAGAGCGGCGCCGCCACTGGGGATGCTGTATGTGAAGGGTCGGTGTACCGTCGTGGTGAGACTTGTGATGATTGCGTGACCTCAACCTTCTCGTCCTTCGCTGGCTTCCTCGTTGTCTCCTTCTCAGGTCTGGCTTCGCCTTCGCCATTGGGCCCGGGAGCCGAGGTCGAAAGATTCTCCCTCGTCCGCCCAAATTGGCGTCCATACCCCTGATCCGCCGTCATGGTTGGTGATGGTGTTCCTTTTCGGTTTGCCCAGGGATCCTTCCGATGACAACAATTCGTCTCAGAAGTGATTCTTTGTTGTCGCTAAGAAAGAGATTTGAACTGGTGAGATCAAAAGCGACTCTTGTCAAAAATTATCGCTTTGTGTGGGCTCGGGAAATACTAGAAGCGACAGCTGGTCAGCACTGTAAAGGGGCCGAAAACATGAGGGCGCGGATTGAACGCGAGGTGCGTGCCCGAACAGTCACGAGCCAAACGGCCAGCTGCAGATGCAGACGGCTAATGACTGTCGAGCTGACCAGGCGTTGTGCTCCGAGGACAAGGTAGTCGACGGATTGGCCCCTTGAACAAGTTGTGGAAGGGGAGAGGCTGTCGAGATTGTGCGGCTGACTCTGACTTACATGGGAGGGTGCAAGTGCCCGAATAGGTGGTGAATCAATGGTCTGGGGTATATGAATCGTTGTTGGATGGATCTCAATGTCGAATTGCCCGGCTTGAGTGCTGAGAGTCGGGATGTCGAGAAGAACTCGTTGGCTGGTCGTCGAGGCCCGGGTCGGACGGGTGTTTGTTTGCCTGCAGGAGGCTATGCTTGGTATTGCGTTGTGTAACAGAGGCTGATTGTGCCCTCTTCTTATTTCAGAACGTCCTGTCGGTGCGTCGCCTCGCAGTTCGTTTCGGTCGTGGTGTCGTCTTTCTTGTTTTGTCTAGGTACTCTATCGATCCAAGGTGGCCATGTAAGATGGAAGCAGTAGGCGTCGGTTTATGGTACTGGTCTATAGTTTCCGGAAAGAGCGAAGAATATTCAGAACAAGAAGCAAGAGCTAGCAGTAGAAAGAATTCCAGAATGGGAAGACAGAAATAGGAAAGGAGGAAGAAAGGGAAGGGAGAAAGAAGAAAGAAGGGACGGAAAGGGGTGCAGACGGGGATATTGATATGGATGGATGGATGGGGATGGATACAACGCAGGGTGCCACTTGGGTTGGGATTTAGACTCCTCCACCTTCGAGCTTGATCTTGAGACAGACTCATGGGCAGAACCATCCATGATTCGAGTCAAGAAAGGTCTTTTCCACCAAGCCAGAAAAAATAGGGAGGCCGACGGCGGAGAGCCATGGTATGGCATGACAGCCCGATGGGTAAGGTGTGGTGGTGGGCCAGTGACTTGAGAGTGACAGAGCAGGGGCAAGCGATCCCCGGAGGAGGCAAAAATAAACGGAAAGATCTGTCTATGCCCGTCACTACAATATTCCTGTGTTTTCTTGGACCCCCTAGTCATTCCAGTCGATGCGCAGTATCCACATGTACTTGTCGACCCTGACGCTCATGTTTGCAGGGTTCGCGCCAGTGCGGGCAGTCCTGGGCCAATTCTAGGGGGGGGGGGTGGCCGTGTTTGATGGTGTGTTTAGCTGTTTCTGGCCCGGGTACGGGGTGCGCGTACTCCGTACAGTGTACCTGTGCCCCTAGGGAGGTGTGGTGTAGGTTAAAAGGCGTTGCATCGACTGGCACTAACAACCTGGGAACAGCAGTGGAAGTCTCCGCCAACCGCCTCCTGAATCCACGCCAAAGGCCTGTCACTGGCCCAGGGCCGTGAAGCAATAGTGGACGGGCTCGTACTGTGCTATACCTGCTAGCCACCACCTGCACCGACAGTGTCCAGGTCAGGGCAAGACGGCTAGGCCTAGGGCAGGACCGCCAGCGCCAGCCGAGCCGAGGACGGGATATGAGCTGGAGCGGTCGAGGTTCCTCTCACTGGGAGAAAAAGTCGGTAGCCACCGCCACCGGAGGACGGGACCCAGCTGGAGCCCTGGTGCAGGTGCGCTGCGCAAGCGTCGGGTGCGTGGGCAAGGCCGACGAGGGTTGTAGCGCAATCTAACACTGCAGCGACAGCGTGACCCTCCCGATATTTGGATCTGAGCCATCTTGCTGCTATCGTCTCGGCCTCCCGTCTTTGTTAGATGAGAAGAAATCAAAGGTCAGGCGCTACTTGAGTCAGTCCAGGGTGGACCACGAGGACATAGGGATAGCTGACCCTATCTTGCCGTCTCGCAACAATTCTCGTTTGCCTGTCAGCAGTGCGTAGGTAGGTAATATCGAATGGTAGACACGAAGTCGAGTGTCAGCATGGTCATGACGATGGCGACGATGGCAATGTATGTACAGTCTGACTCCACAGGCAGTGGAGGCCATTCAGCGATGGATGGGTCCGCGGGATGATGAACGTGGGATTGATCCATGGAGGTAGGAGGAAGTCGTAAAAGGAAGGAACGGACTGTGCATGACACGGGAAAACTCTGGCGCGTCTGAGGTCTGCGACAGAAAAGCCACATCACGCACGCACACATTGAGCACGATTGGAGGTGAAGAGCACCCTCGACATTCTGCGTGCATTTCCTTGCTTCAGGATGAAAGGAATCTCAACAAGACGATGATACCCATGATCCATCCGACCAACACATGCATCTTGGAACGACAGGGTAGGGAACCTCTAAGCTGCCAAAGGAGGGTCAAGTCCCAGGAACATCGACCGAAACGGACCCAGGGATTGGCCTGGCCCGCCTTTTCCTCCAGGGGCATCACAGTCACTCGGGACCGCTCCTATTGAACCGTCCTCGGGGTGCCACTGGACGCTCGCCCCAGGAAGACTTTTCCAGGGCTCTCTGGATCACCAGGTCGCGCTAGCTCAGTTCGAGGGGCCACTGAAAGATCCATCCGCCGCCGCCGCTGATCTAGAAGCGGGCCAGAAGCGTGCAGATACTGTACAGTGGACGGCGGAGTCGCTGGCGACTAATGAGCCGCCCCAGCTGCGTTGCTTCGGCCGCTACGAGTCGTTCTGCAACTCTCGCTGGCCAGCAGAGCAGCCAGTTGGTTGAGAGTGAGGTCACTTCACCCTCAAATCCGAGGAGACGTGCTGACGGAAGAGTCGGGCTCTTGACTCTTGTTGGAGTGAGGCCCGGAGGCACTGCCCCTTCACTACGTCAATTCAGCGCCCGCGATGCGGCAACTCTGGCTTCGGCTCCGACACCGACACTCCTTCAGCAGCAGTGGCATCCCCCTCATGCCGTCCTCCGCCACCACCACATCTGCTTGCTCTCATAATCAACTTCGCCGTCGCCTCCTCCGCCTACAGCCTGCGCATGTAAACACCATCGTCAGCGGCCCTCCTTCCCCACGGAACGGTTGCGCTTCGCCACGACGGGAAAACACCGCTATCACTGTAATCTTCCGATGAGGGCAGGGGTGCGTGCGAGGTGCGATGGTGGATGGGGAGGGCAGCAAAGTATCCAAGGTTGACACAGACCGTCGTGCCATTTTCCTCATCGCCAGATAATGCGACTTCATCGAGGCCTTCACGGGTGGATATGTCATCACACCTCCAGAACCTCTCCAGGACTCGATTCAGCAAGGCGACACAATCGATAGGGTTCGGTGTCGCCAATTGGACAGCGCCGCAGGTAGCGCATCCCAGCGTAGTGGTACTGGGACCTGGCTCTGGTCTATCTAATCTCTTCCTACCTAGCGCTCCGTCCACTGCAAGGTGAAGGCCGGCATGTTCCATGCGCGGGAAGGTGTAGGGAGCACCTCGGCACCGCCCAAGGGACATTGTTGTGTTGGATTGGTGGAGGTTCACTTTGATGGTGTTGTCGGGACGTAGAAATAGCGTCCCGGATGGGGAGCGATATTCAGGGCGGGCGAGCAAGTCAGGGTTCACCCACGTTTCGGCCACAAAGAGGGTTACCAGCAATGACTAGCAACACTTGTCGACGGGTACAGGCCGCTGTGTCGGTCGGACGGTGGTGGTGCGTTGTGGTGTGGTTTGGCGCTGGGCTCTGGGGGCTGCCCTCGTCAAGTCTCCTGGTCTTCCCTGTTGGAGCAGGGAGGATGCATAAGTTCAACACCAGGCCAGCGAAGAGACCACCGGTTCATTCTTGTCAGAGTCGAGCCTGTGAGAGAGTCGGTCTGGCTCTGGCTGGCGTCTGTTTGATGTGCGTGTTGTCGGGCGCCCAGCTGGCTAACACTCTGTTGGATGTCTGACCGACAACTTTGGGCTCTTTCTTTGTCTTTGTTGTCACCCACACTCATCACTCGGTCCCTCGAGGCCCCCTTGCTATGAGTCAAGGACCTACGCAAGAGACAGCACAGGTCCATTCGCAACAAGACAAAACACCATCCGTGTGGAGCCCACATCGCATCGCCATCCACCAGGACACGAAGTGGCCAACGCATCGATGCACCTTTGTCTGGGCCGTCCGTGGCTCAGAACTTGCTGGTGCTGCAATGCTGCAATGCCCAAGACGACGCGAGGCCATAAAAATGGATGCCATGGCCGCGGTAGCCGCAGCCGCATCGACACCTCATGCGATGGATGAGTCGTGGCTGAGATGGTGGTGGTCTCCCAGCGCCCACCCAACGGCGCTGTCTGGGTAATATCGGCAGCACAAAGCGGCAGCAGCGACAAAGGCCTCGATTTGCAAGAATGGCTGGCCTCTGATAAGTTTCACGATGCCTGAGATGCTCGACTAAGAGTCTCAACACCAAATCTTAGGTCTGACATGGGCTGTATCTTTTTTGCCTGCCCCTCGTGACAAGCAGCAACATCCACGTCCAATGCACCCAAAGTTCCAAGATCGTCAGCCGCCTCACCACTTCGCTCGCTCACACCCATGTCCAGCTCGTCTCGTCAAGCTGGCGGGGACGTGTTAACCCCCTCCCCCATGTCTAGAGGTAGCCACACGCACTTCAGAAACGAAACCGTCTCGGACATGACGAGGCTGCACTGTCTCTACACTTGCAATCAAACCTGAAGCCCCGAGGAATTTTCTGAACCTTGAGGTTCTTCCCACTGTTAGTAACCTAGACCCGCAGGGATACAAGCCACTCCATCTATCCCTTGCAACCGCAACAAAAAGTTGAGGCACTACTGCGCAGATAGGCGCTGAGCAAAAGGACGGCACGGTCACGCGGCCAAAGAGCGAGGGCCGGAAACTGACAGAAAAGGCTGCTCATCTGGCCGTCCCTGGCTTTAGCAAAAGCCAAAACACTCAACTCTGCTTCCGGCCAGGGCGGAATAGTCGATAGCGCCATGCAAGACTCCCAATACGAAAAGGGTTTTCCCAATCTCGAAGCCAACAACTCTGCTTACATGCTCGACTGGTATGCTCTAGAGTCGGCATGTTGGCCTTTGAGCCATGGAGTCAGAAGCAAACGCAGGGCGAAAAGTCCAGAAGACGGTGTGCTACAGTAGAATCAAGGGACAATGTCGCCACCCCGACTTTCTGGTGGTCGTGGGCGCCTGGTCCCTGTTGCCCCGAAGGCGAGTCCGATTCCTTGAGCGAGATACTCCCTCCAGGAGCAGTGTCTTACTGGGTAGTATCGCCGTCTCGAATCGCCTAGAACTCGCGCCTTGCATACACGCACCGCTTGCATCCATCCGTCCAGCTCAGCTTGCGTATGTAGCCGTACAGTAAGTATCACACATACGGCGTTGCTTTTGCGCCTTCCACACCCAGCATCCTTTCCGCAAAGTCCGATCAACTCTGGCAAATCTCGGCTGCCTCCTTTGCGCAAATCGGCCACACCAGGAGGCGCTTAGCTTCAACTTTCGATGCCCGCTTCAAAGGAAGCCTTCCCTTGCTGACCCTCCCATCCATCACGATGTTCAATTTCACGCATTGAAGCACCTTTGCAGTGGTAGTGTAGCAGCGAGTCAGAATTGGGGGGCACCTCAAACTTCAGGCCGAGCTCGGGGCGATAAAGCTCGGGGCCGGGATCCACGGGGCCGCCAAGGAACCAGGCGCGGAAGGCCGCAGACTCGGTCCCTGGCGGGCTTGTCAACTTGCGGCGCAGGGCAATACTCTCGGTCAGCATAGCACACCACTTGCTTCGTACCTAGGTATTCTCATGGTGCGGGATGTGAACAGCCGCGTCCGGTGAGCAACTTATCTAGCGAACGAGAATGCCCATGGTGGTGATTTGTGTGTTGCACTCTCGTATATGACGGCGTCTGACTGTCTGGGCCATGGCTCCTTCATGCGCTTTATGTGGCTGGCTACGTCTGCTGCTTGGGCTTGAAGTCACATAACTGCTGGCTGTTGTTTCTTCTCATCTCAGCCTCTTGGGAGTTACGGCAGCTCTCTGTCATCCCTTCAGCCGCCCACAACCAGCTCGTGCCGTCCGAGGCGTGGGGTCTGACTGGCAAATGTGCAATGCGGCTGAAGCGGTCCCAACAAAAGGGGACTCAGGGCCATCATCTCCGCAACAACTCCATCCTCCTTATCCGATCTTGGGCAGTTCGCCCCCCATGTCTCCCTAGTCGATCGCCCCGGATTCCCCTCTTGAATGGAGCACGTTCGGAGAATCTTGGTTTCCTTTCTTTTTCCCACACCTCGCAGTCTGCGGCAATGTTCCGTTACACCAATCCAATTGTGAATCTGCTTCCTCATGCCATGACCCAAGCAATGTGATTGTGGTCAGCTCACAACGCCTCGTCCTGCAATCTCATCACGTTTTGTACAACAAGTTCGTTGATGTGTAAATAAAGGGGAGATGGGGTTTCTACTATGTTACCTACCCCTCCGGATGAACTCTTTTCTCTGCGGCCCAACAACAGTGTGCCTTTGCCGCACCACTACTGCTACTGTACCCTTAGGTACCCAGTGTGTTGGCGTGAGGCGCGAGCCATGGCTTGGATTATGTTCAGCCTTGACGCCTTGCCGTGGATGAGGCACGGCAGAGGCATGGAAAAGGGCCAATTTTTGAAACCGTCTTCAATCGCGAGTCATTGTGCCGTCCGGTCAGACATGGCAATATTCTGCGCAATGCGCCAGACGAAACCATTCACTATGCGCTTGGACGAGCCAATCCGACTCTGTGCTCACTCTTTTCACATCTGAGAGCCGAGTTGTCGAAATGACAAGAAGGCACTGCGTCGTCTGTGCGACAAGCAAAGTTCCGCACGCCTTGTCCGATTCACTGAGATTGTTACTCCAGTCCCACGCACGCACGCACTCATGCACATACGCAGGCGCCTTGCGGCAATCAAGTGCATCAATTGGTTAATTAGCCTTATCAGGCGAGGTAACCACGGCACACCCATTGAGCAGGATCCAGATTGTGTTGGGATTCCAGACCCGGCTTCTGGCCTGGCGGCTCGCGGGAATCTCGATGTAACGCAAACTCGCTGAATGGTGAGTCTCACTGGCGGCGTTCTGAAGTTTGTATGAGGAAGCCAGCCACAGACTTCACAACATGTTCTGTTCTTGGTGAATAGGAAGATCGTAATCGTAAATTTGCAGATTTGTACACATGGAAGCCGGAAGACCGCCCATTAGCGTGTTATGCTTCGCCCCAGCCCAACTCCTAGCCCATCGTAATCATGGTAAAACAGAAACGTCCCGTCGGTAGGTAAACATGAGATCTAGTTGAGGAGGATGGAGCACTAGACGAACAGGTTAGCCAGGAGCCAGAGAGTGGTTCTAACGGTATATCTGGACATACAGCCATGAGGACACAGCATATGCTTATGTATGGACTCAATCGTTCTCCTATCCTTGCGCATTTCCAGAAGATGCCCATGAACCTAGCTGGTGTCAGCTCATCGCCTCGTGTGTCAAGAGTCGTCGCATATCGTACCCGTTCTTATTCCTGTCCATGATACTCGGGGTGAAGTGGTGGACATACGCGCTCGTGCAAATGAGCAGTAGGAGGACGAGGAGGAGGGACTGGAAGTTGAAGAGGGCGGACTATGGCAACGTTAGCAGGGTTTAACCGAGGCAAAAGAGCATCGCGCATACCATTTTTGCGACTGCTGATTAGGTCTCTTTCGAAAACAACGACGGAGATTACTTAAAACACGCGGGGAACAAGTCGTCGTCGAGAATCGCCAACGTCGCTCGAATCAATCGCTTCAGCCTTCTCACATGCGCAATGTGTGCTTAGGGGTAAAGATTCGCCGAGCCGTGTCCTCTTGCCAGGGGTGACGTCTACTGAACCCCACATATTTCCGGCCCCACCAAAGCCCCCGTTGCAAAGCTGGCCGAGCGCATCTCTCCCAGCTTCCGACTACATCTCTACGACGAGGCTGCGAATAGTTGACCTCCAATCACGGCCTTGAAGTCCTCGGTGATCCTACTCCTCGTACCTGTGTATCGCTTGGGGAACGCTACGGCGTGATACAACACTTTCACCATGGAGCCTCGAGCGCGAGCCGGCAAGAATGTCGGAAAGATGAACTTTAGCCATGCGGAGCGTATGTTCACCTTGCTCTCTACAACGTCCCCTTCATATCTAACGTTTTCTTCTCGAATACAGTGGCGCAGCTGCTCTACGCTCATGGCGACGTTCAAAATCCCCTCCCCGAGACGGTCCGAGTGCTCGACGAGATCCTCACAGACTTTATGCAATCCATCGCGTTCGAGGCGACGCGGGCGGCAAACTACTCGGGCAGGCAAAAGATCAAGTACGAGGATTTCGAGTTTGCATTCCGGAAGAATCCCGTGTTCCTCGGAAAGGTGCAGGAGGTGTTTGAGAAGCAAAAGGAGATCAAGAAGGCACGAGAGATTCTGCGCGACGGTGAGGACGAGATCATGAAAGATGCCGCAAATGAGGAAAAGCAGAGGGAAAAGACGGACGCGAAGGGAGCCGCTGCGTCGGCTGCCGCAAAGGCGGAGGAGGAACTGGGCGAAGCAGACGACGATGCCGAGGCGGAAGCGGATGCGCTTGGTAAGAAGCGCTGAGGCGGGTCTCTGGATATTTCAGCATCTTCTTTGGGCGTTCTACAAGCGAGACCATGGGCTTGGGATTTTGGTATTTGGGATTCTTGCGGCCCACCGGAGTTATTGGAAATTGCATCAACATTGCACATTGTCACGAACTATCACGCAAGCGTTGGTTTCTGGGGAGTTTGGTGAAAAAAGAAGACCAACAGGACTTTGGCCCCCACGTTTTCTATCGCAATTGCTATCACAATTACAGGGTGCTTTTTGGGGTTGTATTTTACATATGCGGTCCAAGATTGGAAGTTGACTGAGATACTGCACTGAGAGCCTGATAAGCAGAATTCCCCAACACACACACTTCAGCGGTCAGCACTTTTTCTCACGCCCACGCCCACACCATCTCTTCTCCAGCAACCAGCCAGGGCTTCACTAGTCAGGGCCGATCGGCAAGACTCCGTCCCCTCGTGGGAAGTTGGGGAATAGCACGGAGGTTGTATCCCGGGGGGTTCCACACCCGACCCGACTCCGGAGCGAAGCCGGGGGTGTGCTGCTGCGTCTTTTTGGTTGCAGAGCCAAGAGCCATGATGGATGCAACCGCCTGGTTCTGGTCACATCCATTCCCAACCCACCACCTTTTTTTTTTTTTTTTTTTTTTTTTTTTCTCTCTCCCTTTCTCGAGACGCCTATTCGCCACTCAACACCGCCTCGTCGCTCTGCTTTTCTGGCCTCCGTCAGCAATCTCTGCACCTGATCTGAATGGATCCCCCAGCTGATCCGCGACGGCCCGGCCGATAGCGGCACCGAGAAGTGCTGATGACTCGTTCCTGCGCTGCAGCTGTTTTGTTTCGCCTTGTCATGAACGGGGGGCATTTCCAGACAAGTCCCACCCCCCACTTTGTCATCCTCTTTGCACATTCGTCGGGCTGTGCTGCGCTGCGAGAGAAGAGGAGAAAAGAGGATCCCCATCCCATGATGGGATCGTTGGTCCGCCTGCCGGTCGGCTTCCGCTGCGGGGTCTTGGATCGCTCATGGGTGGTTGGGTCTTGACGTTTCTCGGTCGTTGATCTAGGCCTGGTTTGAGATTTCTCCCATTGGTAAACTCTGCGTTGACTTCACTGTGACTCTTGGTCGTCTACTCGTCTCCTCTGTGCTGCCCATCCGTCGTCGCCGTGTCAAGCAAGCCCTCACGACGACAGTGATAGCTTCTTTCGTCTATCCGGCACCATGGATCAGGACTCCAGGGTCCCACCGCCTTATGAAGAAATTCCCCAGACTCCCGGCGCCAAGCTGGCGCCTGGGAATGTGGGACAATCAGATCGTCATCTATTACCAGTGCCTTCACCATCCCCCAGCTTAATGGGAACCAAGCTTGACGACTCGAATTACGACGAATTCCGCCGGTTGTCGCTAAGTCCCTCTCCGTGTCCATCTCCCATCCCCATGGGACGCCTTCCACACAATGGCACCGAGTTGCAAGGCGACGCAACACCCACCCGATGGCAGGTATTCTGGACCAGGAACAAGCCTGCTGCCCTTGTCGCTCTGTCCCAGTTCTTTGGTGCCTTGATGAACCTCAGTGCCCGTCTGGTTGAACTCGAAGGCAACGGCATGCACCCGGTCCAGGTGCTCCTCATGAGACAGTTCATGACGGCGTGTTGCTGCTCAGCGTACATGTGGTGGAGCAAGACGCCCGACTTTCCGTTTGGTAAAAGGGAGATTCGATGGTTGCTGTGGCTGCGTGGGTTGTCTGGATACTGGGGTATATACGGCATGTGGTATTCTATGATGTATCTCCCACTCGCAGATGCTACCGTTATCACCTTTCTGGCCCCTGGAGTTGCTGGTTTCATATGTTGGTTTGCACTCCGTGAGCCCTTTACTCGAATCGAGCAGCTCGCGACCCTGGTGGCCCTCCTGGGTGTGGTGTTGATCGCTCGTCCCACTTCACTCTTCTCCCATTCTGGCGAGGATCAAGATCCCTCGACGACTGAGCCGCCAGAGGGCGGAATTCCCGGCGCAGATCACGAGGCTACATCCGAGGAGCGACTAGTAGCTGTTGGTGTTGCCCTTGTGGGCGTCCTAGGGGCGGCTGGTGCCTTCACGACCCTGCGAACGATTGGAAAGCGAGCTCATCCCCTGATCTCTGTCAACTACTTCGGCGCCATCTCCACCATCATCTCAGCCCTGTTTCTGATTTTCGCACCTATCCTTGACGTCGCTCAACCAGGTCTGCGTTGGGTCACCCCATCTACCGCCAAGCAGTGGCTGTTGCTGCTCCCTCTGGGCATCCTGGGCTTCATCATGCAATATCTTTTGACATCGGGTCTCGGAGCGGACAAGTCGAATCGTGCCAACGCCATGGTCTACACGCACATGCTCTTTGCGGCGAGCTTCGACCGATGGGTATTCGGCCACCGCATGGGCTTGATGAGCGGCGCAGGATGTACCTTGATTCTTGGAAGCGCTATTGGAGTCGTTTTGATCAAGAAGTCGCCGCCTCCCAAGGTGCCTGCAGATGATATTGAGAGGCATGGGAACTTGGTCGGCGAGGCGGAGGGTTCTCCCATGTTGTTACCCGACTCAGGTACGTCTGAGGAGATGAGGATTTCCCGATAGATTGGCGGTGCGAAGGGTACAGCCCAAATAAGGGTTGTCAGTGGCCAGGGACATAAAATTTTGATATAGAAGTAGATTGAATGAACAATATCAAGAATGAACATTTATATGTGTGTGTTTCTGATGCTAATTTTGACTGGTATCTAATCATAGTATGGGGGCACCATTGTCATCAGCTTCACAAGTCCGCGCTTGGTGCCCTAAAGGGCTCCGGCCACATTATTTTATATTTGCCCTCTAGTAATACAGTTTGTTTTGTTCCTTGTTCTCTATATTTTCCTTTGTATTTAGGTCTCTATGTTGTTCTACGTTTACACTTTTTAAATCATGTCTTATATGAGCTTAGAAGCTGGGTAGCAACTTGGTCTACCCATATAAATAATTGATAGAGACTATATCCTAGGCGTATTTCTGCGAAGCCATACCCTAGACTAAAATCAAGGTTTGTCATGTTTTACCTCATGCCAGTTGTAGTTGTTTATGAAAGAGTATCTTGGTCGCACTTCAAGTCCATATCATCGATATAGGTACTCCGATGCACGTGAGTGGAGGTTCTCAAAGTCCAACTACTTGGTCAAGCTGGCATCTTGGATAACTCGGGCCTAACCAAGTCCCAAGAAACTTGACAAAGGTAGAATAAAGCCAACTATGAAATGATGAATCTTTCATGAATTCAACACAGGGATTTCTCACGGGGTGTATAGGGTGAGGGCGTGCTTGGGTATCACGTGACCATCATGTCGCGAAGACGCGCCTGGACTAGGAGCAACTAAGCTTCGATCGCAAATCTTTGGAGCTTCAGGCTGCTACATCAACAATCACTTGACATCACCACCAACCACGAGACCTCATCCCAATTCGAACAGAATCGTCGCTTCGATAAGATAGTTTGCAGAATACCGGAAATTTCAACAGAACTCGGCGCCCACCGACATCATGGTCCAGATCAGCGAGGTGAAGGGGAACAAGCGAGACAATCGCACGGCCGCCCATACTCACATCAAGGGCTTGGGCTTGAAGTCAGATGGATACGCAGAGAAGCAGGCCGCTGGGTTTGTTGGCCAAGCCAGCGCCCGTGAGGTGAGCTTCCAAAGGTACACAAAGGCTCATCAATAGTTTGCTGACCCATCCGGAACAGTCTTGCGGCGTCGTGGTGGACTTGATTCGAGCCCAGAAGATGGCTGGCCGAGGTGTCTTGTTGGCAGGAGGTCCTGGAACTGGAAAGACGGCACTCGCGCTCGCCATCAGCCAAGAGCTGGGCACCAAAATCCCTTTCTGCCCCATCGTGGGTAGCGAAATCTACTCGACCGAAGTTAAGAAGACCGAAATGTTGATGGAAAACTTCCGAAGAGCGATTGGCCTCAAGGTCCGAGAGACAAAGGAGGTGTACGAGGGAGAGGTTACAGAACTGACCCCCGAGGAGGCCGAGAACCCTCTGGGTGGCTACGGCAAGACCATCAGCACACTGCTCATCGGCCTGAAGAGCGCAAAGGGACAGAAGAAGCTTCGCCTCGACCCCAGCATCTATGAGGCTATCCAGAAGGAGCGTGTCACAGTGGGAGACGTCATCTACATCGAGGCGAACACGGGCGCATGCAAACGAGTTGGCCGATCGGACGCCTATGCCACAGAATTCGACCTCGAGGCGGAGGAGTACGTGCCCATCCCCAAGGGCGAGGTGCACAAGAAGAAGGAGATTGTGCAAGATGTCACGTTGCACGATCTGGACGTGGCCAACGCGCGACCCCAGGGCGGACAGGACATTATGAGCATGATGGGTCAACTGATGAAGCCCAAGATGACTGAGATCACCGACAAGCTGCGCGGCGAGATCAACAAAGTGGTCAGCAAGTATATCGACCAGGGTGTGGCTGAACTTGTGCCAGGCGTTTTGTTCATTGACGAGGTAAGGTCCCCCCAATGTCCCCCGTCTCATGTCGGGACGGGAACCTATGGCTAACCGACGGGATCGTTTCATAGGCGCATATGCTTGATGTGGAGTGCTTCACCTACCTGAACCGAGCCTTGGAATCGCCCATCTCGCCCATCGTGGTCTTGGCCTCCAACCGGGGAATGTGCACCATCAGAGGCACCGATGATATTGTCGCAGCCCACGGAATCCCCGCTGACTTCCTGACTCGGCTCCTCATCATTCCCACAACGCCATACGAGGCGGACGAGATCAAGCGCATCGTGCGGATACGTGCCTCAACCGAGGGCGTCTCGGTCTCGGACGCCGCCATCGACAAAATCGCGGAACACGGTGTCCGCATCAGCATGCGGTACTGCCTGCAGCTGCTGACTCCCGCAAGGTAAGCCAAGCCCACTTTGGTGAAAGGGGTTGAACCTCCCCCTTGGGATGCACCGAGACATGGTTTGACTGACGGTGAACAAACAGCATTCTTGCCAAGGCCAACGGCCGTTCGCAGATCGACATCCAGGATGTTGCGGAGTGCGAGGACCTGTTCCTTGACGCCCGTCGCAGCGCGGCGCTCCTCAGCAGCGAAGCCGGAGCAGGCTTCCTGGCGTAAACGGGGGACGACTGTAAGGCTCGGGGTTTTATTTAGGTCTAGACGGCGCTGGGAAGGAAGGGGAGAAGTGTTATGCATAATTACTGTTAAACTGAACAGGGTCACAGGATTTCAAGAGGATTTTCCGAGGCGATACGAAAATACCTGCTTCCTGGCTGACCCGTTGTGTACTTGATAGGGAGCCATGGATGGAAAATACTTGCAAACAAGAGGTTCGGCGTCGGGCTGGGTCACATCGAATGACCATGATCATCAGAATGCCATTTGCGAATACCTAGAGTCAACCTGAGTTCCCTTCCCCCTGGGGGGGATCTCTCCCTTGTTATGTTCCCATTATGCTAATTCTAGACCAAACAACAAAGGGGCCCCTCACCCCCTCCCACAAGTCCTTTGATGACTGACTCACCCAAGCTAATGGGGAAACTGGGGAGGATGGCTGGATGCGGATGGATGCCAACGATGAAAGGCCATTTCGACAGCCGTCTCAGACCAGGATTGGATTGCTGACCCGCCCTGTTGGATTCAGTTTACTCTGTCTTTCAAAGGGAAATCAGGTTTGTCCATCACGTGCACAAGACCTATCCCATGCCAATTTCGGCGCGGACATTGTCTTTGTCTCAGAGCTCGCCAAGCATCCCATTCCAGCCCCAAGACACGGTCTACGTACATTCCGGCATTGCATTGTCGCCGTTGGATGAGGCTGGACGAAGAGGAAGTAGGGGGAAGGGGCAAGCGTTTCGCTCGGGCCAGCTGACGACCGGCATTCACTTCCATTGCACGACTACAAAGGAGGGCGGAGACAAAAGCAGCAATGCTGGGCTTGCCCTGGAGAGGCAGGGCAGGGGAGAAGCGCCGCGTACCTGGGGGAGAAAGATGATATATCATGGCAAAGTCCGTGGACCTTCCTTTGTGTGTGTGCGCGCCCTTCTCTTCGCCTCCGTTTTGTTGGGTCCAGCGGATGAGTCTGTTTCTTTTTCAAGAGCACCCACACCACACACACACATATTGGCCACACACACACGCCATCACGCATACACACATACACACCCTGGTTCATTCACGCTGTTAGTACCACCGGAGCCTGAGGCATCTGCCTTGTCCTGTCTGCGGCTGCTGTATGCTCCCTAGTGGTTGCTACGGACAGACGGGACAGTCTACGGGGGGCAAACGCGAACAAAGCAGGGCAGGCTGATGGGGTTGCTGCTACTCTCTCACCAACCAGAGCAAGGCTGGGGCATGTTCCCCGCCGTTCACTCTAGTTACCCCGGGACTAGGACGTTTTAATCTATCTACCCGTTGTCGGAGAGGGTAGACGCAGAGAGGGAGTTGACGCGTGAGAGAGATACAGACTGAAGAGACAGGGCTGCCGTTGGTGGAAGAGTTTGGGATACTGCAGAGGAGGCGAAAAAGAGAGAAAGAGAAGACTTGAAAGAGCATCCGATAATGGAATCACGCCTCATGTCCTGCTCCAGGCACTGATTGACCGACTGGGCCCCAGTTTCATTGTCCTCTTGCTCAGGCACACAAAGACTTTGGCCAGCACAGACTGGCCCCGACACACGAGCACCGGCGACGCTCTTTGAACCAAAAAAAGACTTGGTTGGAACTCAGAAACGCCTTCTTTCTGTCGAGGTTTCACCTTATTACCTCTTGTTCTTGCCGGGTTTCTCAGAGGTTGTTGTTGTTGCCGTCGATACAACTCTTCTCGACTACACTCTCAACCTTCTCGCTCAAACATATCCAACTCCACCTTCAGCCCGCTACGCTACGTTCAGGGTACAAGGTTGTGTGGTTGCCAAAAAGTTGGCGCTTCCCGCTCTGGCCCAACCCGCCGCCGCCGCTCACAGCGTCTCGCATTCGTTCGTTTGCCAGGCAGCCCAGCCCAGCCCAGCCGCCTCTCTCCAAAATGACACAGGTCATCTCCATGGTTGCTGCCGCTCCCAAGCAGGCCATGACCCCTGCTCACTCCCCCATGGACGCCGTCGACGAGTATGACCACCGGCCGCCGCGTGCCTTTCGTGTCGTCCCTGACACCCCCGACTCTCCCAGCCCTCGCACTGCCGGCCTGGCTCGAAAACGTGCCGCTTCCATCAACACGGCCGACGCCAACTATGGGAGGCTCGAGAAGCTCCAGCTCAGCACCCCTAGCAGCATGAATAGCGAAGGCCCCAGAGACATCTGTCTCTGCACTCCTGCCCCAAAGATCCCCAGACCTCGAAACGGTGAGTCTAGTCAGGTTCCTTTGTTGAAGTCCGCCTTGAGCGTCGAGACTGTGTGAGCAGTAACATCTCCACGCTGACAACCCCTTTTTGCCTAAGCAGGGTTCTTTGTCACGGCTAACTCGTGTATAGCTTTCATCCTATATCGTCAGCATCATCAGGCTCAAGTTGTTGCCCGGAACCCCCATCTTTCCAATCCTGACATCTCCAAGATTATCGGAGAGCAGTGGAAGGACGAGTCTGAGGATGTAAAGATCAACTGGAAGAGCCTAGCCGATGAGGAGAAGCAGCGCCATCAGCGCCAGTATCCTGACTATCGATACCAGCCACGACGCGGCAACAAAGCTCAGGGGGCCCGTACAGGTTCGTCCCCGACTGATGACTCTGGACGCTGCACCAAGTGCAACGGGCGGTCCATTGCGACTCCTCGTACCCCTTCTACTCCATTTTCCGCGCCTTCCACGGCGAAGCCTCCAACCCCGTATAACCCTACTGTGCGAGACGACCTGGATCTGGCTCGCCGTGGAAGTTACAGCAGCTCGCCCAGCTCGAGGCTGCGCTACCCCCCACAGCGACCTGGATACCGAGAAGTTGATGACTTGAATCCTGAGTCTCCAGAGGCGAAGAGACGTCGCCGCAACCAGGCTGGGGGCTATCACGCCGTTTCATCGCCTCACCAGGGAGTACGAGCGTTGTCGATGGGGGCTCCAGCTCTCATGCGATCGTTCCCCGCGACTCCTTTGCCTGAGCCGGGCTTTCCGAGATCCAAATCTGGTCCGATGGGCCCTCCTCCACGACCAGGGCCATGGCCTGAGCAGAGCCATGGTCGATACACATACGATGAGTCCCTTCGACTGCCTCCTCTGCAGACGTCTGTTCCTATGTCGCCAAGTGTGGCGACAGAAGTCGACGTCCGACACCTCAACACACCCGTCACTGGCCTCGGAATAACCGGTGCTCGAGATCCCCAGGCTCGAAGCGTCGAAGCCATGGTCATGTCCATTCCGTTCACTCGAAAATTGTCAGTCTTGGCTCGAATCAATCACACACCCATCACTGCTCTTGACCCCAGCAGTCAGGGGTTGGCGAATCGCGGGGCGGTCATCGCAGTCGAAGGACCTAAGCCGAGAATGCTCAAGCAAGTCGGCCAGCTGGTAGAGAAGGCCATCCTAGCATCCAACGAAGTACATCTCAAGACATGGGGAAGGGAGTCGGAGGAACCGAATAACACCGAAAGACGGGACTCTCCGAGTGAGAGTGTATCCGCGGACGAAAAAGACACGTTCAAGTCATGCTTCGAGACCATGATTCACTGGCACAGGAATTCCAGAGAAATCGTGAAGCATATCACTAAGGACGACTCGACTTCAGATTCGAACCAGGAGGACACTGGATCTCAGGGCTCGCGGCGAGGCTCCGCTGAAGAGAGCGTGGCAGAGCCACAGGAGAAAGGACCAGCTCCCAAAGTGCCGGTGGCACTCATCAAGGAGGGATTCAGCCTCACCTTGTCGGACGCTTTTGCGTGTACCGTACCCATCGCCGACTCGTACGCGCCGATTGATCACTGGCAGTGGATGGCAACTCTCTGGCGCGGCACCATCGCTCCCGATCTGGTGGTCTATGTCAAGCCAAGCGTGGATGAGGAGATTACAAAGTTTGGGGCTGTCGAGTTCCACAAGCACCCAGGCCTTATGATCGTTCGGATTGCTGTCGGAAAGGACCTGGACGAAGCAACTGAACGACGAGTCGCGTTTGAAGTGGTTGAGTGGGTACGAGGAGGGTCCTTCCGGGAGGAAGCCTCCAAGGCTTGAAAGGATACAAACCATTGCATATTGAGAAAGGTGTAAGTTGAACTGGATTTGAGACGGTACAAGGCGGGCATTGCTTCGAGTATCTGGTGTCATGTTTGGGATTTGAAGCATACGAAATACTCTGGAAGCATAACGTCGATCGAGCATGGGTCTAATTCTTTTCGAATACATAGAAACGAACGAACAGAGTTTGAGTAGGTAGCGAGATTACTGTCAAGCAAGCAACAGACAAAGCCCACGACATGAAGGGAGATTTGTCGGGCTGGAATAGACAAACAAACATTTGAGTTTCGGATCTTGACGAATGATTTGAGTAGGATGAGAGATGAATAGTTATGTTAGCCAATCAATTACGTGAAAATGATGATTTGTTGTTCCAGAGTTGAATTTCTTTGTTGAGATGAAGGGCGTACAAGTGAAGTTGAGGTTGTTTGATGACCCACTTTGGTACGTACCCACACTAGCCGCCGGGAGTGGATTGCCGCCGTCGCGTTTATCCGAAAGTAGACAGACGCGTCTACTGTGCACTTCAGGGATGAATGTCAATGGATGGATCCTCAACATCATAGACCCTCTCTCTAAGCGATCCTACTCAGGAGACAGCTCTCGAACAGCTACGACGACGACGACAATCAAAACCACGCCCGGCACGATGCCCAAAGACCCCGAATAAACTGCCCACAATGCCGGATTTCAAACCTGGGCAGATCGTCCAGCTCTCGGACGGCCGCAAGGGCACCGTCCGCTTCGCTGGCCCTACCCACTTCCAGGTCGGCGAGTGGGTGGGTGTCGAGCTCGAGGAGAAGACGGGCAAGAACGATGGCAGTGTCCAGGGCGAGCGGTACTTTGACTGCCCCATGGGTTACGGCATGTTTGTCAAGCCCATGATGGCTACCATCATCGCCCAGGCCCCCGCCCCTAGGCCCGCGCGCAAGCCTTCCCGCCCGAGCAGCTTCAACCCGGCCGCGGGGAGGACGTCGAGCGCGGGGGATCCTGGACTCGGTAGGAGGAAGAGTCTGAATGCCCCGAGCCCGAGCCCGGTACCTAGAGTGGCTAGGCCGACCAGCATTGCAAGAGTGGGTGTTGCGGTGTACTCTCCCCAGGTTGAATGCTGACCTTTGTCTAGTCTCCCACGAAATCGCCTACTAAGCAGTTGAGTGCTTCTTCAAGTGCTGCCGTATCTCGAACAGGAACACCTTCGAATCCCCGTGTGCCATCCGCAGGATCCAAGTCTCGCCCGTCAGTTGGAGGATCGCGAACCTCTATGGGACCACCGCCACCCCCTGCCACTCGGACGACAAGACAGGCTTCTACATCTTCAGTTTCATCACGAGCAGGAGGACCTATTCCAAGAACTGCAAGCGGTCGCTTGTCCTTGAGCGGACCAAGAGCGGTATCGCGACCAAGCTCACGACCAAGCTCCGTGACAAGACGGACATCAGTGGATTCTCTGGCAGGGAGGGATCATGGCTCATCTGACAGAGACAGTATTGCCTCCCCTGTGAAGGATAACGGGGACATACTATCGCCGCAGCCCAGAAGCCCCGTTCAGGCGAGAACAAAGGCCTTGGAGAAGCTCACAGGAGGGACCTCATCACGAACATCAACACCACCTGTATCAAGGAAACCCGCACCTGCAGCTCGACCAGCTGGGAGTACTGCTGCTAGCCGGGAAATTGAGGACCTCAAGGCGAAGCTGAAGGTCTTGGAACGCAAGCGGGCTGAGGACCGGGATAAGTTGAAGCAGCTCGAAAAGGTTCAGGGCGAGAGAGACAAGTTTGAGAGCGTCATTCAGATGCTGCAGCAAAAGTATCAACCACAACAACAGGAGAACAATGAGTTGAAGAAGTTATTGAAAGAGGCGGAGATGAGGTTAGAATCCATTGAGGAGATTCAGGCCGAGCACGACAGCATATTGGAATTGGCCACACTCGACCGAGAGATGGCTGAAGAGACAGCCGAAGTTCTCAAGGTTGAGCTAGACGCCCTGAAGGAGAAGGCCGAAGAGATGGAGCTTGAGGTCGAGATTCTCCGAGAAGAAAACGAGGAATACAGCAAGGGCATGACCCCCGAGGAGCGATCCAGCACTGGATGGCTGCAGATGGAACGCACAAACGAGCGATTACGAGAAGCTCTTTTGCGATTACGCGACTTGACGCAAGCGTCAGAGGAGGAGCTTAAGGATCAGATCGCAGGATTGGAGGAGGACCTGAAGGAGTTTAATACTATGAAGGAAGAGTACGGCGTGTGCCGAGAAAAGCTCGAGCAGTCCCAGTCGGCTGTTGAGGACCTTCGACAACAACTGGACAATGCACTTGGTGCTGAGGATATGATCGAAGACCTTACGGAACGCAACATGAGCATGGCCGAGCAGATTGAGGAGCTCAAGGCCGTGATTGACGACCTTGAAAGTCTCAAGGAGATTAACGATGAGCTGGAAATCAACCACGTCCAAAACGAGAAGGAGATGCAAGAGGAACTCGACTTCAAGGACAGTGTCATTACCGAGCAGGCTCGACGGGCCGTCCAGCAAGAAGAGTCACTGGAGGATATGGAGTATACCCTGTCGCGATTCCGCGAGCTGGTGACGAGCTTGCAAAGCGACTTGGACGATATGAGAGCCTCGCAGGCTGTCACCGAGGGCGAGTCGGAGAAACTCAATGATCGATCCCGAGCTATGATGGACCTCAACATGAAGCTTCAGATCTCGGCGGCCAAGGCTCAAGTCAAGACGATCGACCTGGAGCTGCGACGACTGGAGGCCCAAGAGGCAGAGCAACACCTGGAGATTGTCAAGCTTTTCTTGCCTGATACCTATAAGGAGGATCAGGACTCTGTGCTCGCTCTGCTCCGCTTCCGTCGTCTGACCTTCAAGGCCAACCTCCTCAATGGCTTCATCCGGGAGCGACTCAACGGACAACCTCATCCTGGACACGAGGACGACGTATTTGCTGGCTGTGACGCTTCGGACAAGCTGGTTTGGGTGTCCAACATGTGCGACCGCTTCGTCAATGATATCAGCCATTGCTCTATCGAGCAGTTCTCTAGATACCAGAACGCGCTGCACGAGCTGGAGCCTGTTGAGCGTGCTCTGAACGTCTGGATCGACGGTCTGCGAAGAGATGAGCTGAAGGAGCAGAAGTGCGCCGACGAGTTGCACCGTACTATTGCCCTCCTCTCTCATCTTGGAGAGGTGCACATCTCGAACAATCTGGCCAACTATGCCGATGACGCTCACATGAAGGCCATGCTGATGCAGAGCCATCTCGACTCTGCGGCTGTTTCTTTCAACACTCTTCGAAACCTAGTCAACCGTGTGGTCCCGGCTGAGGGTGAAGAGGAGGAGCTGGCGCAGCACTTTGCCAAGAAGTCCGAGGCTGTCATTACTCAGACCCGCGGCGCCAAGGTCATTGCTGGCAAGGCTGTGCGAGCTCTTCAGGACCTTCGAACTAGGTCTCTGTCTCTGCTGCCGGATACGACCGAGGCATTTGAGCAGTGCTGTGAGGCAACCCAGGAGCTTGCTGACCTTGCACGCCAAATCGGTCTCGGCCTTCACGAGCTTCTTACCTCGGATGAGACAAGGACCGAGCCGTTTACATATGTTGAGGTGCAGTCGGCAGTTCACAAGACTGTGCTCGCTGTTAGCACCTCAAGCGAGTCGGATCTCTTCTCCAGCTACCTGGCTAAGCTCCGAACCGTCACAACACAAATCACAGACCTGGCTTCGTTGGCCACTGACCTAGACCAAGTTCAGGAGTTTGATGTGGCCCCCGCCCCCTGGCGGCTGCGGTCCCAGGAGCTCAAGGCTCTCAAGACCATCCCTGTTGACGCCGAGGAGGAGCTTCGTCGCCTTAAGGAGGAGCATAGCGAGGCTCGCCGCACCATTGCGCAGCGCGACGAACACCTTAGCACAGCCGTGCTCAAGATTGAGACTCTCGAGTCGAGAATGCGGGATGCTCAGGCTAATATTGAGCGCATCTCGAACCTGCAGAGCGAGCTTGAAGCTTCGGGTCAGCAGATTGGCAGCCTCAAGGAGGATATCGAGAAGCAGGACCGTGAGCTCAAGAACCTCGAGTCGGAGCGCGACAAGTGGAAGAAGATTGCCAGCGACAGCCGTGCCTTTGCTGATGGCGCTGATGCTGCTGGTGCCAAGGCTGGCCAGGAGCGTGCCGTTGCCACCGCCCGCGAGATGGACGCCCTCAAGAAGGATATCGAGAGCCTGCAGTCGGCCGTCCGGTACCTGCGTGACGACAACCGTCGGGCTCGCACTTCGGAGCAGCAGAGGTACGACTGGCTGGCCGAGCCCCTTCAAAAACCAAAGACCGTTACCGAGCAGCGCCGCGGTCTCATCGCCGCCGAGGGCAGGGACGTCCTCAGCGAACTCGTCAAGATGGCCTCTTCAGCCTCCTTGTACAACTTCTCGGCCTTGCCCGAGGACAAGCTCGCCTGGAAGCCCGCCAGGTCCACGCCTCAGTACCACGCCGCCAAGCAGCAAGAGGACTACGCCGCCTGGACCGCCTGGGAGGACTCGGTCCTGCACAAGGCCCACGTGCTCCAGGGCCAGACGGCCAAGGTCGAGCGGAGGAAGGCCGCGGCGGCCCCAGGCCGGAACCCGGCGGCCCGGCTACGCATCAAGCTCCCCGGCGCCGACGGAAAAGTGGTGCCCGGGTCCGGACGGGACGTGCAGATTGTGGGATCGCGTGAGTGGGAGGCTCTACAAGGACGAATCGCTGTATGATGGGAAAGCGTGTGGACATACCCCCTTTTTTAGTTTCTATTCATCTTTGACTTTTTTCAATATTTGGTGTCAATGTGTATCAGGCTAGTATCATGATACCGCCTTAGAATCAAGTTTTTATCTTTCAAAACATCATTCCCCTTTTGATTAGGGGACTTCTGAAGCATTCTTCATCTTTTTCTCGTTTTAAAAAAATGTGTAGTCATGCCCCATCCCTGGTATCTCTTAACATTTCCCAGAACTTGATTCATGTGTCATTCCCTCTACATCTTTGTAAGAGTCCCTCTATGCTCGACCTTTGCCCTTCTTATCCTTCTTCTTCTTGCCGCCTCCACTGCTGCTCTCGTCACCACCCGCTTGCGCACCCATCAGAGCCGACATGGGATCTCCACCACCTTGCATCTCCTTCATCATATCCTTGAACAGGTTCTCTGACACACCACCTCCCGTCATGGCAGGGCTCAGGTAGGGCAGCAGCTCACCCATCTTCCAGCCTCGCGGCACAGCAGGCTTGGGGTAGGGCTTCCCAGGCTCTGGCTGCAGCTGACCTCCAATCCTGACACGTAGACCGGCGCTGTCCTCGGTGGTGGGGTTATCCTTGAGATGCTCGGCGATGAGGCGGTACAGGTGGTGCTTGTTCTGCACGGGGTGTCCGGGTGTCTTCTTGAGTCCGACCTTGACGCGGCCAGGGTTGGCCCAGTCCTTGGGGTGCACCTTCTCGGGCTCGAAGAGGGTCGGGAGGCGCAGTCGCGAGCAGGCGTTTGCGATCTCGCGCGCGAGGGGGTCCTTGACAGCGAGGTCGGCGTTGACACGACGACCCTCGGCGCGGGATCGCGAGGCGTCAAAGTAGACGGGGTAAACGCACTGGAACTCGGCGTAGGCGGAGCGATCTGTGTTTGCTGGGAGGGTGCTGCCCATGGGTGCTCCAGCGGGGACGATGTGCGGCATCTGCTGGCTGGCTGCTGCGGGTGCTTGTTGAGGAACGGATGATGTCGTTGTGGAGGACTTGGGTTCGACGCGGCGCATGATATCCGAGTCGGCAAAGTCATCAATGTCGCCCTCGGCTGGGTCAGAGTCAAAGTCGCTGTCCGAGACTTCTTCTATCCTTGGGTGGGACATTTTTGCGGCTGGTGGGCGAAGGAGGGGGGAGACGTTCGTAGGTAGGTAAGTCGTACGTAGCGTCAACTCCAAGAGGGTATCTTAGAGGAGCGAAAAGTATAAAGAGTCGAGGTGGAATTGAGGGCGACGTTGGAGTCGAGAGTCGTCCTGGGGTAGAAGTGGGAATGGGATGGGAAGGAAGGTGGCACTTTCCATTTGACACCACCACAAGGTGGGCAGTCAAATCGAAGGTCAAGGTGTGGGCGGGGCTTAATGTGGGGTAAACAAGTACCCCTTCACCGAGCTCACCGAGCTCACCTTGGACTTACATGATGAGGGTCAGGTTTCAACTTCACTTGTTCGACACACGACATGAAATTTGATCCCATGATACGTTGAAAATGGTTATCTAGGAAAAGAAAAGAAAGAATTTGCATTCATAGAGAACGAAAATTAAAATCATCTCTCAATTTGTTAAAACATCAAGCAATCCTTCCCAGCGAGCGAAACCCTCTGGAGGCCATGAGCTCTGTTATTTAGCCCGACCACCTGGTGCTTGGAGAAAAGCCAAAACTGAAAAAAAGATCTCGTGGAGGATCACTGATCCCCCGAAATCCTATATAATAATATTAAAAAACCTTGTGATCGGATATCAAGAATCGATCCTAGTATACATAGAAACGAAGCTCAGAGATTGGTTGGTACTCGATCATATCATAGTGTAGTTGCCCTCGACCTCAGCCGAGTGACAACAGCCCGTGCAGAAAAGCACGTGGCTTAGTTATCGTGGATGTTCTTGTTGGTAAACTTGGTGCCAGGCGGATGGCTCTCCACCTTGAACCTGCAATATTGTCGCGTGCACATCCCGTTGCTGACATTGGGACACTAAAGACAAACCACGTTAGCCACGAAGGCTCAAGTAAAAGAGCGTAACTTACATGATGGCCATAGATGCAATCTTCGACATCGCAATCTTGGCCGCGCGTGCAGGGGTTCTGTCGTGACAACATTGCAAGAGCGCGGAGCTCCTCCTGAGTGGGCTTGTAGGTATGGACAAAGGGACAGACGTCAATCCTGGTGCATGGTCCGCGGAGGAAGTGGTTGTTGCACAGTTTATCATTGCCCGCCCGTCGCTTGATGCTTTCCATAGCCTGCTGACCCACTGTGATGGGTTGATCAAGTCCTCGAGGACCAGGATTCCAGGATGGCTGAGGCGGGGTCTTATTTCGATTGCTGTTGGCGCTCTGCTTGGGCGGCAGAGGCATTGTGAGCTGTGGAGGTGGACTAGCACACTTGGTGATCTTGGCATAGCTAGCAGCCGGAGGCGACATGGACGCAGTGCTCGTTGCAGGCGTCAACACCGCTTGAGTAGGAAGAACGACTGTTGGCGAGACTTGGTGCGCGGTTCCATTGGGCTGAGGCACGACAGGCTTCTCGATGGGCGTCTTGTCGGTAAGCTTCGTTGTGCGGAAAATTTGGTCGAACGAGATCACGTTCATCTTAAGAGACTCTAGTTCGCGGACCAAGGGTGTCGATTTGAGCAGAGAAACGAGGTTTCGTGCTGTGTCATCCTGGAGTACTTCGTCAAGGAAAGGCGCATATCCAGCATCATGTCCAATTCCTAAGAGAACATGTTTGCAATTATGGCTTCGTAAATGCCAGCGGGCGGTTTCTTAACCCCATGTTAGTCAGTTTCTCGTCAATTGGACATGATCTGTGTCGCTGTGGCTGCATATCATAGGCTGCTGTGCTCTTTTCAACGTACCTCGGATCTTTGAGTCGGCTCTCTCCTTGCCATAACCAACATCGATAAAATCAAACGACGCTTTGGCCTGGGTAAAGCCCAGTGTAAACTCCTTAAACATGCTGGGGTCGTCGATGCTGCCATCGCGACAAAGGGCCTTGCTCAGGCCGCCAACATTGGCTACGACGCGGCAAACAATCTCTATCCCATTGAATCGTTCCTGGCTCTGGTTGCACAGGTCTGCCACAGCAGAGCGTATAGCGTATGCTGCCCTCTTTCCGCCCTCGAGGCCTTGTTGGACGTATTCATCTTGGAACTGTTGTGCAGTTAGCAGCTGGTCCCCCCAGCACCAGGTCCTGTCCAACATACAATAAGACCATCTCCGTCGATCAACAGCAAAAGGTAAGGAGCATCATTCTGTCGCTTTTAGCCATTGTATCCCCTGCGCATCAACCCATGATGCTATGTACCTTGAGCTCTTCGTTCTGATCCGTCACCCATTTTATTTGGGTCTCGGCTTGTGATAGGCTGTGTTGTAGATCTCGTCGGGACTTTGTCGCGGCGTGTAGGTCGAGCTCGGCTTCGTGCAATCGGATCTTGAGCTGCTGGTTCTCTTGGTGTAGACTCTCTTCGATGCCTTGGCAGTAAAGTAGTAGATCCTATCGAGCGGAAAAGGTTAGCGACGTCTGCGACAAGATCACAAGGTCGCGGCGTTGGGGTGCTCAAGCTCCCGAGGCGGGCGAAGGGAATGGCATGCGGGAGCGCATGTGGGTGTCGCGCAGACGGAAAGATGGCGCGCATACCTGAAGCAATTTGTCTCTTGTGTTTTCATACGCTTGAACGGCCTGATACCGCTGGACAAAGTCTGTTAAAGCGCCGGCAGCGGCCATGGTGAAATGCGTGGAGCTTCTGGCGAAGCTTTCAAAGTTGGTGATGTTGTAGGTTCGAAGCGAAATTTCCAGACCAGGATGTCAAGGTTCGATCCGAGGTAGGATTCGAGATGCCGGGGAGGAGGGCAATAGGTTTTCGGATGGAGAAGGAAGATGAAAGAGGAAGAGAGGGCAAAAAAAAGAAAATGTAAACGAGGAGAGCCCTGGAATATTGATTGGGCGAGCGGGTAGGTCGAGTTATATCAACGGTAGCAAGCGAGAGGAGACGAGACGAGACGAGAGAGGCGCGCGCCAACGGGAACACTGACAGGCAGACGGACGATGCGATGGCTTGCCGATGGCTGATTTTCGCTTCCTTCTCTCCTTCACAGCCTGGTCTGGTCTTGGCTCCGTGCCGGGTTATGACGGCGGTTGCGCGCAAAAGCGATCAGCTCGGCCGGCCGTTGTTGGGCCTTTGTCTGCTTGCGGCCACACACCCTTTTTTATTTTTTGCGACAGTCGGCGCAAGGGGATTGGATGAGGGTGTGAGGGAGAGGTGCACGTTTTGGAGATGAGACAGGGAAGAGAGAGAAGAAAAAAAAAACCACCTTGAGCAAAGTGATTGCTATCCTTGCTTGTGCTTGCTTCTTGCTTGCTTGAGGATGACAGTCAAGCTCTTCTTGTTCCTCTTTTCTCTTGATCTTGAGAGAAGAAGAGAAGGAAATACGAGAGCAATTCAAGGTTTGTTAAAGATCAAAACGTGGTGGGTTGATTTTCTGCCAAACTTTTTTTTTTCTCTTCCGGTCCTTGCCTTCATACAACATTTAAAAAAAAAAAAAGTCAGGTCGCTCCTTCCCTTGAGTGATCAAGGTGCATCAGCGCAGGGGGCAGGATCAGCCCATGCAACTGCCGGCCCATCGACCCACAGTGGAGACGCGCCAGAAGGAAAAGACCCTACAGGGGATCGATCTGACGGGGACTGAGAGAGTGAAGGGGTTCTGGACTCTCTCAACTTCTTCTTCTCTCTGTAAGACAAAGAAGGATGAGGCGATGGGAGGAGGACGAGGAGAGGCAGGTACGAGGGGATACAAATGTCAGATGCGTACAGTATTGCATCTGAAAGCCGTTGTGGTCCTTTTTTTTTATTTTTAATTATGGACTGCTAAATATAAACCCGGTCTAACTTTGGCACTGTAACGCTTTTGGACAAACAGGGCTTCAGCTCAACACTCACTTGCTTTAAAACACCTTCCGTGATGGGTCCCATCAACAGATCAAATGCAAGTGTTAATTATAACTGCATGACAACTCTACACACGCACAGAGGGACTCGACGACGACGGCAACAGTGATTCATCCACGCATTCTCGAAACCATCATGTCGAATGACAAAAAACACAAGCAAGAGTGCAACGCTGCATCACTGAGGCCACCAACATCTTCCCAAGTCTACCTATCCCGAACCCTCACGGCTTCCTGTCCTCTCACGCCCTGAGGCCGTGCAATCTGCACGTCGGCGTGTCAAAGCATTTCCTCTTTTTTTGCCTCGCACCCCCAATCATCCAATCACCCTTGAGAAATCTCCCAAAGTGCAACGCCTAGAACGCCTCGCCGTGAGATAAAATGCTACCAGAGCACCCGCCCCCCGTTGTGGTTTCACAACGCGCGGGGGGAGGGCAGCAATCACAGGCCCAACGGGCGGCCACTCGCATAACGGGACGGCTTTGCCGTTGCTCTTTTCAGCTCGCCGCTTACTGCGTTGTTGTAGTTAGTCTGCCTTGTGGCTTGGAAACCTGCCCCGGCTTGGTTTGGTATTAGGCAGCAAATCAGGCTCTCGGAAACAAGCAGCAGGCTCTCAGGAATACTACGCAGTATAACAGATAGAAGCAAGCGCCTTGTTATTTGGTCAAAGGCGACCGCATCATGCAGAGTATATGCAATGGAATAGTAGGTATGCAATTGTTCAAGGTGTATGCTTGCTTGTTGGATAGAGTCCTAGACATAGACTCACAGCCAATCTCACAGCCTCCACCACCATGTTCCAGTCTGAATAACGCCTGCTAATCAACCCACGAGGCTTTGTATATTTGCTTTTTATCAAGTCCAAAAATCCAACTCAAACGGCGGGCCCACCGTCTCCCGTCGCCGGAAACTGATTCAGCATCTGCCAGACCGTGTCGTCACCCCAGTCGCCCCCAAACTGCCACAGTAAATCATCCCCTCCAATCTCCCCCTCTGTTGATCCCAATGGCAGCATCATGCCGTCCGGACCCGCCGTGAGGTCGTTGTAGATTAAGTCCCCCGTGGGGAAGAACGGCGCCATCGTCGCCAGGCTGTCTGCTGGTGGTGTCCTCCACGCGTTTTCCGCTGCGGGCTGAGACTGTGTCAGACCGGCAACGTCACCCGTGCCGAGCGATGAACTTCCTGGTGTGGAAGTTGGTGCCAAGCCACTTGAACCGGTTGTTGATCTGTTTTCCGTGGAAGAGAGCGAGGTACTCTCTGCTTTTGCGACCGCCCTCTTGAACCGCACAACGATGGCTCTGAGAACACCCTGTGCCGATTTTGCGAGTGGATTACGCTCCTGCATGGCTGAGAACCGCTCGATAGTCCACTGAAAGTGCTCCAGGATCTTACTGGTGAGTTCAGCGTACTCTTGCGGGAAGATGATGTATACAGAGGCGATGAGCACGATGGCGTCGAAGCTGCTGAAGAAGAGCATGAAATTCCTCCACGAGTCTGGTGGTAGACCCTCAAACGTCATCTTTTGAATCTCGAGCGTCCTGAGGCTGGAGTTGATGGCCTCCACCCTACTCTCCTTGCGGTTGAAGACGTACGGCCGGTGCAGCGCTGTCTTGCTGAACTGGTGCAGGTGGGCAAAGTAATATCGATTCGCCTGATACCAGTGTGTCTCGGGGCGATCATCCCACCGTGTGTCGGGATTTTCCAGTCGAAAAGCAGGTGGCATTTTCTTGTCGAGATCGAGAATGCTCTGGTGAACCTGATCAACTTTGCTAAAATCAACCGGATATGCACCTTCGTTTTCGAGGTTCATGATTGCTCGTAGTGGCCCGCAAAGCTGGTAGTTCCAAAGAAGCCGAGTTATCGGCGTAGGAGGATCATCTTCACCACGAGGAACTATGGGCGACTTGTCACCATTCTCCGGTAAGATGGCGTCCACTGGCGGCGTGGGGAGAAGTTGATTCCAGTCTATCGTCCCAGGGCGTCCGAGCACCATAGCACAGTTGAGGTCCCATACGGCGAGCAGAGAATACATCCTCCTTCTCCGTTGTATCACCCATTGGTTCTCAAGAACGCTTTCAATGCTCGAGTCTTTGGGTTTAGGGTCCAAACTGTCGCGATGTAAGCCCAGCTCCTGCGCATCGCGGGTAGCCATGGCGATGGTGTGCCACTGCTGAGTGTTAGGATGGGTTCATTCTATAAAATTGACTTGATACTTGCCGCTTCAGTGACCTTGGCTGTAAACTTGAAAAAAGATGCCCTCAGGAATTGCGCCTGAACCGTCACCAGTGACAGGTGCTTCTTCCCTAGGAGATCCACAACCGCCTGACCAGAGTCGCTGTAATCAACCGCGAGATCCTCAAACCGCATACTCCCAGCATACTTGAGCGAGTCAAACACCGGGTCAGGCCGTTCTGGCAATAGCAGAAGTGCTGTTGCGATGACCTGGAACACCAGGGCCGGGAACGCACGCAGCTCGGGGCTTAACCCCCGTGGGCCAACTGTCGATAGTGTGGAAAAGGGGAGGTTGTTCCATTGCTCGAGCTGCGCATAAAAGACCACTGGGTCGATGGCAAAGTACTGCCAGTTGAAGCCGCGCATGTACATCTCGACAAGCTTGTCGATGTAGTTCCTCGCAGGCAGCTGACGGATGATGCCCTTGTACTTTTCCCTCAGGGCAAGGTCCTCTTCCGGTGAGCCGACCGAGAATTCGTGAGATCTACCCGCAGATGAAGGTGAGCCATGTTCGCCGTCAGTCGCTGTCTCAATCTGCTTCAAGAGTCCCATTGTTGACGCGCCGTTCTGTGCGTAGCCCCAGTCAGCCGCCTTGGATGACAGAAGTTCATCAAAGCCATCTTCGGTTGAGTCGCTGGATTGTGCTGGAGATGGCTCTAAAGCCTTTTCCGTTTGTTGATGCTGGCGTTTTGGTCGACTCTCCTTGGCCGTTGGCGCGCCAGTCTCATAAATACAGGCCGACTCCTTATTCCTTGACCTGCAGTTCCCACATGGCAGTTCTCGATCACACTGTGATATGATTAGCAGTGATCCATTGCTGGGTTATTCCTCCAAGATTTCAATGATTCACAAACCCTTTGTTTTCTGCGATGACATTCAGTGCAGCTGATGACGATGCGACGTCTCTTTCTCACTCGTTGACCATCGCCTTCTCCATGGGGCGGTGTCATGACGGCTTATGGATGATGGTGTCTGACCTCAGGGAGAGAATGGATCCTTCACATGATTGGTCGCTTGATTTAGTACGCGTATACTGTACTGAGACCGTCTCTGCGCTTCAAAGAAACAAAACATTCCTCTCAATCCGAGGCTGCTTCATCTCAGTTGACTTCCACGGTGAGATGAGATGAGACCGGACCAAGATTCTGGCGTCACCGAGTGGGGGCTCCGGAGTAATCGGCTTTAACGCAACCCACCACCGCAAAACTCAACCCTGGATTTCAGCCCTGTCAAAACTGTGGAGATGAAGCGCCGAGCTCACACGTCAAACAAAAAGGCAAGGTCAGAGCTGTGCGCTCGGACAGAGACGCTATAGCAGCAGCGGCAGTGATAGTCATACGGTAGTGCTTGGATATCGTATCGTCCCTAGCCAGGGCTCATTGTTCTCCATTGAAAGCGACTACTATGTAAATACTTCCGCAGTTGCTCCAGTACAGTCATGATGATATTGATATTGCAATTCCCGCTTAATAGTTCGCCAACCTCTGAGATGCTCATCCCTTCTTCCATAATGACCCATGCCCGCGTCAAATCCGCCTCCAGCTCCGTCTTCAACGAACCCGTTCCGTGTAAGCCTTCCAGGCTGCCGATCGGTATCGCTCAGCTTCTCCCTCGGGGTCGTTGGCCTTGATGATGCCCCGACCGACAATAGCAATGTCGGCACCGGCAACGCCGATGATCTTCTGTGGCGTATTGTACTGCTGACCCTTGCCGTCTCCCTTGATGGCGGCGTTCTCGTCCTCACCCTCGGGGGGCAGTTGGCAGCCAGGTGTCATGTGAATGAAGGCATCGTCGGGTTGTGAGTTGAGACATTCCTGTGAGACGAATCCTATGACAAAGCTCTTGTGTTCCCTTGCGGCCTCGACGCAGGCTTGCGTGTACTCCTTGTTCATAAAGTTGCCCTGGCTGGACATTTGTGCCAGGATAAGCAGACCCCTCTCGATCGGCGCCTCCTCGATACCGGGAAATACTGCCTCGTCGCCTTCGGGGATCGTCTTGACAAGACGTGGTGAATCGGCCGACTCGTACTGCTGCGTGACCGTCGTGGTCGAGACGATACTACCCTTACGACCGTTGTCGGCTCGAGGCGGTTCCGGGTGGTCATTTTGGTTCTCGGCATCTGAGCGTTCGCTGTCCTCGTCCAACTGGCTAGCCGTGGGAGTTCCGATGCTGATCGACGTCTTGACCTCGTAGTGGTATCGCTCGAGCCATCTGGCGGCAGCGTTGGACAAGGAAGTGACTGAAGCCTTACCGGGGACCATGTTGACGTTGACGATGTGCGCCCACTCGATGATGCGCGCGGCACCGCTGGTGTATTGCAGCTCGACCGTGTTACCAATGTCGCCAAACTTGCGATCCTCAAAGATAAGGAAACCGTGCTTGCGAGCCAGAGCGGCGAGCCTCGCGCCGGTTCCCGTCTTGGGGTCAAAGTCCCAACCGGAGACCATGTCATGATGAGTCTTGAGGACGACGATGGAGGGGCCAATCTTGTCGGCAAAGTAGAGGAGCTCGCGGGCGGTTGCGACATCGGCGCTGAGGCAGAGATTCGAGGCCTTGAGGTCCATGAGCTTGAAGAGGTGTCGGTTGAGAGGATGAGTGGCCGTCTCAGACCGGCTGGCGAAGGTCGCCTTGAGCGACGGATGCGACGACATGATGCGACGGTACGTGTGATGCGAGTAGAGGATATTGAAGAGTGAGGTGTGCAGAGGAGACGGGGAAAAGACAGAGCAAAGACAAGCTGCACCCGAGGATATACACTATTTCGGCCTCGAAATTGCAACTACTCGCTTGGCCTTGACCTCGCGCAACTCGGACGGATGACCTAGACGGACAATCTGGCGCAAGTGGCGGAATTTGTGGAGGGGAAACTGGGGAGTTTGGACACGAAGACGAGAAGCCACAGATAGAAACAAGGGGAGTAGATCTAATTGGCTTTTGTCCGAGAGTTGTTGTATGAGAATCACGATCGGTGTGAGGGATCGACCGATAGAGTCGGGGAGAAGGAAGAGCAGGAAGAAGAAGAAGAGAGGAGAAGAGGAGAGGAGAGGTGAAGATAAAGTGGAAGGTGAAGGATTTATGAGAAGGAAAGGTCAAGGCCAGGACAAGTCAAGTCAGGTCAAGTCGAGGACGGAGCAAGTCGAGAGAAGAGAAGGAGCGACAAGACAAGGCGGCAGGACGGACGGGAACGACGCTGGTGAAAAGTGAAAAGTGACGATCCACAGCTCCAAGGGACCGGCCGGCTACGAGAGGCGACAAGGCTAGAGACTAGACAGGTAGAGGCTAGCTAGCCGGAGAGCTGGAGGGCCAGAAAGAGGCTAAGGAGAGAAACTGCCCGGCAAGCCAAAGTCCCCGCCGAGAAGCAAGTCGCCCCGAGGCTCAAACGCATGTACTGTACAGTCCAGTACGTAGCGCGCTGCGTCCCTAATGTAGGACCAGGGATTCGATTCGAGGTGGTGGAGGGCAGGGGTTGCGGTTTTAGAGCTTGTGTGCCTTAAAAAGAGGCGGACGAATATGGGCTAGGCGCAGGGACCGGGGGTTGACAGAGGCGAGCGAAACGAAGGATGGAGGGGGGGGAGAAGAGCCCAAGAAATGATGAATCGGGGCTTGAGGATTCTGTTTGGGGTGGCTTGCGGTGCTGCGATGGATGCGTTGTGCTGTGTTGTGCTTGTGCGAAGCTTGGCTTGGCTTGCTTGCTGGCTGCTGCTGCTGGCTTGCTGCGAGGTTGTATGGTCCGAGGGGCAAAGAGGCGGCGATCCCAGAATCTGAAGCCAGGGGAATGAGCCACAGTCGTAGCGTGGATATACTAGCCCGGGACCTGGGGATACTACGTCGTGAGGGTAGGTCAAGGAGGGTTGTCTAGGGTCTAGAGAATGAGCCGGAAGTCGTCTGGTGTAAGAGAGAGGAACAGTAGCGAGGAAATTGCTCCGAGACGAGAGCGAAATGAACAGGTTGCTGGCGTTGCTGGCATGGTACTTTGTATCAGTCAGTTCTCTAGATGTGACCAAAACTGCCGAAACCAACAAAAAAATTTCAAAAGCCCTAACGTAGGTCGTTGACCGTGTCTGTTTATTGCTTTGCCTCCTGCGTTATGCCCCTCCATGCTCCATAATGGTCCATCATGCCCGCAGAACAAAGACCCTGCCCACCAGTGACGTGTGTCGTGGGGCGGCAACCCAAGTCGACCTAGGTGAACAAGAGGTGCCGAGTTTTTCTGGAGGCGGGAAGCTTGTTGATGGCACTGGGGAAGGTTAAGCCGAGTTGAGCTGAAGTCCATCTCATGATGCGCCTCGAGGGGGAGGCTTGAGCCAAGGAGGAGATTGAGCTACCTCCTGGTCGAGCATGATGGGATCAAGCTCCCATAGATCCTTGGTTAATGGAGGGGGATCAGCACCAGAGACAAGAGGGGCTACGGGATATCCACAGAGGCGTCTATCAGCAGGTCAAGGGCCCTTCATCCACAACGGGCCTATCCACTGAGGCAACTCTGGGCAGCTGGGGAGCCCCAGAGGGCTTTTGAGTGGTGGCATCTGAATATCCAGTTGGGTAACACGGCATCTCCTCACCAATCCAAACGGGACGAGACAGAGTCTGAATCGAGTGTCAGCCCGAGACAAGCTCCTCTCAGGTCGAGACTGAGACGCCTAAAAGAACCACCCGGGGGGGTTCCACTGAAGTGAAGCCAGCCGCCGACATGACACAACAGGGGCCTGACCATCCTTGGACGCGCGCTCCCTCGCTCGCTCGCTGCCGGTCAAGTAGCCCTGAGAGCGGAGCCCTGACCACGGCGGCACCATCCCAAGCCATCTTTGACCACCCGGACGAGATGAGACGACGGAGACGGGACGAGACCGGCCAATGCCCATATCCTCGGGCTTGGTACTGCCACTAGCGGGGCCGGCAACGTAGCACTGCGACTCCAATTATAGGACAGGGGAAACACTTCTGCGGACGAGAGGATATCTATTAAGGATCACTTAACAAAAAAAAAAAAAAATCTTTTTGACCTCTTGTTCGTAGTCGTCGCCTCGAGTTGTAAAGAGTTTGGAGACGGAGCAGCCGGCAGAACAAGCTGCAGCACATCCCAAGCCAGGGAAAACTAGCGCCGCCGGTGACATTCCCTGATGCAAGGCACAAAGGCCGCGGCCAACAACCTTTAACCAAATAGCAAGCACCCTTTTTTTCCTCCTCGCGGGGAGGGGGGAACAAGTTGTGGCTGTTAGCATTGGAGGTTCAAACGGCCTTAGCCTTCCCCGGGGCCAACCACCACCACCACCACCAATCTTGCCTAGGATATCACGCCACGGGTATGAGCTCGACGAAGCTCCGGACTGTTAATACTAATGCTATCCGCTGCGGGCGGGCTTGGGCTTGTTGAGAGATCGTCGCCCGGGTTCCGGATCCGCCATCCCCAGACTTTCTTGTTTCCTCTCTTGACCCTTGTTGATTACCTGAGACACAAGAGAAGCGGTTCACCGGCGACATGATTGACCCTGGTTCAAGAGATATGCAAGTCTTAATCAGGTCATGGCTAGAAAAGAGCTGTTTGGATAATAAGGGGTCCTACCTTTCAGACCTACCCTTTCTAAATGTCACCATCCCATTGCGAAAGCTTGTCTTGTCGGCTATCCCGCAAAATCCCTCTCCACTCCCCGGCGCCCCCGAGTTGGAGGTTAGCTCTGTTCAAGGGGTGTCATGTCATGTAGGTAGTCGAGGAAGAACTACGGATACCTTGTCTAGATCCGGCTGCATTCGCTTATATGTATAGGCTCTCGCTTGCTTGCCTGTCCGCGCGTTCAACTTGCGCGTCAAAATAGCTTCCGTGTAAATGACTTGGGACTTGGCGGCTTACACACACTTGCCGAAGTAACCAGCCGGGACTTGACGATGCCGAGAGATGTCATCGGCTGATATAGTCTAGCTACTTAGTAGCTTCATCGTCTCGATACCAGATTAGCCCTTGACCTCTGCTAGTTGATCGATCTGCCTGCTTAGCTGGGGCACTTTACGCGGGATATCGAGCCCGTGGTGAGGGGCAGCAAGGCAAGGGAAAGGTCATGGGAGTGGCTTGAATTGAGTTTGCGCGAACGAGGGTGCTAAAGACGGCAAACCCCACGACAGGTCAGGCTTTCGTCCTTTTGATATTGCATTCATCAAGTTGGTTATCTCCCGTGGTTTGTCCGGGGCAGGCAAGCGAGGGATGTGATGAATGAGTTGGTGCACCAGGCTTGGCTTGGACGGTGAGGACGGCATCTTATTGAGGGAGCCAAGCCATGGTAATCTCGCGGATGACGTACATGTCATCCTATGGCTTTGGTGGAGGGCAGCAACAACTGTTCTCAGGTACTTGATTCGATGATTTCTCAAGAATGTGTATATGAACTTAGATCTTGGTATCCGAGTTGTGTGTAGAAACTTTGTCGTTGCCTCGAGACTGGATGTCGTTTCGAAGTTTGTTCCATCCAATGAGACAGGCCCGCAGAATGTACCAACAAACCCAACATGGAAGTCCCTCGGAGACAGACTCAAACAGTACATAAAACGGGTACGAAATTCTGTCCTTTTATTGATGAACTGTCCGCACTCACCTTACGTGTCCCGTAAATTGCGTACATGATCGGACATGCTCCAGACCATGCGCGCAATCTGTGACACCGAGGTCTATAGTTTTATCATCCCATCGCGGCTACTGCGTCGCGTTGCATGAGAGCGCAGAGGAGTCATGATAGCCTCCTCTTATCTCCTACCAGAATGGCCGCTAATGCACATCAAGCGGATGATCAGCCTCTTGTGTCTCCCTATCTCTCACCAGCCAGCACAAATGCAACGTCAGGACTAGCCTACCAGCTAAGCGGCCCAGACCCGTTGGTTGACCAAGTCACGGCGCGGAGCTTGGCAACGTGTGTTGTCAAGTTTGAAACTGCGAAACTGCCCGCTTTGTCATCAGATCAGAACCTCGGCGGCCCGTCTCTCGACCGCCAGTGCAAATCGTACGTGCTAGAGCGTGAGGTGATGAGAGTGAGGTGCACGCTGGCATCTTGACAGAAATCAGCCTCCATGGTGGAGAAGGCCGCGCTGGCCCTGTCTGACAATTTGCCTCGAGCGGATCAATTCAGGGGATATCATGGTTGAGCGGGTGCTGAATTTGACCTGACTCAAAGTTTGATGCCGCATTAAATTATCACCAGTTTCAACAAAATCCACACACTCTACAGCTCTAAACGGCCCGCTAGCGTGCCCGAGCCTACCGAAAAACCCCCCCTGCCACTCTTGGCAGAAGCATCCCATTCCATCAATCCATCCAATCCATCCAGTGGGAAAAAGGGACCTCTAGAGGAACGAGTACCTACCGCCTTCCGCTGTCATCACTCTAGAACTTTTTTTTTTTTGTCTCCCTCTTCTGATTTTGAACTTCTCATCCACTCCTTTGCTCCTCAACGAGTCTTTGACCCTTCACCACGCGCTACTTCCCTATATCTCGAAGGCCCTGACGATAGCTTCAACAGCGCCAAGCTACCCCTGCCCCCTTTCGCAAACCAGTCTCACCACTATCCGTATCTCGACAAAAGGTGGTCGTCAGGGGACGATAAGCCACAACCGTTATCGCGACTCCTCCAAACATCCTCCGCGCAGACTTCAGGCATCATGAGCCCACGAACCCGACGACAGGCCGCCAAGGCTGGCAGCTCTTCTTCATCTGACTCGGAACGCGATGTCAAGGCCAACGGCTCCAGCAACACCAACGGCAACGGTGCCGCTCACGGCGCCTCGGATGCCTCGGACAGTGCCCCTCGCGAGAACATCTTCCTCTTCTGGCCCAACCTGATCGGTATGACAAGCTGTGATGTCGCTCAAGGTTTCTTCTCATCGCTGACACAACCCCTCCAGGCTACGCGCGAATCGTCCTCGCTATCGCATCTCTCTACTACATGCCCCTCCATCCTCGCACGTGCTCGTTCCTCTACAGTGTCTCGTGTCTCCTCGACGCCCTCGATGGCTACGTCGCGCGCATCTACGAACAGTCGACTCGCTTCGGCGCCGTCCTCGACATGGTGACGGATCGATGCACCACGGCCTGTCTCATTGTCTTCCTGTCTTCCGCCTTCCCCCGATGGGCCATCGTCTTCCAGGGTCTGATTGCCCTTGATCTCGCCAGCCACTACATGCACATGTATGCTACCCTTGTTGTCTCGGGCACCGATTCGAGCCACAAGAACATCGATGCCAGCCAGAACTGGCTGCTCAGCCTCTACTACACCAACAAGGTGCGCCAACCCCTCACTCGTCCTCAATTCTCCCACGAGGTCGCTAACATATTTTAGAACGTCCTCTTTGCTCTTTGCGCCCTCAACGAGCTGTTCTTCATTGCGCTCTACCTCCTCTGCTTCTCGTCTCCTCTCGTCTCTCCCTACCTGATCAAGCCCGTCAAGGAGGTCGGCGCCGAGCTCCAGGCCGGTGCCCAGGTCAACACGTCGATTCTGGAGCAGATCTTCCCTGATCCCTTCAGCCCCGCCGCTCTCGAACTGGCCCGAGCCAACAAGATGGATTCCACCGTCCCCTGGATCATTGCTGGCGTCAGCTTCCCTTTCATGTTCATCAAGCAATTCATCAACATTGTTCAGCTCGTCAACGCGAGCCAAGGACTGGCCGAGATCGATATCAAGACCCGTAAGGAGAAGGGTCTTCCTCGACCCAAGGCCAAGAAGGCTTAAATTCGACAAAACTTTCTATAGTCCCTCGGGATAACTGTTTTAATGATTTTGGCCACGGCCTTCGACTGGGATGGTGAACTCAGTCCCTTGCTGGCGACCTTTCGACCTTTCTCACTATCTATCAACTTCTGGCTGACGGAAACTGGCTTATCGGCCTATTTTCTCAGCCATTTCAACAACGTCTCGTCTCGACAAGGCGCAATCTCTAGGGAAGACTTATGGGGGACATTATACGATCCCCCCGGACCTGCATGACTCGGCGTAAGAGGTACGGATATTGATGATTCCAACCTCGGAAGGGAGGTGAATTACTGGGTTAAGGGGAAAATGCAGTGTCCTCCATAAAGGAGGAGGAGGAGAAGGTAAAATCGCTGATTGATTGTTGGAGGAGATAATCAAGGAAATCTTACTGGGATTTAGCGGGTGCACGTTTAGACTTCGTTGTACACATACCTTTTTTTTTTCTCTTGAAGGTATTCCCTTTTCTTTGTTTTGTTTCTTTTTCTATACCTTCTTAATTGTAGACGGATGTCGGATACACACTCGCTGGAATTGAACGAGATTTATAACTTCATTCTTGGAAGCCTCTGAATAAGCTCGAATAGAGAATAGGGGATGGAGGCGTGACAGGCGATCATGAAACCACCCGTAAACGTGTAAAGACATGGGCTTAGCTTCGCAGCCTAGCTTCAGGTAACTTGGATATTCGAGACATCACACTTAATGAACAGGCATTGCCAAGATAGCGAAGGATTAAATTGACGGTATGGTCTAGCCAAAGTGAAAGAATCAACAAGATGGTATATTCAAACTCAAATCATGACATCTAACTCTCGTGGTAGCAATTCCAGTCGCTCCCACGAATTTTCCTCAACCAGTCATCGGTCAATTCCCTGCTGAGGCGCTCGCTGTGGCAGTGGCTCCTTGAGGACCCTTCTGCACGGGACGCGAGTCACCAGAGTCGCTAACGTCGACAATGCCTGCACCGAGTGTGCCAGGAGTATCATCTTGAGGGACCTTGGCGAAACCGTACCAGGCGACGACGGCCACACCGAGGATACCGCAGAGGCAGCTGAAAACGAGGGCGACGATGCCGCGGGGGGTGAAGCTGCGATTACGTGTTAATAGAATGTCTCTTACAATATGAAGATCGAGAATAGGGGTCAGGAAACTTACCCAGAGGGAAGTGGTCTGGAAGGCTTGTTCTCGCCAGTGAGGTCAAGGTAATCGGCTGTGTTGGCAGCAGCGTTGCCCTCGGTGGCCATGTTGGCGGCAGCGCAGGCGTCGAGGTGGTTCTTGGGGATCTCAATGGTCTTCTGGAGGGTAAGGGGGTCCTCGACAAAGGTGGCGATGAGACCGGAGATGACGTGCCACTCGATGTGGCAATGGAAGAGCCAGACGCCTGATAGAAATTGGTTAGAAATTGATCTCTCATATGACTGTGGAGGTTCTCACCTGGGTTGTCGGCCTTGAAGCGCATGACAATGTTGCCATTGGGGTAGATGACGAGGGTATCACGGCGCATGGGAGTGTTAGGAAGCTTATTGTCGGCGACCTTGGTGTCTGCCCAGATACCAGCCTCTTCCTCAGAGCGGAAGACGGCCTGGAAGGCGTGTCCGTGGAGATGGAAGGGGTGGCGGCCCGAGTCGAGGTTGTTGACGACGAGCTGGACAATCTCGTTCTTCTTGAGGACCACGGAGTTGGTGTAGCTGCCATAGATGGCGGGGTTGGTGGCATCTTCGCCCGCGTTAAGGACCGTGTACAGTGTGGGAACCTTGGCGCCGGTGTAGGTGATGTTGTTGAAGAAGGCGTAGTTCTTGCCGTCACGAAGGTTATCCATCATGACATCGAGGGTCACCTCGTGGTCGGGCTCTCCGAGAAGATCCATCTTGTCGTAGGGGACGAGAGTCATGTCGTCAAAGGGATCGAGGGTGTCGACGGTGGCAGCCTCAGGCTTGTCCTTGGAGTCATCATACACGAGCCAGCCAGTGGAATTGTAGTTGAGGTCGTCGGGCAGGACATCAAAGAGGGTCTGAGAGAGAATGAGTTTTTGCTCGATGAAAATGCGGGTTCTAGTCCACTTACGGTATCCATGCTTGCGACGATGGGAAAGTTCTTGGAGGTGTCCTTCTTGGTGGTGAGGAGGAAGCTCACACGCTGGGCAGCAGAAATGTAGATCATCTCAGCCTCAGCAGCCTCGGTGTAGATACCATCGACCTCAACAATGCGCATCTTGTGGCCCTCGAACCAGAGGTATTGACCAGCAAAGGCACCCATGTTGATGGTTCGGAACAGGTAGGTTGTTTCGGGCTTGACGGACAGGGTGTAGTTCATGGTCTCGTTCATGAGGGCGTTCTGAGGAACGGGCTCGGCACCGGAAGGGTTGGACTTGGACATGAACTGGGGAATGAGGGTCTGCATCTCCTCGTGATACCAGTCAGAGAGGGTGAAGATGAGCTCCTCATCATAGTCATCCTTGAAGGGGAACTCCTTGTCATGGACAATGAAGGGAGCGCGCAGACCGTCGGGGTATTGAGCGCTGGTGTGCGAGTGGTACCAGTAGGTTCCAGGCTGGTCAACCTTTGGCAGCTGTTAGTAGATTGAATGAAGGAATTGGTTGAAGGAGTTCTCTTACTGTAAAGTTGTATGTAAAGGTTGTGCCAGGGGTAATGGGGCATTGAACCACACCAGCAGGGCCATCCATGTGGTTGGTTCCGTTCATGTAGAGGCCGTGGAAATGCAGCGAAGTGGACTGGTTGCCCAGGTTGTTGTGGGCGTTGATGATGACCCTGTCACCAATGTCGACCTCGATGGTAGGAATAGGCCACTTGCCGTTGATTCCAATAACTGGACGCTCAAAGGCACCGTCAGGGTTTCCTCTGACCCAGCCAATGTCAAAGTCATATTTCCTCGTGGCAGCGGCAGCCAGCTGAGGGAGTGCAAGCAGCGAGGCCGCTGCGTAGGGGAGAGAGTTGAAGAGCATTGTGAAGGAATGGAGAGTAACGCACGTTACCTCGAGCTCATCAACACACAAGGAGGGAAGAGGGTATCAAGGATAGGAAGATGGGATGAAGGGAGGAGGAGGGTGAAGAGGAGATAAGCTCAAGAATGCAGTTATTAGAGCTTGCAGACGGGAGGCAACACAAGATGGTGTCCCACAGTTCGTCCGTCCACCGTGGATCGGAACTTTGAGGCAAGCAACGTACAAGGCGGAATGGATTAGATGGGGGTCGCGGAATAAGAGGACGACGATGGGATGATCAGCTCACGAGCATGGGGAAACGGATGTGGCATCCCATCAATGATGCAGAGAATGCGTGGGTGATGTTGTACCGGGCACACGAGAAGGAGAGATTGATAAATAATAATAGCAGACGCCGAGTCAAGCGCCAAATTGAGCTGTCTGCGGTGCGGCAAGGTGATCCATCCCTCCCCTCCATCCATGTCTGAGGAGATATACCCACGCGTGGGTGGGCGTACGCGAACGAGTTAGAGCGACAGGGAAGCGATGCCGGAAGCAAAGCAGAATTGGAGCGGCGCATGATGGATTCAAACTGAGAAAGGCGATGGGCCGGCCGTGGACCATGAGCCGATCGAGAGCTTCAAGACAGAACCACGGCGGCGGAATCGAGAGCTAGCCCAGTCTAGGCTGACTCAACTGGGCTGACCCCCATTAGCCTCGAGATGGATAAGATGAGCAGCTGTTGGTCCATTGTGGCTTGGGAGAGCCATGCATTCGACGGTGTAAGTGGTTGGTGTTTTTTGTTGGAGGAGCTGAAGTTTTCGGTAAGTCGGCTAGGCCCAGTTGTGCTGTAGTTTAGAACCTGCCTAGTCCTAAACGGTCAAGGTGGTCACACCTTCCGCTTCTTCATCTTATCAATCGCAACCCTTTTTTTTTCCCCCTCGTGCTTCTTTACTAACTTGATGGGCTAGTTCGAGACTCGTTGATCAGAGTTGAAAAAAGGTCCGCTTGCCTTGGGTCTTGCCAGGCGTGGTGCCACCCTTTACCGGCACCGACGTAGAAACTTGCATGGATTCTCGCATGGGCGCCAAACGAAAAGAAGCTTGGGCTGAAGCTTGTCCAGACCCTGGCCCATGATCATTGATGCTAATCCTCGTCGATGGAGCTGTCTCTGCCGTGGGGACCCTGCAGTCCGCCTCAAGTATCCCGTGCCAAGACGGCTCACCCGCAATCATTCAACGTGCAGAGTCTCGGCGATCGGGTCTCGGCCGTGGGTTTCTGTTACCTACTCATGAGGATAGATGGATCGACAGGCGGCATTGACGAAGGGGGGGACTCTTTTCGAGACTCATCGTAACGAAACCAATTCCGCACTTTGAGATAGATCCAAGAAGCGTCTGAAAAAAGAGGGTCTCACGGCACGTCAAAGCCGAGCTGGACACACCTCATCCCCGTCCCTGCCCAGCCACAAGTTCGTGCATTCGATAAACGACCCTGTGTGGACCCCCATCAACGGTCGAGAAGCCAATCCATGGGCGTCTAGAGGGATGGAGTGGTCTGACAGACGAGACCTGCTGCGTATGTCCGAGACAGAGAAGGACAAGTCCTACAGCCTGGTCTTCTGGCGTTCTCGATCGTGCTTCGATGGCGGCGGAATGTTTGATGTTTGATCATCAGGTCTAGATCAGATAATCGCAGAGATAATCAGTATCTGATGATCTGATAACCTTGATTTCGAAAGCTTTGATCTTGACCACAAGAGGCGAAAAAAACCATCACCATCATCACCACAGCCTCGGCGGAAGACGCCCGTAAATGATGTCTGCCTGTCGGCCTGTCGGCCGCCCGTGTCTCCATCTGGCCGGGATCCTCCTGTGATGCAGCTGAACTGCCGCCAACACCAACAACCGCCCACGGATTCATCTTGTTTGACGTAACCGCAAGAACCGCAACATCATCAATCCCATATTTGCCTCTTTTCATGATGCATACGAGATGCTTCATTAGGAAAGAGGATCAAGAAAGAAAGAAAAGACAACATCAAACCCCCATCTTGCCAGAACCCCAAACTAAATTAGAGGCACCGCTAGACTTGCACGCACGAGGATGGATATCCCTTCATTCCCTCTCTCGCCCGATGAAGCCAGCCACGCATTGTGGGGTAGGAGGGCTTCCTCTGCCCAGGGTCCTCTAGTCAATTGGACGCCCATCCACGGTTTCAACATTGTCGTATGACTTTGCTGCCATCCATCACACCTCGTGCCATGCCTCTATTCACCATCCTTGTCTGTTTGAGCTTCGACCGAGCGACTCCGAGAAGATCTGATATCAATCAATCTATGAAAATGAACCCGAGAATAGAAAAGTAAGCTCACAATTTAATGCCCAGCGGTTCGCTACGAAATGTGTCGGAACTGTAAGCGAAAATCACCTGTCTTGTGCATCTCCACAGGCCACAGTCGAGATGCCTCACCTACTCAACCGCCAACACCAACACCAACACCAACTGAATAAACTGCAACGCCATCTGCGGGAAATCTTGGACATCTACTTACATCCTATCAGTATCAATCGAATTAAACACACGCCCCCCTGCCTCTGCAAAAAGAAACATCCCACGACACGGCAATTCCTTGCCGAACCTCGACCTGCTAGCAACAAGCCACAGACCCCCAACTGAGACTTTTAATCGCCCGTTTTTACACCCCAAAAATTACATGGATCGAGTTGAGAGGGGGGGGGGGGGCGGCGACCCGGACTTCGGGGATCCGAAGTAACGGAGCCCTTTTCGCTTCTCTCGTTTCTTGTCCTAGCCATGTGGCTCTCAAAAGATTTACAAACTTACCGTATTAGCTAGCGTAGCCTATGAGTAAAATACCACGGTCCGTGGCTCTTCTTTCTTACTCGGTTTCCTTTTCACCCCCTCCCTTACTTTAGGACGAACCGATCCCAGGTTTATCTGATCCGTCCCCATCAGCCGTGAATACAGTCCATGACCCTTTATCAGATCAAGCTCGCCGCTACCTCGTGCCGCTAGTTCCAAGCCCTCACACCCAAAAAGGACCAGGTGTAACCCATTGCCACACCTCGTTGCTCTCTTCTTATCGTCCTTTCAAACCCTCCTCCCCTCTGAGCTGGACTCTCCCCTCACCCTGACTCTATAATCCTCAGAAAAATCCATCATCATGGCTGTCGACGTCTTTGCGGTTCCCGTCTTCCTCGTCATCTTCCGAGAGACTCTCGAGACTGTCATCATCGTCTCGGTCTTGCTTGCTTTCCTCAAGCAGACTCTTGATGGTCCCAATGGCGATATCAAGGTGTACAAGCAGCTTAGACGCCAGGTAAGCCACCACTCCTCCACCCTTCCACAACTCACGATGCTAACACAGCTCATAGGTCTGGCTCGGTACCGGTATAGGCTTCTTCATCTGCATGATCGTTGCCGCCGCCCTCATCGGCGTCTTCTACACCGTTGGCAGCAACTCGTGGGCCAAGAACGAGTACTATTACGAGGGTGCCTTTTCCCTCTTCGCCGCCATCATCATCTCCATCATGGGTGCTGCTCTGCTTCGTGTGGGTAAGATGCAGGCCAAGTGGCGCGTCAAGCTCGCCAAGGCCCTTGAGTCTCCCCTCAAGGCCGGTTCCAAGGGCTGGTTCAAGAAGTCGCTCGAGAAGTACGCCATGTTCGTCCTTCCCTTCATCACCGTCCTGCGTGAGGGTATCGAGGCTGTCGTCTTCGTTGCTGGTGTGTCCTTCTCCGCCTCGGCCAAGTCCATTCCCCTGCCCACCATCGTCGGCCTTATTGCTGGCTCCCTCGTTGGTTACGTTCTGTACAAGTAAGTTTGCTTCCCAATCTTCAGCCGCCTTCAAGTGCTGACTGCTTCAGGGGTGGTTCGAGCACCAAGCTCCAGCTCTTCCTTGTCGCCTCGACCTGCCTTCTGTATCTCGTCGGTGCTGGTCTCTTCTCTCGCTCCGTCTGGGCCTTCGAGTTGGCCAAGTGGAACGAGTACATTGGCGGCGAGGCTGACGAGTTTGGCAATGGCCCTGGCTCATATGATATTGACCAGAGCGTCTGGCACGTCAATGTAAGATAACCCTTCTTCCACCTTGACTCTCTCCCTTCTGACTCCTTCAAGTGCTGTGCCTCTACCGATACCATCCAGAACGGCTGGAGCATCTTCAACGCCATCCTGGGCTGGACCAACTCGGCCACTTATGGCTCCGTCATCTCGTACAACCTGTACTGGATCTGCGTCATGATCGGTTTCATCATCATGCGGTTCCACGAGACCCACGGCCGATGGCCCTTGATGAAGGCCAAGGCCCCTGCTGCCGCTGTCAACGATACCGAGAGCCATGACAGCTCTACCGTTCCCAAGAACATCCCCACCGAGAAGACCACCACCGTTGGATCGGCGTAAGGAGGAAGACGAAAGTGACAAATTGAAGCACATCTAGCGTGTAATCATGTGCGATTCGGTTCGCCTTCTCTATTCTTCATGAGTTCATCTCAGTCTATTTACCAAAACACGCAACAACAAGCAAGTCTTGTTTTCCTCTTAATCAACTCTCAGGGGTCCAGTCCCACTCTTCAGCCGTGAACATGGCCTTGGCCATACGGTCCACGTAGAATGCTCCCTCGTGTCGTAGTCTTTGATCGTTTGCAATGGCCCTCGTGAATGCAAATCGTTTGGCTGGTGCGTCGTTGTTGGAAACTTGGTCCTGCAGGGGCACCCACGAGGTTTCGGCTCGCTGCTTCTTCCAACTTGCATAGGATATTGGAACGACGTTGGCCGATAACATTGAGCGCAAGTATCCCACGATGGGCTCGAGTCGTACCCGCAGCCCGCAGTTAGTGTGGTGCTTGTCGACTTGGTAACTGGGACACTGCTGCAGCGCTGATAACAGTTCCTCGACTTCGACCATGGCTGTGTCGGGAACTGTATTCAGCGATGCTGGACTGTAGTCAACCAAGAATAGCAAGTTCTTGCCAACGAAGAACTTGAGCATCTGGCCAAGCTGGAACGAGTCACATGCTGCGCTGGAATCATATCCAAGCTTGCACTGCCTCTCGCGAGATGAAAACAATGTAAGAAAGTGACGTTGAACAGAAGCGATGGTGTTGAGTATGCACTCCCGCCGGAATCGAAGCTCCTCTACTCACAATCAGTCCTTTACTCTCTGTAACCCTGTTCCACCCAGTCCGAGGCTTACCTTCTATACCATCTGGCAAGTTCCACCAAGCAGCAGGCAGATCTGCGTCAGGGTCATGAAATTCGCTCCATAGAGTTGATCCCCGCATAATCAGTTCTCGGGTTGACTGCTGCAGGCGCATCGGCTGTCCCAACAGCCAGGCGACAAGAATCTTCTGGCGAAGCACTTGCTCCGTGTCTGTAGACTTCCCGTCCTCTGTCCGTAGAGGCTTGTTGGACGTCAGAGGCCACTTGAACTTGAGTTCTGTGTTCAAAACGCGGGCCACGGCTGCCACACAGTCGAACCGATCAGCAACGATGGCCAAGGTCGTGACATATGACATAGTTCCGCGTGAAGTTTTCGGGGGCTTCTGGTGAATAATGTTCAAGATGTCCTCCATGGCATTCTCCCGACCTGCCGCTTGAGTGGCATCGTCATCATCCGTGATGGGAATCCAGGGTAGATCCTGGATGTCTGCCTCCCCTGGCTTGATCTTCAACTGCGCAAGCTTCTCATGGGCATCCGATATAATCCTGGCTTCTCGGAACTGAGAATTCGAGAGCAGGTTGGAAAAGTACTTGGAGTGCTTCTTCAGGACCGCCAGGCTGACACGATATGCCACCCGAACCTTTGACTTCAGATCCGAAGGCTTGGGAGGTTGAGTCCCAGCCTTTCTGCTAGCGGCAACGGCAGCCTTGCGAGATTTTTTGAGAGTGCTGATAGAAGTCTCAAAGGTCACATCCAGAACAATGTCTCCGGCAGCATCGACATCAACTGTCCGAGGAAGATCTCTCTTAGAAGCTTCTGACCCGTCCGCCTCGGCGGGTGCTGCAGTGCCGGACTCGCCCATTTGACAGGTGATGGGTATTTTTCGACATGAGAGATGTCAGCCTGTTTAGAGGCGTGGGAGTGTATAGACCGGAGGGCACAACGGCTGTAGCTGAACGAAGCCTCGTCGTGATAAAACTGATGAAATTGATAAAGATGCTGGCGGTCGAATGACGTTTCTTCACTCTGCCAGGCGGTACGTATCCGTTGTACCTACCTACCGCCTTTCCAACGCCAGGGGATCGGAGCCTACAGTGACGCACTAAAGTCAAAGACTGTGCGCCCGCAAGTCGTTAATTTTAGCGATTGCAACGGGGTATCGGCCCCTGAAATCCCGACGTGGCCCCTGCCAAATTGGCCTGGAGCATGGCAACCGTGTCCTCTGGTTGGTCAGATGTTATATACCGAGGAGCGATCCCGGCCGGGACGGCTCCACCCTGGAAATCGTTGTCCATCCATCATCGTCACTTTTCAACAACCAACAAACAGGGCTGAGCCAGATCTTGCACCTTTTCTTTACCAACTCGTCTGTGCAACGACGGGTGCCTCGACGAAGCTCTTGCGATTCACTCAAGAGCAGAAAAGACCAACGCCATCATTGCCAACAAGGCACCTCTACCCCGAACTAAAACTGGCACCCTGTCCATGCCCTCTCAACAACCTCCGTCCTGAGCCGCCGATATCCTCTCGTCACCCCCTGTTCCCTCCGCTAAGGCAGCCCGAAGCTCAGCAACTCGCCCCATGGCTCTGCAGACAGCAACCTGCACAGCGCTCCGGTTTTCCAAGGGACCCTGATGATCGAGGACTGGCAATTCTAGGCACTCTTCTTCGACAATGGCTCCATTTACACATCCCGCCTCGACTCCCGCGATCCGGCTTCTTAGGTCCACGTCGACTGGCCACTCTCCGAATTGCGTCAATATCCGACTGTTCAGCTGCAATGGCAGGACCAACGCGCTGCGCCGGTTACACAACCTGTCTGGAAAGAGCAATTGCTCGCGATTCTCTGCGGCATATTCGACGTGGGCGACTTCATCCGAGGAATCACGACATCTCCGGTCTAAGCGCCCGAAACTACACGCAGGCCGAATATCCCCGTCGTTCGCCGAGATAGAATCGCGACGAGAATTCCATACATACTTCGTAACACATCTCCCTTCCTCATCGGTTCATCCCGACTCTCGCATCCGAGGGCCTGGTCACAAGCTACCTCGCGATGCCTCGACCCCTCACACTCCGAGCCCCGGATCGGCCCCCGCCGTCTCCCCGCCTTATATCCCGTCAACCCGAGACTTGACTGTGGTGCGCATTCCAATGCGCCGAGCGAAACATCACTTGGGAGTTGCAACAGCTCGAGGAAGCCGTCCATATAATGAGGATAGAGACCAGGCTGGCACCATCAGCCTTCCAGCATTTGCCAAGAGGGCGCCTAGGAGTGTCCAGCAGAAGCCTGGAGAAGCAACAGCAGCCGACAGTGCTTGGGGAGACCCTCAGATCTTCTACTTTGGCGTATTTGACGGTCATGGAGGATTTCAATGCGCTGATTTTGTCCGCGACGAACTACCCGGCTATATCGAGAGGGCGTCGGAGGAATTCGGCTTGCAGAGCAGTTTGCGCAAGAAGAAGCCAGGTCGGGAGAACACCATTCACAACCACCACCATGACCATAAGCATAAGATGCGATTATCAAAACCTCCAGCAACCAAGAAGGAGGCTCTCGATGCGGTTCACATGAAAGGACCCGAGGAAGTCAAAAAAGATGTCAAGATGACCGATCCCCAGTATGATAGTGTTTCTGACAAACCCATACATGGAGAACCAATGCACAGCGCAACTTCGCCGCCTGCTGAGGTCTCGGATCTTTCCAAAGCCATTCGAATGGAGAAGAACCTGGTCAAGGAGTACAGGGATACCATTGGCGGCTACTTTAGGCGCTTTCACCCTGAACACTTTGTTCTGTCGAAGGAAAATCCAGGGGAAGGGCATAAGATCACGATAGAGTCAGTTCTTACCTACGCTTTCTTGCGAGCCGACCTCGACTTTGTGTCAGCTCAGGCGCAAAAGGCAGACCCCGATGATTCGAGGGTGGGAGACACACCTTTGAACAACGACGAGGTCTTTGGTAGCCCTGCGACACCGACTGGACATGATATTGGGGGTCCTACACGCTTCAAGGGGGGTTCTACAGCCTCGATCGCTCTCATCTCTACACCTACTCCTGCTCCCTTCTGGCATCCTGCTGCACAGTCTACACTCCTCTGTGCCCACGTGGGTGACAGCCGTATCTTGCTCTGCGATACTGCTACCGGCCTCGCCCAGCCCCTGACGTCGGATCATCATCCTAGCAGCCCAACAGAGAGTCGCAGGTTACGACGTTATGCGCCGGCCGGGTCGATGGTCTCGGGCGATAGCTTCGGCGAGGAACGTATCGCCGGCTTGGCCAACAGCCGCGCCTTCGGTGACATGAAGAGCAAACGGATCGGTGTTTCGGCTGAGCCCGAGCTCACTCGCGTCGAGATGGGACCGGCTCAGTACTCGTTCCTCGTCCTAATGACAGACGGTATCTCGGGCACGCTTAGTGACCAGGAGATCGTCGACGTGGTCAAGGAGGCTCGCACGCCCGAGGAGGGTGCCCAAAACATTGTCGCGTATGCCACCGAGGTTTCCTCTGACGGCGACAACGCTACCTGCCAGGTTGTCCGTCTCGGCGGCTGGGAGCGTCGATCCGAAGGCGGTCTCGGCAGTCTGGGCACCAAGGAGATTCGCGACGCGCGCATTGCAGAGGCCCAAGACCCACGGAGAGTCAGGAAGTAATGACGGTCTCGAAACTGGCCAATACCAAGTGAATTATCCGTGCTGGTGCAACGGTTGAGGAAATATCTGGGCAGATGAGCATCTATCTAGCATGTCTTGTATCTCCAGCACTTACTGTACTTTTTTGCTTTTCTTATTTGCAATCGCATGGGACTAGGAGTTGAGGGGCTACATCATAGCGAAAGAGCAAGCGCTTGCTTGGGGAGGGAGAAATCATCAGCGTCACTTGATCATATCTGACTTTTGAAAGACCCCCTGGCTGGTGGTCAGAGTTTACAGCATCGTATCCACGGTCATGTGTGATCTTTGTGTCTTTATATTCACTAGACAAGAATACCTACTTGAATACCCTCCTCTACGACAAACCATCTCTCTTTCTTTTGGTATTGGATATCACAACGGCCGTATACAAATCATTCCTGCCTGAACCCGATCCAATCCCAGTCCCCATTGACCCACGCCAACCACGCGATCTTCATGTATCATATCGCTATGCACTGTTAATTTTCCGTTGGGGGTAGTTGTTGTCTAGTATCCGTGATTCTGACCAGGGTACTGACCCCAAGATGGCGGGGGTTGCTGGCCGGGAGGTCCATCATAGCCACCCTGTTGACCGTAAGGGGGATATTGAGAACCTCCGTAACCCGGGCCTCCGTATTGCTGAGGAGGAGGTGCTCCGTACTGTCCAGGGGGAGGGCCACCATATTGTCCGGGAGGTGGACCGCCGTACTGGCCTGGAGGCGGAGCGCCGTATCCTTGGGGCGGAGTAGGGCCTCCATAGCCACCATAAGATGGCTGAGGCGGAGCGTTGTAGCCGCCGGGAGGACCCTGTTGGTAACCGGTGTCCGATCCCCCGTAACTGGGGTTCTGGCCATAGTCAAATGAGGTCTGGCTGGGCGGCGCCGGCGAGGTAGACATATAGTTCTTTCCTGGATCACCATCCTTGCCCTCCATGGCATCGAGATCACGGGTCTTAACGTGTGACCACAAGGAGCCCGCGACCTTGCCGTGGCCAAGGTTGGACATATCGCCAAAGGTACCATGGTTGCAGCCAGCACCTCCACTACCACCACCGCGGTGCGCGCTCTGGTTAAGGATATGGTTCTTGTGGTTCTTAACAGACTCGGAAGAAAGGAGGTGGGCAAGCTCGTGGCGTCGAGGATGTTCATCTGCCCACTTCTTCACTGTCCTGTACATGTCACGTTGGATCTCAACGTGCTCGTCGCGGGCGGCAGGATGGTGGAATGCACGAAGCACATCGTTGCAGATCTCGTCGACGGAGACACGGGGGTTCTCCCAGGCATAGAGAACGCGCCTGTAGCTGGTTAGTATACTGCTCAGGGTTGTGGGTAACAGCTCAGATGTTACTTACGGGACAGTGTACTGCAGAATAGTAGCGGCGATACGACCAGCGCATGAGTTAAGGATGTTGGTAAAGTGATCCTTGGACAACATGGAATGAGTGGGGTCATCGCATCGAGGGTTGTCCCAAGGCTCATATTGAGAATTGGCGCTGGCAGTGATGACACCAGACGAGCCATCCTTGAGGACCTTGGAGACCTGGTTGATAATAGGTCGGATGAAGGGGGCGAGGAGGCCCAAAATAAAGGCAGTCAAAGTCTCGCTGATCTTCTCGAGCAGCTTCTCAAGGCCAGGAACCTTGGCGATTCCACGGCTGATAGCCTTGACAACCTTGTCTCTGAATTCGAGAATGGGGTAGATCTGGCCGGCAACCTTGACGGGATCAAAGTTGGGGCTCATACCGGGAACTTGGTTAGCGTTGTCCCGGGACAAGTCGCCTCGAGTTCCCTGATAACTCCTGTTCTGCCTCTCCTGGGCCTCAGAGTTGGCCTGGAGGTCTCTGGCTTGAGAAGCAAAGCCGTCACCGACACCGGGAAGCTTCGATACCAGACCGACGAAGTCGGTTGGTGTAGAGGAGATTCCAAGGAAGCCACCAAACAGGGACCTCTCGCTGCTGCCGCCGTTTCCGCCGCTTTTAGTTCCCTCGGCGTTCTTGAGAGCAATGTCGACTTCGTCGACCTCAGACTGGGTAAAGTGATCCGAAGCTTCTCCAATAACGGAGTGAAGGAAGTCGACAGCTCCAAAGGTACCAGTAACAAGGGGGTAGACGCGCTTGCCGTGGAGGTTGATTTCGGTTCCCGCACCGCAGTGAGGGAAGACGGAGTGGTAGCCAAGCTCACGGAGGGCAAGCTCGCAGTAGTTGCTGTGGGCGCTGAAATCCTCCATGGTGTGCAGAGCCTGGCCCAGACATCGGAGGGCCTCGCAAAGGTCCTCCTCTCTTCCCTTCTTGGCACCATTGGTGTAGAGGCGGCCGAAATGGATGCTGCGCGCAAAGCTGAATCGCAGATAAGCCGCGCTGGTCGCCCAGTTGCCGTTCTCGTTCGCGATATAATTCTTCATGCCAGTGCGAGGGTCTATCTGCGTCTCTATCTTTTCGACAGGTCCGCGCAACCGTTTATCGAAAGTGCGAGCGTCGACGCCATCTCCGTAGCCAAGAGGGTTGTCGATGTGTTCCTCTGGGCGATAGACACCAAGACGGTCTGCGGTCACCTCGAACTCTTCAGTGGCATAGCCGTGAGCCATGAAAGACAGTACCCAAACCTGCCGAGGTTAGACGATAAATATTGTTGGGCGCATCTAGCGCGGGTCCGTACCAGAATGCGAATCGTCTCTGCGTTAACGCCCTTCAAGCTGCCGATATCGACGGCCTGGGAATAGTCACGCAGCCAATTTCCAAAGTAAGTACGCTTGATAAGCATCGAAGTCCATTTCTTTCCGTTAAGAAAGGCGATCGTCTCGAGCATATCCTCAATGTCTAGACGTGGTGTAAGCAACATGTGACGAAACAGGTGCTTGGAGGGGTAGCTTGCTCACCTCCATGACGCCAATTGTGTCCTTCGACCTAGATGGCGAATGCGCGCGTTAATAAAGACCTCGGCGACAGCTGCCAAGGATCAGTACAAACCTGAGCGATTGAGGGAATGTTTCCAGCTCCAAAGGCGTTGGCTTTGCCGGGTAACAGGATGAGGCAGACCGCGAAGAGTAGCAGCCACGAGCCCCGCGGCAAGGAAAATGACGGCATGGTGGTAACGCAGCCCTACAGCGCGGGGTTATAGAATACAAGGGTCGCGATAGAGGGGAGATAGGAGTATCGTATCGGTTCGTCAGAGGAGCAGGAGGGGAAATCAGAAGAAGAGAAGAGGGGAGAAGAGGTTTAAGAGCTGACTTGAGTGCAAAGGGAAGAGGCGGCGCACAAGCTAAAGGGCAGAAGGTGACGATAAGTGGTTGCCACTTGATGACGGATTTGCTGTGGCTGGTTGCTATGCGCAAGAGTCCGAGGTGCCCTGCCGAGACGCTCTTCGGGCTTGGCTGCTACAGTACAGCTCACTTTGGGCGGCCATGGATTTCCACTCTCAGGTGTCTTTGCGCCAGGCCCCATGATCATCCTGTCGTCCTCACCTCAGCCTTGGCAGCCTGCGTTAGCTGTACCAGGCTGCGGCCTCTGAGTGGCTTGAGAGGCCTCTCGCGACCCAAGACTTGAGCTTGCGAGTCCACAGCCTGTGGCTTTGCGACGTTGTCAGAGGCCCAGCCAAGACAATCCGACCCGCTGACTGCCGTCTCAGCCGTTCACAGTATCACCAACTGAATGTTCATTGTTTTCAGTGCGACCGCTTTTTTTTATATTAATGATGCCCAAGCTATTTCTATTTCTATTTCGCTAGAGCCCGTGTTTCGTTTGTCACTCGTAGCCGACGATAGGCGATTCACTACCAATCACTAACACAAGAAGGAACTTGACCTGAATACTGAACAGAAGAGAAAGCTTCCACCATCAGTTCGTCCTTGCCCATATCAACTACATTTTTGTCGCATTCAGTGTGCCCTAATCACCACCCCGTCCGAAACGAGTCCGTCACTGGCCACCGCTTACTCGTTCGATACATGCCTCGGTTGCGAATAAGAATAAGCATCTTCCCAAGGAGCTGACGAGCATGATTGTGGACTCGTCAGCAAAAGCTCAACCTCGACATGCAAGTCGATCTGCGCCATGCATGAGCTAACACGCTTGTGGCTGAGGGAGGTGACACGCGGAATTGGAGGAGGGAGCTGATGGCATGGATGTCAATGCCTCAGCCAGAGACAAACTTCCTTAACATTGAATCAGAAACAAGAGGTAAACAGTTATGAAAAGAAGTGGAGGCAGCTCTGATTCTATCCATCCTCAACGACTAGAGGCAGATCCGGATCGTTCGGAAAATACCCCCTGACATTAGTTCGAGAATTGGAGCTGCAAGACACGGTTTTCATCTCGGAGCCATCACCAAATATCCCCTGCTCGGACGATTCGGAAGTTCAAGACTCCGATGCGCGCGTCGTCAGGGCTGTCTGCTTGTCTGTCCGCCTCTTCCAGCGTCCCGGTCGAGGCAGTCAATAACAAGAGCGAGGCATCGTGATACCTGATCAATACTGATTGATTGCGATAGATCTTTAATTTCCTGGATAGGAAATTCAGCCTCTCTCACGCTAGCCAGCTTACAGTATCACCATCTTGGATAGCTCCGATGAGCTGTGATCAACTTGAACGCATCATGAGCCACCTCCACTCCCATGAGGCCAATCGCCCACCGCTCATTAGGTAGGATACTAATCACGCCGAGCTCGTCGTTCCGGCAAATAATCTGAGTCCCAAGTCTTTACCCCGTGGCACCCGTCAATGTGGCCTTATTTGCGGTCATTGTAGCGCCACTCCGCTGCTAACACGGATGGGGATCCTCATTAAAAAAACCACCCTGGACCCCTGCGACTCCAACTTTGCCGCCCTTCCATTCCGTTCAGCAATTGCTGCCTCGATATAAACTCCCCCATCCGTTCCTTTACGTTTCAATCGCAATTGCTTTGCCCCCCTTTCGCTTCTCGTCCTCGTGCTTCACCCATTCTTGGCTGGCACCGCGAGGATAGTCTCCTAGTTGAGCGCCATTTGATCACATCGATCTTCAATTGTAGTCTCGACTTTCACTCATTCGTTCCCACCTGTTTGTTATCTCCACCGCCGCTTCAACATGCCGTCGCGAACCCTTCCAACCTTTACCCGTGCCGAGGTCGAAGCACACAACTCCAAGACTTCCTGCTACGTCTCCATTGGCAACAAGGTCTATGATGTGACCGATTTCGCCGATGATCACCCCGGCGGCGCTGATCTTGTCCTCGACTACGCCGGCCGCGATATCAAAGAGATCCTCGAGGATCCGGATTCCCACGAACACTCCGAAGCCGCCTACGACGTCCTCGACGACTCTCTTGTCGGCTTCCTCATTTCCGAAAAGTCCGCCAATGGTCATGCTAATGTCCATGCCAATGGAAATGGAAATGCCAACGGCAATGGAGTTGCCAAGGTGGCCAACGGCGATGCCACTACCAACGGCGAGACTTATGTCCACCCTCGAACCGGAATGTCCTGCGCCGAGGACTTGAGCAAGGATACGGACTTCGACAACGATTACAAGAGGCACAAGTTCCTTGATCTGAGCAGGCCCCTCTTCCCTCAAATCTGGTTCGGTGGCTTCTCGAAGGAGTTCTACCTTGACCAGGTTCATCGCCCACGCCACTATAAGGGCGGCCAGTCTGCGCCTCTGTTCGGAAACTTCCTCGAGCCTCTCTCCAAGACCCCTTGGTGGGTGATTCCCACCGTCTGGGGACCTTGCGTCATGTATGCCGTCTACCTGGCTTCCCAGGGCTATGACAACCAGCTCTACACTGCCGGGTACTTTGCGTTTGGATTCTGGTTCTGGTCTATTATCGAATACGTCCTGCACCGATTCCTGTTCCACCTCGACTAGTAAGTGCCTATGACTTCAGATATCATATGATTTCGTGCTGACTTGGCTTTAGCTATCTGCCCGACAACCGTGTTGGCATTACGCTGCACTTCTTGCTCCATGGCATTCATCACTACCTCCCCATGGACAAGTATCGCCTTGTCATGCCTCCCACGCTCTTTGTGGTCTTGGCTTACCCTTTCTGGCATTTCGCACATGCCGTCTTTTCGTACAGCTGGCATGCTGCTACCGGAGCTTTTGCCGGTGGTCTCTTTGGCTACATCTGCTACGATTTGACGCACTACTTCCTTCACCACCAGAACCTCCCTCTTTGGTACAAGGAACTCAAGAAGTACCATCTTGCTCATCACTTCCTCGACTACGAACTCGGTTTCGGCGTCACGAGCAAGTTCTGGGACTCCATTTTTGGCACTGAGCTCATCTACAATGTCAAAAAGACAAACTAAGTTGATTCATCTTGCATATGCCTTTACTGCCCAGCTTTAGAAAATCAGTTTCTGGGCAGAGTAAATATTGTCTGACTACAAAGTATGGGGTTCTGATTGATGGGAGTTTGGGAGTCAGACGAAAGCAATCATGATTGAGGGACGGTAACGAGCTTTGCCAGGAGCAGGGCATTTTACGACGGCAAAGATTTCTTATGGATAGTTTTAATGCTCGGGACTGTACGCTTGATGGTAAAGCTAGTATTGGAGAAACAAATAATAATCGATCGTTATTCACACCATCTATCACTTGTCACATACATCTCGTTTACTTGCGTTGAGGCCGCTGAGGCCTGATCTCTAGTCTGGCCCGGCGTGGCCGACGTGGAGATTGCGGTGAGTGCCACGTGGCAGATCACGTGAAAAAGTTTGCTCTTGAAGCTGTGGCTCGGCCCAAAAGCTTGATTCATGGGTCTTTTCAGGCATCCTTTCCCCCAACATTTCAGGGACGCATCGACGACAAATACCGACCACTCGCAGGAGAAATCAATCATCTCTCTGTCACTATCAAGAAACTTGGGGAGTCTTGATCTTGAGCATCTACCAACCCACCTGACACCACAACATTAGACACCATGGCTACCTTGGACGTGGAGGCACTCCTCGACGCCACCGCGAAGGATTCGGCCGAGCAGAAGAACAAGAGCCCCGTTGAGGATAGAACGCGAGACGAGGCCCCTAGCCGCCGTGATCGAGACCGAGAACGCGACCGTGGCCGTGATCGAGATGGAAGCAGAAGCCGCGACCATGGCCGACGCAGGGACCGTAGAGACAGCCAGACTCGAAGTCGCAGAGGCACTCCTGATGTAGGAACACCACGAAGCGACGCAGGCAGCCACAAGAGTAGGAGGAGAAGCCGAAGCCGCGATGATGATCGCCGTCACTCACGCCGAAACAGAGACGGCGATTATTACAGAGGAGGGCGACGCTCACGATCACGATCACGCTCGCCCTACCGCCACTACCGCCCTCGCGACGACCGGGACCACCGTGACAGGCGAGACCGCGACCGACGCCCTCGTGAATTTGGACGCGGCCGGGATGATGATCGACGGGAGCCCAAGCGTGACGGCACGCCACAGCTTACGGAGGACGAGCGGGATCGTCGCACTGTGTTTGTCCAGCAGCTTGCCGCTCGTCTGCGCACCCGTGAGCTGAAGGAGTTCTTTGAAAAGGTGGGACCTGTTAATGAGGCCCAAATTGTCAAAGATCGTATCAGCCAAAGATCCAAGGGGTGAGTTGAATCATGATTATGTTTCACAAAGAACAATTGCTGACATGATTACAGAGTGGGTTATGTCGAATTCAAAAACGAAGAATCCGTTACCCAGGCCCTTCAACTTACTGGACAAAAACTCCTAGGAATTCCTGTCATCGTTCAGGTGACAGAGGCCGAGAAGAACCGCCAGGCTCGCAACCCTGAAGCGTCGGGACCCCATCCCAACTCCATCCCCTTCCACCGTCTCTACGTTGGCAACATCCACTTCAACGTCACCGAGCAAGATTTGCAAGCGGTTTTTGAGCCTTTTGGTGAGCTCGAGTTTGTCCAACTCCAAAAGGACGAGAATGGCCGCAGCCGCGGCTATGGCTTTGTCCAGTATGTTGAATCCCCAATTACCACTGTTCTCTGCTAACATTAAATAGATTCCGCGATGCTGGTCAGGCACGAGAGGCGTTGGAGAAGATGAACGGCTTTGACCTGGCTGGTCGTCCCATCCGCGTCGGTCTCGGAAACGATAAGTTTACCCCTGAGAGTACTGCCAACATGCTGCAGAGATTTTCCGGCCAGAACCAGTCCTTCCAGGGCTCGGCATTTTCAGGTGCAGGTGGACGTGGCCCTCAATCCTCGACATTTGATCGAGCTGGCGGCCGTGACAGTGAGAAGACTGGAGGTTCCAGCGCCCTGGACGACACGGATGTGGCGGGAGTCAACTTTAACAACTATAGTCGCGATGCATTGATGAGGAAGCTTGCCAGAACCGACGATACCAACACCAATGGCAATGACGAGCGACAGGTCCTGAAGCCCAAGATGGAGACAAAACCCCTGCCTATGAATGTGAACATGGCTAGTCGCTGTGTTGTTCTTCATAACATGTTTGACCCTGAAGAGTAAGTGTTGCCTCAGATTCCTTTGAACAGATGACTGACGCGTATACAGGGAAGAGGGTGACGATTGGGTCAAGGAACTCGAGGACGATGTTCGTCAAGAGGCCGAGAGTCGGTACGGACACGTTGTCCACATCTCGGTTGACCCCAACTCAAAGGGCGATATCTATCTCAAATTTGACAAAGTCCAGGGCGGCGAGAATGCCATCAAGGGCCTCAACGGCCGGTACTTCGGCGGACGGATGATCGACGCGTCCCCTGTTGTAGATGCCGTCTACAGCAGTTTGTTCTCTCGTACTCGGGCAATCTGAAGCTAATGTTGGCCTGTCAACAAAGCTCTCTAGGACTCTTGCAGGTTAGCAGAGTTCACACCAATCACTTGGCACAGGAGCGTCACTAAGACTTTTTGGTGATCAACAGACATCAAGTCTCTTTTTTCTTCCGGAAGCCTGTCTGCCGTTGCAGCAGGCTGTATGTATACAACTCGACGTCCCAAGCAACATCGACGACCGCCCACCCACCATCACCTATCGAAAACAGCAAAATCCCGTCTCATATTTCATGCATCAAGGTTCACAAGTTCAAGGCGTCACCTCCTCTTTAACTATATCATGTCACGATGTCGCAGGTTTTCTCACTTCAACTCGACCCAAAAATCCCTATCTGGACCCCGACGCACACCCTTCTCCTCTCCGGATCGGCATCGATGTATCCCAGGTTCAGCGCTCGCTTAGTCGCAAGGTCCAATGCTGATGTCTTGTAACCCTAGGATGGCCCTCCTCCTTCGATCAAGAAGGAGTAGCTCCCCAGACCTCCGTCGTTTGTTGTCAGTGTAGTGTAGTTTGGTGCAAAATATAGATTGTGTTTACTTGTAACTTTGGTGTCATGGAGTGATGTGACTGCAGTGATGCGGTGTGTGATAAAGGTATGACATGATCCATATGGTATGTCTTGCTAATGAGCTCAGGGTTGATGTTTGTGACGTTGTATTGTCTACTGGTAGGTTCTTGGGTCTTCTAGCTGGGTCATCTCGCGTTTCATACATAGCTATTTGCGAGCTCGTCCAAAGTAGTGGCACTACCAGAGAGTGATATCCATGTAGTGTTCTGGCAACTGGAGCCAGTCGATATTCCTGGAGTTGTCTACGTTCAAGGATGGATATATGCCTTTGGGGGCAACCAGCCTGTGGGCTACATCACAGAGCAGTCTTTGGGCGTGAAGCAAACGGCCCCGAGTCCTTCTCTGGCCCATTGTATTTCGTTTGCTCAAATCTGAGGTGCTGTTGATTTCGAGGCACCTGATCATGCGGTAGTGGACCTCTATAGGTAATCTGAGGCACTCCGATCTTGAACTCCTCAACTCTCCTCTCTTCTTCCCCTCACACTCTCTTCTACTCTTCAATTCATCTTGTCACACTCCTCCGCAAGAAACATCTCTCAGGGCCGTTTCTTTTCAGAAAACCAGTACTCAAGGCAGGCTGCTTGTATCATCACGACCCAGCCCCTGATTTCATCTGGTGTTCTGTCATACACAGTCGAGGTTTGTTTTTCTCCCATTTTCTCTCTTTATTTGGGCTCTGATTTCCGTCCAAAGCTTTCTGTGCGTTCTGGCTTGCCCTGTGTCCCTCTCGAGGTTGTTGTTTGCGGAGTTTGGCCATCACCGTCTGCCAGCTGGCAGCAACTGGCGAGAACCGTCGCCACCGACAGCTCTCAACAGCCCAAGATCAAGCACTGAGGAGCATATTCTCTTCAGTCCCTTTCCCTTACACCAAGATCGGGGTGCTTTTACGTGATTCTCTTGGTGCTGCTCGACTGACCCCGAGTTCATCTCTTCCTCTTCCCCCTCGAGTCCAAGCCCTGACTTTTCTCCCACGCCCTCAGTTTGACAAACAGAACGCGCACAAGAAAACTAACCTGCGTGGTAGAAATCAGGAACGGGCACCCGCACAGGAAAACTTGATTCCCCCCCCCCTCTCTCTCTCTCTCTCCTCATTCACCCTCCTCCCCTCAACCACAACCACTTTTCCTCCCACCCCCCTCTCCCATCCTTCTTCATCGTCAGCTATTACGCTGTATCTTCCCCGATCGCCATCAGATCGGCTTTCTTCCCTTCGGTCTTATAATGACCTTCAATCTTCTCGCGAGTTCTCAGAGTTCCTCTCGAGAATCCCAGGTCGCGTCCCGGTGGTCCTCCAGCAGCGGAAGCCGTACAGAGCCAAAGCCCTCGGGAAAGATGTTGTCCATCAACTTTTCGACCCCCCTCGCCGGGGCTGCTCGTTCTGAAAGGATCAAGCAGATGACCAACAATCACGTAAGTTCCTTTCTTTCATCTCAACCCTGACATCGTCGCACAAGGTGCTAACCTCTGCAGCCTGCCTTTGCAAAGGCCCGCGCCTCTCAGGAGATTCTCGTCAAGATCCAGACGTCTCTTCGTCGCATGCCTGGCGTCTCCTCCAAGGAGTCCAACGAGATCGTGTCGCAGCTCCAGGAAGTTGGACAGATCGTCAGCACTGAGACGAGCCAGCTTGTCGATGCGCTCATGAACCTGACGCTCGACGCTGAGGACACGGACAAGGCCATCGCGCGCATGAGCATCGAGGCCAACCTCGCAAAGGCTGAGGCCGATGACCAGAACCACACCATCAGCAACCTCCGCGTTGAGCTGGCCAACGAGAAGGGTAAGCGCCAGGAGGCTGAGGCCGAGGTTGCCAAGGTCATGGAGGACTTGCAGAACCTCACTCGTGAGTTCAAGTCATTCAAGGAAAAGGAGGGCGGCTCCGAGGACTCCAAGTCCAAGTCTCCCGACCGTGATGGAATGATCAAGGTACTTTGTCCATGTTTTCAACTCACACCAGAGTCTAACTCTTCTGCAGCAGCTTGAAGATACCATCAAGCATCTCGAGGATCAAGTCAACAGCCGACGATCCCTCTGGGTCATGAAGAACCCCAGCCCCGACTCTGTGGCCCGCGTCATCGAGACCATCGCCGACGCCTGTCCAAACAAGGACGTCGTCCACAAGTCCATCATGTCGCTGCGCCCCGAGGGTCGTGACGAGGCTGACTCGCGAGACACCAAGGATCTCTCCCACGTCTTTGGCGACCTCTCGATGCAGCCTCATCGTCCTCCTACCGGCTTCCAGCCTGGCCGCCCTTCTTCTGTGGCTCCTCCTCGATTTGGACCTCATGGACTGCCTCCCCGTCCTACATCTACCATGCCCAACGAGCGTCGATACGGCCAGTGGGCTCCCCCGACCCCAGCCCAGTCTCGCTTTGGGCCTTCTCCTATGAACCCCATGAACCCTATGAACGGCCCCGGTCCTATGCCTGGCCCTATTCAGCCTCCCAACTTTAACCGGGCTCCCTCTCGACGAGGCTTCAGCAATGGCACTTATCGCCCCAATGCTCCCGAGTTCTACCCTCAGTCGTACACTCACCCTGACAAGAGCTTCCCTCGTCACGATGCTGGTCCCTATGGCCATGGCCAGCGCCGCGACTTCTTCCCTCCTACTCCCTCCAACACGCGCAACAAGTACAGCCGCTTCCGCGATCCCATCTCGCCCGACTTCACGGCTCCTCCTGGTGCGCTGACCACCCGGCCTCCTTTCCCTGGTCCTCTCATCCACATCACCGAGATGACCATCGCGGCCTGGAACGATCAGATGATGGAGCTGTACACTGTTATCCGTAACTTTGTCGAGAACAATGCCAACCTACCCACTTACATCAAGCCAACTGACCTCTCTCAGACCCGAGTCTGGCCTGTCCTTCTGGCCACCTACCACCCTCTGATGGAGCAAGAGGCTGTCTCTTACCTCGAGTACCATCTCAAGGAAGAGAGTTCCAAGTCGTGCCTCGTCACTCGTGTTGTCGTCGACTACATTGTCAACCGCGTCTGGGTTCCCCGTGCTTGGGCTGGTGCCGACAATGATGCCACCTACGGCCTCCTCGAGGTTGAGAAGGATCTCGAGCGAACTCAGGGTAAGTGTCTCTTTCTCTCTGCCTCAGCACCTGCTAACAACTATTTAGGCCAGCCAGCTGCTCATCGTCAGCCTATCCTCGACCGCCAGGCCAGCCTGATCGACTCTGTCCTCAAGCTGGACCAGTACCCCCAGTTCAGCAAGGTCCGCTGCGACGAGATTGCCGACATGCTCATCAGCATGGTCCAGCCTCTCCTCAACCCCGGTGTCAACCCGGCTACCACCTACCGCGACCTCGAGGCTGTTGCCGCCTCCGCCTGGGCCCTGTCGAGCCGCATCCTCAGCAGTCGCCTGACATTTGACTTCCGGTTCCCCGAGGTTGGTAGCCGCTTCTCGTGCCAGTCCATGGTGCCCATCTGGCCCAACATGGACCCCATGGAGCTTCAGGCCAAGCACTGGCGTGTGGCCCTCGTTACCACGCCTGTCATCACCTGCCGCAACGATACTGGCGCCAACATCTCGGCTCACTCGGTCTCACTGGCTGATGTGGTCTGCATGCAGTAAGAGGTTATCCTGCTGCATCTACCCCTGAGTCATGGACAAACACCAAGACTCACCCAAGAGCTCATCTCCACCTGATGGGATCTTTCAGTGATAGTGACAAACACTACACATCGCCTCTCAACTCGAGCGGCTTTCCTTTTTGACGACTTTTCTTTACGACTAATCACGATATCCCGGTCATCATGAGAAGACACATGCCTCTTCTCCTTACGGCGTAACACAGAGCGCCAAGACCAGAGCAGAGCCAGGCGTTCAGCGTTCATGGTCATTTACTTTTTTTTAGATTCCCGGGCCATGAATTCACTTCCCACCGTTATTACCCCCGATACAGTTCTTATCTCACAAAAGGATAGCAAGAACTTGACTCCCTTACCCCAATACTAATATCAACGTTTTCGACCAGAGTTCGTTTTCTGTCATTGCCGGGAGGGGTATTACTGGGGCTTTTGGTGGTTGAGAGTAACAGAAATTCTATCAGGGGAGGAACTACAACGGGAGGGGAAATTACCAAGCAGTCACTGGGGGGGAACTACTTTATCGACAGCTCGCCAACTTCGAATGGGGGGGTATATCTAAGGCGGACTGAGGCACTGGGGATCAGGAGTGATGCGGATTATACTGTTGTGTTTTGTTTTTAATTCTATCTTAATAAAAAAAACTCGACAAAAGAAAAACAGCAAACTGTGATTGTAGTGATTGAGTTGCTCCCGCGAGGGAGGACTGAGCCGGTACCGTTGAACCTGACACTGTCTTACCATCTATCCGGTGTCCGTCTATGAACTCTGCGGGTATCGTGAAATGAAGTTGCCACCCAACCGTTGATAAAAGTACAAGGTAAAAAGTATGAACTCGAAGAGAAGAAAGCAAAAGCACACCACCGTGTCTATGTCTAGTGGATCGAAATCCCCCCTTGAACTCCCTGAAAGTGCAAAATGACTGAGGCAAACAAGAGCCTTGGGTGTTGAACGAAAAAGCTCGCTTATTGGCGGCGGCTGTCCACAGAGTTGCGGATAGACTGACGATCCAGGCGTCGTACTACGGCGCCGAGAACAACCTTGAGGATGCCATCGGCCTTCAAGCCGTTGGTACTCCAAGTGGCCGTGTCGACCATGTCGCGAATACCCTGCTCTGCCAGATCATCGTCCAGCTGTCGTAGAGCGGCGGCAGCACCGTACTCGTTGCCAACCTGGAAGAACTGGATGCCCACCTGGTGAGGAGGCGCCTCGAGGGTGTCGAGCTTTCGGGCATTGTGCACGATGATGGACTCAGGGTCATCCGAAGCAGCCCCGTCGGTGATGACGATGACATTAACCGGCTTGGTCGTGTCCATGCTGTCAGGTCGACGGGACAGGCTGGCGATGTATGGCTTAAGAATGCTCTGCAGACGGTTTCCCGTGGGGGTGGCGCCTGATGGGCGGACGGAGTTGAAAAGGCACTCTACCTGTTGAACGTCGCGGAGGTTGTAGTATCCGCCGGGAGCCTGGCCTTCGGATCCGGAGCCGTGGGAGCGGTGGTTCAGAAAGTAGACGTCGATTCCATCTGGGTCGTGGGCTGTGCAGATTGGTGTGATGGCGGCGAGGGCATCACGAGTCTCTCGCCACGAGCGACCAGACATGGAGCCAGAGTCATCGATGACAAAGATGGTGTCAAAGGTGGAGAGGAAGGCATACTTGTCCTCGGCGCTGGTGATACTGGCAAGGCTGGGAGATGGCGAAGCGCCGCGACGGCCGGCCCCGACGTTGAGATGCGTAGGCTTTCTAGACCTAGCTCTGCTTTCATCCACGGGGGAGTAAGCGGGAGGCGCGTCGACGACTGTGATTTCAGGTGTCAGTTCTGGGCGGGGCTTGTCATCGTTGTACAGAGGCGAGGACGGCTCACAGTTGTCGGCAAATGGGTTGTTTGAGTTCATGTTCTGACCTGTGCAGGTGATTCGCTTGCTAGAGAACTTGTCCTTGATGCGGTTGAACATGGTTGATGACGATGTTGATCGGCTGTGTTGGATGGGAGCCATTTTGACGGAGAGGAAGGAAGGAGTCTCTTTTAATATTCGAATAAGACGCCTGTGAAAGCTTGTTTCAAAGCAATGTGAATCGCAATCCTTTGAGTGATGAACAACGCCTAAAGTCTAAAACAAACAATGACTGTTTGCGTACTCGGTAGGTATGTTCAGATATTCTTTGTGGCTTGTTGAGTTCGTGAAGATGTGCACGCTGCTGGCGGTGATGGTGATAATGATGAGCTGTTGAATGTTAAATGCTCTTGCTCTATATACTACATGTTCACATGGTCTGGGTTGCTCGAGTTAAAAGCCTATCGATCTGCCTTAAGTCATGTGTGAAAAAAATGTGTATTGAAGGGAATGGTTTAGAGATTGAAGGAGGAGGCGAAATGAACACAGCCCTATTAGTGTAGCTTTCACTGAAAGCGCCTACCTATGGCTCTACATGGAGGAGCAGTGTTCTCTACGCGCGCGGCGCATTCTGGTCTCATTGTGCGAACTGCGCCCTGGGAGCAGTAAGGCAAACCAGTCGAATGGTTCGCCTTCCGACTTCCCAGGGAAGACAAAAATATAGCAGAATCAATCCCTTATTTTCTGCGGGTTTTCTGTCTCGGTATTTTTGTTCCCCCACGTTGGGCTGTCAGCACAGCCTCCACAAGGCAACCATAGCCACAGCGAAACATTGGAACGTTACCCCTGGGTACCTGACTGTCGGGACATTCCAGAAGACAAAGAATCGACAAGAGGGAGACAATCGGAGATCGGGGCAAGTCGCCACCTTCTTATATCGCCTCAGTGCGATTGCACTTTTGTCCATGTTGCCTCTCATGTACTTATTGCCTGCATCTCGATGCCTGATTTCGGAGTTGCAATCCAAGCCGGCCTTGGCTCGGCTTATTCCCGCCCCCCTGGTGACACTCACTGCCCCAGCCTGGTTGATCCATCCAATCGATGGCGTGCATGAGACCCATGATCTTCGCAGCCTCTCAGGCACTCCTTAAGGCATTCAGGCACAGTCTCATCTGCGTCTCATGGCTAACCTGAAGCATTCGCTCCAATACCCCAGAAACCGGCCGCGGCCAGCGTAAACAGAGCCGCAGTCTAGCCGCCAGACGTGCCAACAGAGCCGCAAGGAAGACAACATGCAATGTATCTGTAGCAACAGAGCCCCTCTCTCAGGTAGTCAGCATTGGCGTGCAATGTCGTGGCATATCCAACACGTCTGTCAAAATGACAATGCTCCGTCCAAGGCATTGAAACCACGGGGCAGGCTCGGTGAGGCTTCTGAGGAGGTCATCCCCACTGCCAAGTAAGCGGCCAAAGGGGTCAGAGAGGCTCAGATAACACGGCGTGATGTCTGTCTGAGCCCAAGGTGGATCGACGTCTTCTCTCAAGGACCAAAAGACATCCCATGCCCTAATTTCAACCCTAGTAAGAGAGCGAAAAAGAAAGAGAGTTTTGCGCGAATAATCAAACACTCAACTCCCTGACATGGTCACCTTTGACCGTGATACGGCGAGACCGTTCCCGCCTCGGGCCTAGTTGAGGGCTTTTCGAGGTGAGCACGGTGAGCAAAGCAGTCCCCTTGTCAAACACTCCAAAACATTCCACCGCAACGTGTTCTGACGCCATGACAACCCGAGCCGAAGGACCTCAGCGCCCGCCTGTCTCGTGATTTCCTGGTGCAAGTGTCAGCGAGTTTTCGGGGCGGCCCTTGGACCCTCGTTTGGCCCGCGACCATCGGGTCCAACCGGACGGCCATCATGCCTCCATTCCGAACCCTACACCGTGGTGATGCTGCTTCTGGTTCTTCTAGCGAGCTTCTAGGGCCATTCCAGCCCGTGCTCCCCTCACCCTGTCACCTCTCCACACCGGGAGGTGAGCCAGCTTTGCCCACACGAGACGCTTCGATAACCGGTTCCCAGGCCTCCCCATTTGCTGGTCACTACCAGGGCACCCCCAGCCAGATCCAGGGGGTAAACAGAGGAGGCCTCGCGTCCGCCGAAGAATTCAAGGGTTCAAGGGTTTGAGGCTGCCAAGGATTCCGTATTGATTCGCGGAGGACGCTGAGTGTGAATCTTGGTGATAATGAATCAAGAGAAATGCTAATGCTCAAGCGGGTCAAGGGGGACCGGGTCGGCAGCTGAGATCCGGGCGAGTCTCGTTCAGTCTTTGGGTCCTTGGTCCCGATTCATGCGAGCTAAGATCATTGTGGGATTGGTCCACCGGGGAAGGGACCAGAGTGCCCGTTCCAGCAGGGTAACGATTTAGTAACGATTTCGATGCGTGCACCTGTAAGATCACCAAGATGCCGCTGTTGGGCGGGACGTTGAGACGGGGGTTACGTTGGGTCGAGATTGGGCTGGAGGATGGATAAAAGAAGTTTACTCCCGAGGTTGGGAATTGCGATGTGCGGTTTTTCTGAGAGAAGATGCAATGTTTTCTCTGTTGCTTGGACTAACACCATGGCTGCCAAGATGTTCTAGGTGTCAAAGGGTTACAGGATGGGATCGAGGTCAGCTCTTCCCTGCTAATTGCATTGTTGCTCCAGCCCGGCATCTCCGCGTAAGCAGGGCAAGCCCAGTACGTCACTCTGCCGCTATTCCCACCGAGCGTGCAGAGCATCAGGAAGTCTCGGCACCGGTGAAAGGGTGCATCGCTGTTTTACGAAATAATGTACTAGCCGCCGCCGCAAGTCGGGGGAAGGAAATGGTTGGACGAGGTGTTAAAAGTGTGGCGGTGTTGGTGCGGGTAGGGAATAGGTGCCTTGATAGTCTGGGCTTCTACTCCTTCAAGAGAAGCGTCTCGACCGCCACCCGCGCCCGCGAACGGCCTGACAAGTCGTATCAGATGGCCGGAAGGGGAACGTTTACCCCAGGATTGCCGTTGCAATGGGACGTCAACTACTGGAAGGTTCTGAATAGTGGCATGCTCCATCATCTAAATCTGGTTGGGAACGGACGTGTCATGGATCCATAGCCAGCATGTAAGTGCAGTGAAGCAGGTACTGTATGTACTCTCGTAACATGAGACATATCCTCTGTCACTGTTTGGTAAGTTATTGGCAAGCCTGTTGCCGCTGCCGCTGCTCATGATCTAATGCATACATCCCATCCATCCATCCTGTTTGGCCGGCATCTCCAGCCCAGCCCAAGCCAAGCTCAGTCCAATTGCAGCCCAGAAAACGATGCCCATCACCACTAGAACCTCTCACTGTCCATGTGTCGAGCGTCAGTGCTCCCGCACCTACCTCCCCGCCGCTCTTCTCACTGCAGAAACGCTCACAGACCAGCCCCAAGGTGGACAGTGACCGAAGAACCTGGTTCCAGGTGACGCTGTCAGTCTCTACGAATGGCTTCTCCAGTTTGGACACACTGAGTGGCACTTGACGGAGCAACGTGAGGTAGGTACCAAAACGTAGCCTGCCTCAAACTCGCGCCGCCGTCCCCGGCCGCCGGACCCCCGTCCCACCCCCGAATTTTTTTGGTGTGCGACCCGACGCCATTTTGCACTTATATCCAATCCCCCTTTCAACATCCCCATCGTGTTTTCTCCTCTCTTCTTTTTCTTCTTCCTTGAGCTCATCCCCTTCACCGTCTCTCCTCCGCTTACTTTCTCCATCTTTTTCCCTCCCCGGCAAGAAATTCATCTCTTGTCTGCATGCCTGAACCAGCTGCTTCCCAACCGTGCAAGCACCACTTTATCTAAAGAGCATCTCTGGCACTCGAGATACGCGAGACCAGATTTCAATACATACACCAAACCCTCTCTCCTCCACATCTTGATCTATCGCCATCATGTCTTTCGGTGGTCGCAAGTTCTCTATTAACCGCCATACTGGCGCTCCCAAACCCCTCGCTCGTCGCTTTAGCATGGGCGAGCCGTCGACAAACGGTACGCTTGCTTGCTTTGCCTTGTCTCTTGTTGTCGGTGTGGCTTTTCGCCGCCTCTTTCCCCCGCACGAGAGCTTCCCCTCTCTTGTGAAGCTCTCAGTTTGCCCCTCCAAGCCCTTCTGACCGACTTGAACGGTTGCGCGTCGTGACTACCCGGGCTTTACGACTCCATCGCATGAGCTCAGCTTTCGCGTGTCGTCAAAACCCTCACCGTTTTCTCTCACCTCCCTCACCTCACCACCTTCACCGTCCCGCCTTTTCAGGCTGGGCGCCACCTTTGCTGGGGCGTTACCTTCCCCCTCCCTCATACCCCTGCACCTTCCAACCCTAGCAAGGCCCGCTCTGCGAACCCCTCCAAGCTCCGCCCTACCCAGCTGCACCACTGAGCTTGGCTGCAGCGGGAGCTATCCTCACAACGTCATTGTCAGACCCTGAAGTTGACAGACAACGACAACAACAAGACTATATCCAATTCAAATACTGACCTTTTGCAGAGTTCCAGTCCAAGGTTCATCGTCAGTTCCGTAATGCCCACGAGGGTCACATGCCCCATGCCGGCCTCGACGCTAGCCGATCATCCACCGGTGTCATCTGGTGCACAGAGCGAGCCTCCGAGTATGGCTACCTCGAGGAGCCCGAGCTCTGGGCCAACCTCGGTCAAGGTGCCCCTGAGGTCGAGGATGACATCCAGGGCTGCTTCCCCCGACCCGAGACCATTAGCATCTCCATGGCCGGCCGAGAGTACGGTCCCACAGCGGGTATCAAGCCCCTGAGAGAAGCTGTCGCCAAGCTCTACAACCACATGCACCGTCAGGGCAAGGAGAGTCAGTACACCTGGGAGAACGTCGCCATCGTTCCCGGTGGCCGTGCTGGTCTCATCCGAATTGCCGCTGTCCTCGGAAACTCGTACCTTTCCTTCTTCTTGCCTGACTACACGGCCTACAATGAGATGCTGAGTCTCTTCAAGAACGTGAGTTCATTCGGGCCTACCAAACAGCACAGAGCCGCAATCTGACTGATCATGTCTAGTTCGCTTCCATCCCTGTCCCTCTGTCTGAAGAGGATGGATATCATATCCACCCCGATAAGATCGCTGAGGAAATTGCCCGTGGTACCTCGGTCATCCTGACCTCCAACCCTCGCAACCCTACCGGCCGTGTCGTTGCCAACCCCGAGCTTGCCGAGATTCAGGACATTTGCCGTGACCGTGCCACCTTTATCAGCGACGAGTTCTACTCGGGTTACAACTACACCAGCAACTGTGATGGTACCACCATCTCTGCTGCCGAGAACGTTGAGGATGTCGACGAGGATGATGTTCTCATCATTGATGGTCTCACCAAGCGCTTCCGACTTCCCGGATGGCGAATTGCCTGGATCCTGGGCCCCAAGGGTGAGTTTCATGTGCAACTAGAAGAGTCATGATCCAGTACTAACTTGGCCTCGCAGAGTACATCAACGCGTATGTTACGAATACATCTACATTTGAGGCTGCTGATTACTAACATTGTTTAGCATCGGCTCTTGCGGTAGCTACCTCGATGGTGGTGCCAGCCACCCCTTCCAAGAGGCGGCCATTCCCATGCTCGAGCCCGAGGTCGTGCAGAACGAGATGGTTCACCTGCAGGCTCACTTCCGAGTAAGTTTAGGTGGCAACCAGCGTGAACTGCACCTCGCTAACTATTGTCTAGGACAAGCGTGACTACGTTGTGCGACGCCTCCGTGAGATGGGTTTCGTCATCAAGTACGTGCCCGACTCGACCTTTTACCTGTAAGTTGTCCTGTCTTTGCTGGTGTTGTTCAAGTGGGACTAAGTGTCGGTTAGCTGGCTTAACCTGGAGGGTCTCCCCGAGTCGATTGCGGACGGCCTCAACTTCTTCCAGGCGTGTCTGGAGGAGAAGGTGATTGTGGTTCCTGGTATCTTCTTCGACCTGAACCCCTCGCGCCGCCGTGACCTGTTTGACAGCCCTTGCCACCACTTTGTGCGTCTGTCGTATGGTCCTAGAATGGACGTGCTCAAGATGGGTATGGATGCTATTGAGCGTGTTGTGCACAAGTAAGTTGCTGCCGTCTGATGTATGTTTCATGAGACAATAACTGACCAACTACGCAGGCACCGCAAGTCTACTTAGACGGTGTGTCATGGATGGAGTGCATCATGGAGTGGCCATTGTGTGTGACATTTGAGGCGGTTGTGCTTTGGTGTCACTGCCAATGAGTCAAAGCTGGGTGCACAAGGAGGAGAGGAAGGGAAGTCTTTTTATAGACAAATTCTGGAGTGACCCCATAGGAAAGCTACACTCAGGCTTGCCCTGTGGATTGGCATTTTCACTTACCTACCTGCTATGCCGGGATTGGGCAGTCGGACCGTCACATTACATTAGCTGACGGTGCTTGTTTCAGTGTTGGGTGGCGTTTGCATAGCAAGCCCTGTAGAGGCCTGGATTTGATGAATTTGAACCGACAATTTCCATTGCTACTGTATCCTCTGGATACTTGTCCCTATCCATTACCATCATGACATCCCACGCCGAGGCCATACGTGCGGATATTCCACCGCATATCTGCATCTATCACGTCTTACTTCACCCCAGGTTTACATCTCGTCATCGCCCCTGCTCCCGCAGATGCCTGCCTCAAATCCCCAACACGACGACCTGTACCTATCACGACCCTCGACGAACCCCCAGGGTCTCGATGGCATCATCGGATCCCGCGGCGGAGATCTGCCCACCCGCCCTCCTTCTCCAACGCTGCAGTTCCGATCTCACCTTGGGAAGAAGCAAGAACCTGCCTCTTTGGTCTCTATGTGGTTACTGCTCCATTCCTCATTCCGCATCCCCCGCATGATGAAATCTCTAATAGACAAGGATACTCTAAAAATGTTACAAGGAGATCGGTTGTTGGTGTTGTTGTAATCGCCCTCTTGTTCCCTTTTAGTTAGCGGGCCGCCAGACCGTGACTTGTGAGTGGCTGGTTTCAAGACTCCATCTCTCGTTTTTCTTCACCTTTCCACAAAGCTCCGCCGCAATTGCTACTACAACTTTGACCTTCTCTGCCAAGGTTGGATATTTTTTACGCCTTGTTTTCAAAAGTGCGAGGCTACACCAAAGAGGCAAGGGGTGCTGTGTTGTCTCTTTAAGTTTTTTCAGCTATACAGCCGACTTGTTGATCACACTTGAAGTCGGCAGTTTGAGGCTTACCGCGCCTATTTGTGATCAGCAATCTTGAAGAACACCATATACAACTACAACTACATTCGCAAGCCATGCTCAGGCGGCTGCCACGCCTTGCTTTCACACGCCTCTACAGCACTGTTATTCCACCATCATCTTCAAAGCCTTCTTCACAGGCGTCTTCTGCAGCAGGCAACATGTCCGAGTCCACCGCCGCCGCGGAGGACAAGAAGCAGCAGCCCCTTCCACTCCCGGCGCCCGAGCAAGACACCGCCGCCGCCGTCAGGGGCGATGGCGTGACGGCGCTACGCGTGGGTGAGTCCGTCCGGCTCGACGCGCTGGGCCCGCTCGTGGTCAACGCCGACGGGTCGATGGGGAGGGTTGGTAATTGGGCTGGCATGACCGAGGGGGAGAGGGAGGCTACGCTGAGGCTGCTGGGGAGGAGGAATAAGCAGCGTCTGGAGGCTCTCAGGGCGAAGAAGGTCGAGGAGGAGAAGCAGAATGGGGAGTAGAAGGGGAACAGGAGGTTGGGGAGATAAGGGGAGGGATAGAGTTTGGCGACGAGCCGAATGTACACTACGAGAGCCTGACACGGCAAAGGGAGACGGCAATGGAAATGAAGAGGATAAAATGGATAACATGATTCACAAACACCACGAAGATGCAATTGGAAAGTCTAGACGTGTTGAACAGGTTAAAAGAAAAGTGTACGGATCGAAATTATCGTATACCCGTTGATATCATTGCAGACAAAACAAAATGTCCTCCCAGGTTGTCTCCTGTCATCCCAAACCAGGACCTGTTTCTAGCCAGCTGCTTTCATCACAGCCGTATTGTCCATTCATCCACTGAACCATCTCAACCCCTTACCAAACCTCACATGTTTTTTATCTTGTATGTCGTCTGTCTTGGGCAGCCTTCATGGCCAACCTCTGGCAACCTCCACGCACAATATACTCCTTATAGATTCCCCAGACCAGGTCTCGCAATATTCAAATCAAACGCCACCACCCCGTCCACTTGATGCAACCCAGACAGAAGAACGCCGCCGGCCTCCCGAGATCCGCATCACACATGTTTCCCGTAAGCTGTCGTTGCGCCGCACCGAGAGTTGTGTGTCGCTTGTTTGGTTGAAGATCGGATTACCTTGTCTCCTCCTTGACGGGGGAGTCGGATTTTGACTCGGGCTTGTTCTTGTCGCCGCCAGTCTTGGAGGCGGCAAACTCCTTCCACAGGGTGACGATCTCGTCGTTGCCCTCGTTCTTCTCGACGAGGAGGTTCTTGAGCCACTTGTTCTCCATCTCGAGCTGCTGCACCTTGCTCTCGAGGGAGGTGACCTTCTCCGACATCTCCTTGGCAGACTTCTCGAGGGCCTGCTCACGCTGCTTCTTCTTGATGCGGAAGCGGGCGCTGGCGGCCGTGTTGCGCCTCCTCTTGTCCTCCTCGGCAGCCTGGCGGGAGGCTTCCTCAAAGTTCATGGAGCGGCCCGCGCCGGGACCACTCTCAGACTTGCGCTTCTCAGCGGACTGGGGGACGGGTTGCTGGCCATAGTGGGCAGGCTGTTGCTGCTGCTGCTGCTGCTGGGGGACGGGCTGATAGGCGGCAGAAGGGTTGGGCTGCATGGCCTGGAAGTTCTGAGCACCATCCGCGAAGCCGTTCAGGGGGGTCGACGGATAGGCGCTGGTAAACTCGGGGAAGCTAAATTCACCTGCCATCGTTCGGTGGTCAGTCCAAGTGGGAACAAATAGTCAAATGTCATGACCAGAGGCAGAGGAGAAGAAGATAGTAGGTAGACATGGACGATTGAAGAATAGTTGATGTTGAAGCAGAGGCCATGAGGCCTGGGGAAGAGGCCTTGCCAACTTGGGAAGGGACGGGTGAGGTGCAGGGGTGAGAGGCGATGTCGTGATCGGTGTCGGCAGATCACGAGATATTGCACCATAGACACCATCGCCCGCCCAGCCACTGAGATCAAGCTTCACCCCCCGAGGCGGGCCACCCTCGAGCAGGCCTGCATCTGGAGGAGACAACTATGTCCCAATGACAAAAGGGCGCCATGCACACAAGGCGACAGGGTAGATTCAGAGGAGGTGGGGGTTTGGCCGGTTAGTGAAGCGGTCGAGGCGCTGCTCGTTGCCCATCAGGGACCAGCATTGACATGTATCATTCTCGCCCGTCCGCTTGGATCGTGGCCATGCAATCTTACCGCGGGGAGAGAGGAGAGTTGCAGATTTGAGATGAGAGAACGGGGAAACGCGCGGGTTTCTGGTCAGATCATTCTCATTTCAGTTGCAGAAATATTGAAACGACAATATCTCTGCTAACCTTGATGAAAATGATGTCCACAACTCGCTCGCTGTGCCTCACTCTCACCCCCAGCCTGACAACCTCTCACTCCCCTCCCTCGGCAGTTGTCCCCAATCCTCCGGGAATTGAATCTCGACATAAAACGTAGACGGTAAAACTCACCCTGGATGAAATCAAAGTTGGAGAGGTCGCCCACGACAGAGGGAGCCGGGGTCATGCCATCGGAAGGCGAAGTGCTCGGGGGAGCCTCCATGTCAGCCTTGACGGGATGGGCCTGGTAGTCGGTGTTCTGGCCAGTCTCAAAGTCGAAGAACTGGGTGTTGGTGAACAGAGCAAGATCCTCCTCCATGTTGAAGGGCTCGTCGTTGGAAGACTCCTGGCGGTTGATGGCATTGAGGTCGCGGAGATACTGCGACACATTGGGGCCGCGGCGGCCGTTGTAGTTGGACATTTTGACAGAGGTGGCCGGTTGAACCTTGGAATAAATAGAAGAAAAAAAGATGCCTCCTCTTGCTCAGGTAGTTGGCGTCGAGTTGTTGTCCCAAGATTCGATGCCCGAAAGCGGCTCACTCACTCAAATAAAAAATAGCGAGGGAGCGGGGTTTGTGCGGGCTTGCGGGACAAATTTTTGGTGACTCAATGAATATCGCGGCGACAAAGGGCAAGTCTTGGTGTCGGCGTCGAGTGTCGTCGTCGTCCTGGTCGTCGGCGGCGTCAAAAAGTCAATTCTTCGCTGGGCGTCTGTCTCCTTCGAGGTCAAAAGAAGAAGGAGAAGTCAGTCTCGAATGTTGGGGGAGGAAGTGGAGGAAGAAGGAAACGTCGACGAACGGAACGAGTGCTTTGGCCTGGGGCGGGCAAGGTTGGTTTTGCTCAAAGTGGACGCCTCTGGCGAGGCCGATTGCCGCCGAAGCCACCTACTGCACCAGGTGCCAGTGGGTTTAGCGGATGGAGTGGGCAGAGTGGGTAGTGGGCAGTGAGCAGCCGGCGGCGACTGGACAGTGAGGGAACAGTATGTGGGATGGGCGGCCACGGTGGTGCGCCTGGAGAGGTCTAGCGGCCCATTGTAGCGAGGTGGCCCTGTAATTGACTCTCTCATCTAGGTTCCGCGTGGGCAGCCTGGGCCTTGGCAATCCTGGCAATCCAATGGACCGCCATCCATCCAACATCCTTGGATCCAGGGAAAGGGCTGGATCCCAGACACCTGGGATGCCATCTCTTGTCCATCTCGTGTTGTTCACTCACTCACTCTTTCATCTTTGCATCTATAGACTCAAAGTTTTCTTCAATGACGGTTCAATGCGTTTTCCCTTTCATACCTCAATACCCCTCAGCGCAACAAAGGCACAGTTGCAGCCGCTGCTTACAAACCCGAGTACCTGGGCTTGCTTAACAATCACGCATAAGAGCGCCGTCATGGATTTCCCCTCTCAGAGACTCACAATGGATCCCCCCCACGTCAACGGCACCACACCCAACCCAAACCCATGAACAACCGGGACCCTGCGTTGGGATGCTCACACACGCCGACTCACTTGAACTCCCCGCCCCCTGTCGCTTGTCTGCAGATTTTGATGCCGTCCTGGATCTGGAGAGTGGGCGCGCGTGGGCGCGCGTGGGTTCTCTTTTCTCTTTATTTCACGGGTAACGTCTCCGTCATGCTGGGGATCCAGACTTGTCACCATAATATGCACCAATCTCTCGATTCGTATGAGTGATTATCCCGTGCGAGGTCATGCCAGGTCACTCCAACCTGGTCTCTGCCCGTTCGTCCTCGGCGTTCGTCCGTGGTTTGGGACAGACGACGACACTCCACTCACCTCATACTACTAACACGTACGTACAGCAGTAGCACGCTGTCAGAGGAGAACATCCCAGCATTTACAACCGCGCAGAGCTCGGCACAGCAGCATGGGAAACAAAACTCGGCAAAGCGTTCAGGGTCGCGTGAAGCTAGCGTAGCCACGCGGAAAGTGGGAGCACAGGCACATTCAGCCATCCAGCCAGCCAACGCTCTCAGCCAACAGCCTCCTCCCTTCAGCTCTCCCAGCACAGTGGCAAAACCGGGCGCCTTCGGGGAGTTCGTTCATGTCCAAGGCGAGTCAACCATGTTGCTTCTAACTGTATTATTCCAAGTATGGTGCCCAAGACATCCTAGTGTCCGGCACCGGGAGTCTCCAAGTCGGTGAAGATTATCGCGCACACAACTTTGATTTTCCTGCTCCCTGCACAGAAAAACTCTGCCCGGACCGAAAACTCATGGCGTAAGAAGGCATACGCAAACATCCCACGACACTTCAATGTCAAAGACAAAGTAGTTCTAGGATCTGCATCCCTTCCAGACTGGCATCAACTGGGGACATCCACCACATCGGGTGCAACATGACACGGTACCGTTCGCCGTTCAAGAGACTCCCCGAAGATTCACTCTCACTCACAGCTGCGTCCCACTCAGTGAATCCATAATTAACGGCTTTTGGTCATTCCAACGGATCCCACGCCGTCTGTTCGTGACACTCTGAGACATCCGTCAACGAAGCCCCTGTCCTGTCGCTCCATGCGCATACGATCCAGCCTCAGAGACACCCTCGTGCGCTTTTGCGGCTGATCTTAGCCCATTGGGCTAGGCACAGTGGAGGTCATTCCCTGTGTGCGCGTGGGGAGTCTGCCAGCCGCAGGGGCCCTGTTCATCTTGGTTGCTTGCCGTCTGGAGCCTCTGGAGGTGATGAAGAGACGACATTATCAAACAAGTCTCCACGAGCCAATCCCCGTCCTCATCACCCACGAGTCCCGCCCATTTTCCGAACTCCCCGTCAAATTGGGGCCCCAGCATCTCACCTGTGGAATCATTCTCCAGAAGCAAGTCTCCCCGGTGTCTCGCTTGTCTACAACCCCAGCTCCTTGGAATTTGCCATGACACATCTCATCATAGAGCCATGGCATGGAGCTTGACCTCCGCTTCCTACGTATGGACCGTGTGTCGTTCCGAGGCACACGCTCACACAGCTTCAATAGCTCCCACAGCTTTCCACCCACACACACTTTATTCTTGAGCCTGCAAATGCGACCCTTTGCCCTTGATGGTCCTCGCGCATCTGCCGGTCGGATCTGCAACCTCGACGAGGAAACGTCATACCCCCTGCCTCTGTGCTACGTGGGGGCTTTAGAGGGAATCCTGACTTGCACGCGGAAATCAATTCCCTCCATGGCCTGCCGTGTCGTCAATAGTTTGCCTCACCACCTCGGGATCATCATGAGTGGCATCGTAGGGTTTCTGGACCCTGAGGCCCAAGCGCCCTCCTCTTAAGCTTTCCGTCCCTTGTCCAGTTGGGCTCGGCCAGTCTCGTGCTTTTCAATTCATACAGGCTAGTCTGGGAATGCCATCCCTTGACGGTGGGGTTGGAACAAAGCTGGGAGTCTCGAAGAGCAAGGCACGGGAGGTCCTGGACCAATCGAAGGAGGATGGCCGCATCTCCGAGTCAGCCCATGCCCACGTCCGAGTCGACCCATCGTTAGAGCCGAGATGGCTTTGTCTCCTTTTGAGAGGTTGCAATTCCGATGGCAAGCGGAGTACAACCTCCATGGAATCGTACATCGGTGTCAGTCCATTGGTTGGGCTCCCGATGAGGCACATGAATGGCCTTACTGTAGAACTTCCAGATGCTGTTCCCAGCTTCGGGGAGTTCGCTGGGGTTGCAAAGGCACGTGAATAATCACATGATTTGGTTCCAATCATTCCCCTTTGAGACGCCAGATGGCCCGTGCTCACGAGTTGGCCATCTTGGCAGGCCTTGCGACGCGACAGAGTGAATGTGTCGCGACTCATCAAAGCATCGATATTTGTTCATTTGCAGGATCTTGGAAATTAACTCACGTCTGATCTTCAGTCTGGGCTAGCAGGGCAGCCTTGCTGTTTTGCTCAACCTCTCAACATTGCTTGCGCCGCATTGTGGTTGTTCATGCTTGTCAAGTAACCGGGCCTCTAAAACAACAAACAACAATGGCCCGGTTCTCAGTCCCAACAACGGCCAGACTGCCATCATCTCTTCGCGTCGATGCTTCAAATCCGGCTGTTTTGAAGAGTCTTAATCGCCTATCACGAGAGTCACTCATATCTCTTGCCCTGGACTGGCTCGACGATGGGAGTCTTGCTAATGCCATTCCCTACATCGAGAGGAGGGACGATGAGGATGATGAGGAGACCGACGACATCTACCCCCCTTGCCAGTCTGTCGATGAACTGCAACAGCTTTATCTGGATATGCAACAACAAAAGGGGTCAAAACGCGATGTGATTAACCGAATCCTGGAAGGAGACTGGAGGTTAGGTCTCACGCTATATCAGCTGGCAATGGCGGATCTGGCCTTCTTTGAGCAGAATCCTACTTCTCAGAAATGGTCAGCCTATCAGATTCTACCTCTCAGACAACCCTCACAGAACGCCGACGAGGAGGAGGTTCTCAAAGTTGATCGGGAAAGCCTCACAATTCCTCGATTTCACCCTTCGACATTTCTACAGAACCTTCAATCCCAGGTACTACCCGACGTGAAAGCGCATTATCACTTTCATCGGCCTAGAGATCTGCCAGTCTTACTCTTACGGATTTTCGTCATTGATTCCCCCTACAACACCGACTTTGCCTTGTCGAGTCAGAACTCTTCAGGGACGGCCGCCAATTTCGACTCTTCCAGGACTGTGTACATTGCCTTCCCGGATGGATCTCCTGCGCTGTACATAACAAAGTCCCAGGCTACTGGTCCCATTGGATTTGGAGAGTCCAAGAGCTTGCAGAGCTTAATCGTGGATGGAGTCCCCAAAGCGCTCTCGCGACCTCGCGAACGATACACGCTCAAGGCTGGCAACCTGACAAGCAAGAACTTGAATGCTCTCTTAGAGAAGAAGGGGTCTGGACGCACCAATGCTGCGGGAGGCGGCTGGAGCATCTATGCCGATGAGTCCAACAAAATATCTCCTTTGGATACCGTTCTTCCAACTCCTCCACTTTCCAGGGAATCATCATCTTCCAGCCTAAGCCAGAAACGAGGAGCTCAATTAACAGAATCTCAACGGGCTGCGAAAAGAGCAAAGTTGACGGCCAAGGCACGGTTTGGCGATTCAGGCATCGTAACGGACGGCAAGGGCGTGGAGAGAGTGGATATTGTGATACAGGATCCATTCCCTTCAACAAGTACGGACCTGGATGAGCCCATGAATGAGGAAGGGGAGGATGGCGATGCGGCGACAGGGGCCGCAAGCCGTCGACGAAGCAAGATTGATGCCGTTATTCGGGAGGCCAACGCCGGCGACGATGACGCGAGAAAAGATGGGGGAAACTCGGATCGATGGACTCCGACTGTCAAGATAACGTTTAACGGCTCCCACGTGTGGGCTGGTGTACGGCAACTGGTCGAGGCGGGGATAGTGGATGGCGAAAGAATGCCGGGGTGGATGACGGGAGAAGAAGGCGTGACGACAGGGCTTGTAAGGCATGGTAGGATACGGGGGCACAAGGGCTCGGGTATGTGACGAATGGACGGGAGGGAAGGTTTTGGATCTATAACGGCGCATGGTCTATGTCTTTTTCTATCGTTGATACCCCGCGACGGAACAGGCTCCCGTCTAATTCCTAGTTGTCTTCAAGTCCGAATACTGTCACGGTGTTTCGCCAGGCGGCTTCGCAAACCTCCTCGACACTGGCCTCCTTGATACCAGCAATAATCTTGGCAATGCGCTCGATGGTACAGGGCTCGTTTCGTCCCTTGACCATAGCGCCCTCTTCCCACTTCTCCTTCTTGACGACCTTGAAGCGTTCGGGTACTTCAGGCGCCTTCTTCTGGTTCTTCTTATTCTGTTTCTGAGGCTTTTGAGCCGGGTCCGGGGCAACAGAAGCACCATTCTGCTCATTCTCGACGGCAGGCTTCTTTTCGATCAAGTATTTCCATCCCTCGTGGCTCGGTCGAACCTCACACCAGGGTCCATCCGTCTCGATCATGAGACGGTCAAGGTGGACTTCCTTGACAACAGCGCAGTTCTCGACAGTCTTGAAGCTGCAGCCGTTGATGCCAATATACAGCCCAAGGTCCATGAGCTCTCGCATCTCCTCTGTTGTGCCGGTAAAGCTGTGCACCACACCACCCTTCTCCAGTCTTTCGAGCTTCTCTCCAAAGGCATCCTTCAACAGACGCACAAAGTCAGCATGAGCAGCGCGTGAGTGCAGGAACAGCGGGAGCTGTGGTGTTATCGATGCAGCCACCTTGAGCTGGGCGGCAAAGGAGTGAAGCTGGATGGTCTTGGAGCAATAGTGCAGACGGTCATAGTCGAGGCCAAACTCGCCCATGGCGACGAGGCTCTTCTTGCCCGAAGCTTGGGCTTCTGTCACGAGTGACGTCAGGTCGGCAACGAGCTTCTCCGTCTTTGTTGAGCAGGGAGGATGCTCCTCCGAGACTGGGGCTGAGGGGTCAGGGTTGCATGGCAGCGTATGCTCGGACTCGTGGGAGGGACCGGCTTCACTGAAGACTGCGCTGCTGCAAGGATGGATACCTGCAGTTCCATAAACGGAACCCGCTGCAGGTTATGGTTAGATCTGTTCTGTACATCACGAGGTTGAAGGGGACTCACGATATGCTTCAGCGAGTTTGAGAGCATCTCGGGAGTTACCCAAGTCTGAACCAGTAACTATGAGTTTCGTGCAGCCAACTTCATGAGCTCTGCCAATAACAGCGGTGAGATCATCAGGATGTCGCTCCTTGCCATGATATCGTCCACGAAAAATGGGATCGGTGAGATTGATACCGATCTACTAGACAGTTGCCATGTGTCAGTGATATCTCGGATTCGGAAATATCTCAGTGGGGTCGGATATAGGTGCAGAGCACACATACATCGATGTATCTGGGCTTGTAGCCGGAGCCGTTCACGGGCTCAGGCGGTGAAGCTGCTGAAGCCATGGTGCGAAACCTTGACGACGAAAAGGCGGAGGAAGCAAATGTCTTGGACAGAGGTTGAAAACGTGGAAGAATGCGTCTCGATATCATGGACTCGAACGTAGTCTTTGACTCTGAAAGTTGAGTCACTCGAAACCCTGCAATCGTAACCTCAGGTATTCTTCTGTCTTTCCTTTCCAGGACGTGAAAAAAGGCACAGCTGTTGCCTGGTTCCAGGGCACGACGGACGTTTATTGGCTGCTTGACCTTGACTCTAACGCTTTCGTCCCAAGGTCTCACTCATCCTCCCGTCAACCTGTTGGCGGCGTCCGAGCTCAGTCACGGCTTACGAGAGGTTAACGCGCTTCAATTGCCCCACTCTTATACAATTAATAATGTGCATATCCCCACGTGACTTCGCGCGCCAGTGTCTTACCCCCCATCGGAACCCCACCACCACTCCGGCAACGCGCAGGGGAACCAGGGTGGCATTTCAGGTCCCGCGACATCGGAGAGCCATGATGGATAGCTCATGCTTCCAAGACGTAAAAATGCATGAAATAGTGGGATAATACAGGCTTCACCGTCTCAGCTGCCGCCGGATGAGCCCGATTGATCCCTGTTTTGAACGAAAATCGGCGGACTTAATCGGGCGTCTCGGGCTGTCGCAGGCGTCCTTTGACTGGGGCGTTGCCTGAGGTTGCAGGGCGGGGCGTGCTTAATAGGTTGCTGCCGTTCATTCATTCATTGTTTGTCGCGCTAAGAAAAGTTGGTGTCGCGTCCGGGCAGTCTCCAAGACGCGACTTGCCTTAAAACCTCCCTCGACCTCCACGTCAATTTTGCATCCCCCATTTCCTCGACATACCACAGCAACCGCCAGACTCTGGATAATTCTTTCATCTCTCCTTCAAGCGTCACACAATCTTTGGACGCTGCTCTCTCTTGTAGCTGCTCCTATAAGCAGGGAAGAGCCTTGCATTAGCTTTGCATCCGATTCATCCCGCCCTCACCCTCCTCCCCCCTCACCCACCGCCATCATGTTTGTCAGAAAGCGCGGTATGTTTTGACTTGACTCTGATCATGATGTATCATGACAGCTGATAATCTCTCAGATGGACGCCAGGAGCGCGTCCAGTTCGACAAGATCACCGCCCGTGTCTCGAGGCTCTGTTACGGCCTTGACATGGACCACGTTGACCCTGTTGCCATTACCCAGAAGGTCATCTCGGGTGTCTACGGTGGTGTCACAACTGTCCAATTGGACGATCTCGTAAGTCCTCTCCATCATGATTGCTTCTGCAGCCAGCTGACCCGACCTCACAGGCTGCCGAGACTGCGGCGTACATGACCGTCACCCACCCCGACTACGCCATCCTGGCGGCCCGTATCGCCGTCTCCAACCTCCACAAGCAGACCAAGAAGCAATGGTCCGCTGTCGTGAGCGACCTCTACCACTATGTCAACCCCAAGAACGACCGGGCGTCGCCCATGATCTCCCAAGAAACATATGAGTGCGTCATGCGACACAAGGAGGAGCTAGACTCCGCCATTGTCTATGACCGTGACTTCCAATACCAATACTTTGGCTTCAAGACTCTTGAGCGATCCTACCTCCTGAAGATTGATGGCAAGATTGTTGAGCGCCCCCAGCACATGATCATGCGTGTGGCTGTCGGCATCTGGGGTGACAATATTGAGCGTGTCCTCGAGACTTACAACCTCATGTCGAGCAAGTTCTTCACTCATGCCTCCCCCACCCTCTTCAACGCGGGTACTCCCCAGCCTCAGCTCTCCTCATGCTTCCTTGTCGACATGAAGGAGGACAGTATTGAGGGTATTTATGATACTCTCAAGACTTGTGCCATGATTTCCAAGATGGCTGGTGGTATTGGCCTGAACGTGCACCGAATCCGTGCCACTGGTTCTTACATCGCCGGTACCAACGGTACCTCCAACGGTGTTACCCCCATGCTCCGTGTCTTCAACAACACTGCCCGATACGTCGATCAGGGTGGCAACAAGCGACCTGGTGCCTTTGCCATCTACCTTGAGCCCTGGCACGCAGATGTCTTTGAGTTCCTTGATCTGCGCAAGAACCACGGCAAGGAGGAGGTCCGCGCTCGCGACCTGTTCCTGGCTCTCTGGATTCCCGATCTCTTCATGAAACGTGTCGAGAAGAACGGTGACTGGACTCTCATGTGTCCCAACGAGTGTCCCGGCCTCGCCGACTGCTACGGTGAGGAGTTCGAGGCTCTGTACGAGAAGTATGAGAAGGCCGGTAAGGGTCGCAAGACCATGAAGGCTCAGAAGCTCTGGTATGCCATCCTCGAGGCTCAGACCGAGACTGGTAACCCCTTCATGCTCTACAAGGATCACTGCAACCGCAAGAGCAACCAGAAGAACCTGGGTACCATTCGCAGCTCCAACCTGTGCACTGAGATCATCGAGTACTGTGCCCCTGATGAGGTTGCTGTCTGCAACCTTGCCTCCCTCGCCCTTCCCTCTTTCATCAACTACGACGAGGCGTGCTATGACTTCCAGAAGCTGCACGAGGTCACACAGACTGTCGTTCGCAACCTGAACAGGATCATCGATGTGAACCACTACCCCGTTCCTGAAGCTCGCAACAGCAACATGCGACACCGACCCATTGGTGTCGGTGTCCAAGGTCTTGCCGATGCTTTCCTTGCTCTGCGCATGCCTTTCGAGTCTCCTGAGGCTCGAGAGCTGAACAAGCAGATCTTTGAGACCATCTACCATGCTGCCCTTACTGCTTCCGTGCAGCTCGCCAAGGAGGAGGGTCCCTACTCTACCTTCAAGGGCTCTCCTGCCTCTGAGGGTATTCTCCAGTTCGACATGTGGAACGTGAAGCCCTCTGACCTCTGGGACTGGGAGTCTCTCAGGGAGCAGGTCAAGGAGCATGGTACCCGCAACAGTCTGCTGCTTGCCCCCATGCCCACTGCCAGCACTTCGCAGATCCTGGGTAACAACGAGTGCTTCGAGCCTTACACCTCCAACATCTACCAGCGTCGTGTCCTCGCTGGCGAGTTCCAGGTCGTTAACCCCTGGTTGCTCAAGGATCTCGTCGATATGGGCCTGTGGTCGGATTCCATGAAGAACCGAATCATTGCTGAGAACGGTTCCATCCAGAACATCCCCAATATCCCCGCTGAGGTCAAGGCTCTCTACAAGACCGTTTGGGAGATTTCCCAGCGCCAGGTCGTCCAGATGGCGGCCGACCGAGGTGCCTTCATTGATCAGTCCCAGTCTCTCAACATCCACATGAAGGACCCCACCATGGGCAAGATCACCAGCATGCACTTTGCCGGCTGGAAGCTCGGTCTGAAGACGGGCATGTACTACCTGCGAACGCAGGCTGCCGCTGCTCCCATTCAGTTCACTGTCGATCAGCAAGCTCTCAAGGTTGCCGACGCCAACTCGGCCCAGATCCGACCTCTGAAGAAGCGCGCTCCTCCCGCCGGCTCCAGCTATCTGATTTCGTCGCCCTCGTCCTTTTCTGGGGCCTCTCTGAACGGAGGCAGGCCCGCCGCCTCTGGCAACCCCCGAGGCCAGGCTACTATTCCCGGCCGGGCACCTTCCATCAAGGCTGACCCCGAGGAGGGTGACAGCCCCAAGGCCCTCCCTACCGAGCCTGCTGAAAAGATCAAGGAGGAGGAACTGAGCCTCAAGAAGAGCGAGCAGTCCGAGGATCAGGACAAGGATAGCGAGGAACGTGAGCGGGACATCTACTCTGATGCCGTCCTACAGTGTAAGTGACATGATGCCTTGTTTGATGAATGACAACGCTAATCCTATGGTTTACAGGTAGCATTGAGAACCCCGAGTCCTGCATCATGTGCAGTGGCTGAACAACACGGACTGCTGGCGGAATGTGTGTGTGTTAATGACAATCGATGAGATGAAAACGAAGGCATGGTTGGAAGCATGACATGATGGACAGAGAAATGTAATGGATCGGCACTGGGTATTTGCTTGAGTAGGTTGCATAGGTTATGTTGCGAGTTGGACTGGGTCGGCTCGTTCTGGTATTTGTTGTAGTAATGCTTGATTCGCGTCTAGATAGTGAGTATTGATGCTTGCGCGTCACCAAAAAAAGATACCATTAAATCTCTCTGGGCATGATTGTGACATGGTGACTGCGGCTGGCCGACTGGTATGGCATATCGCTGATGCCAGCTGTCCAGCAAAGGCAGGGCTTCGTCAATATCCACGGATATCTTTCGTTGATCGTAGGGTAGGTACGGAGTAGCAGCGCGGAAGTGGGATATGAAGGTCTGGGGTAAGGCATCCATTATTTCTCATGGCTTTTCACCCAGACCACACGTTAGGGCTCAGACAATATCTTTAGCGCTTGCCCCGTGACAGGTATGGATGAGGGTCAAATAGAATATGGCATCGAATACCATCTGCTTCCTCGACAATATCTCTGAGCAACAAACAATAAATGAGACTAGCTAGCCTACATTGGAGAGGCATCGGGATCACCGCCGAATGGGTATGGGCAATTTGCTAGCTATCAAAATTGAGAGAAAAAAGTGAGACAAGCGTCTGTTAGTATCCAGGGATGCTGGAAGCGATGGTCTCGGCCAGGCCCATCAACGCAAGGTGGATCAAGGCCAATGGTGGTTGCCGGCACCTTTCGAGGTTGGTGCAGAGACGGACTGTGCAAGCTCAGCTGAAGAGGGTGGTGATCCACCACAGCCTAGCCTTGTGAGTCCCAAGGGCGACCACGGCCCCTTACCTTAGTCCTCCCTTTGGACGCGGACTCTCACGCTCGGATTTTTTGTCTAAGACGCTGGGCAGGCACAGGGTCGGCGATGCAGACGGACAGTCGACTTGAGCTCAGATCAAGGGGCTCATCACAGCGATCGCAGCTGTGTACCAGGAGTCGAGATGAAAAAGGCCTGCAAGCTGCACACACTAGTGGACCACGAGGTGGCACGGGTCGCGCAGCTGTAGCGTGGGTTGGCTGCACTCAATTTGTGCGACTTTGGAAATGATTGCTTGTTTCAAGAAGCGTACAGTACCAACCTCGCCATCTCAGAGACCACAGAGGGGCAATCTCTGATGCTGTGAGGGAGGCTTGAGTATGCATCTCTTGCAAGGAGCGGGTAAAGAAGGGAGATCGCGAGACAACAGAGACTCAGCCACATCGATTACCTGTGTCAGTTGTCCAACTGTCTTGGCACTCATGCCTTGATCTCTCGATTTTGGAGGAGCGGTCTAGGATCAGGCGCAGCGACCTGTTCATCCTCTCTTGAAGGCCCTGTCAGTCCAAATGGTGACCCCCAGAACACATAGATGAAACGAGTGAGCTGTAATCAGGCATCGTCCGTTGGCTTACAGGACGGCGCTGCCGGTCCTCAGACCGTCATCGTGACGGTATGGTAGCATTGTAGATCGAAATCTGGGGTGGTCAGTGACGTTGGATGGAGGCTCGCCTGCTCCAGCTCGACAGGGCCACGTCGGGCTTGGCTTTGGGCGGTCGCAAAACCGATCATGGTCCGATCAATGACATCAAGTCGCACCGGTTAGCCGGACCCCCTGACTCGCTTGGCCTGTGGCTTGAGTGGCTTGAGAGGTGGAGTGGCTAGGTCACTCCAGAGCCACCCGCAGCCAGCTGAACAAGGGAGGGAACTCAAGGCATTGATTGAGTTTTGATGTTGACGAGTGGGACGGTGCGGGCAGACGAGGAGTTGTGTGGGGTTATCGTTTGATTGATTCGAGCGGAAAATCACCGCAACTTTCTTGGCTTCGGGGGAATGATGCTGTAGACTTTGCTAGAAACCTGATGGAAGGACGAAAGCGAAAATGACCGGAGACGGAATAATTGGCAGACCTGGCAAATACGTGTTGACACCCGAAAATCAGGTTCGGTGTGCATCCTGCTGTACCTTGCTTCCTACATGTGTACATTAGACATGGGGACACACCACCTCATGAACGAGAATCTTGAATCGAACAAAAAAGTTCCCCGCGAAAAGATGATTCCGCTTTCCGGTTGCCAGGGAATCAGAGGCTGGTTGGTGACCTCAACTTGGTGGCTGCGGTGGGCTAGCCAGGGTGGTTGGAGCAGGGGTGATTGACCAATCGGACGTGGCCGTAGGTCCATCGGCCGACGACAACTGACCTCATTGTCGAGGGTTGGACACTTGGAAGGATGGCGCTGGTTTGCTTTTTTCCCTGGTACTGCGAGAAATATGCCATATCACACGTGTTATGGGTGGTTGATGGAGGTGAAAGCCGGGATAGGGTCTAGATTTGAAACGGTACCACTTGATCGTGATTGCTTGCTTCTTTCCTGATGCTGTGAGTGGTTGCCGTGGCAGATTGTTTCGTTGCTGGGTGGCAGGGCAGGAGCATGCTGTCGACCACTTCACTTCAGGTTCTCGTGCGAGGGGACGAGGGGACGAGGGGCAGTGGTCATCATGTCCGCCGACCTTTCTCTTAGCTGTGGCCGTCTTCCGGCTGGGCGTATGGGGTCCTGCCTTGATCAGAGGTTTCTGTCGAGAGCTTCGTCATTGGGTTTGCCCGAGCGGATCAGCCAGCCAGCCTCTCCAGACAGACATTCGTGATCTTGTCTCTGCTGAGACTCGCAACATCGGCCAAATTGGAGGCTACCCGAAGCTTGTCGGTCGGCACTTTTTGAACAGAATTTTCCCGCTTGTTCCAGCTGTGCTGGGGACTACAGACGAAACCGGTAAATGGGGGCTTGGGGGGCTTCCGTTGCGGCGTCGAGAGCTAGAGATCCGTTTTAGCGTCCGGCCGAGAGAATCGTCGGGCTGTGGCCTGTCCATGGCTCCAGCTCCCAATCCCTGGCAGGCGTGATGTGGGTGCCGATGTGGGTGGTGGGCGGGCGATCTTAGCGTGGCAGCCCGGGCAGCGGGCTGCGAGAAAGGCTGCATCCCAGCCTGCCTGCCACGCCTTCCCTCCAACCTTCTTTCTTTTGCGCGGCCTGCCAGCTCGCTCGCTTGCTCCCTCCTTCTTCAGTCTGGCTGCAGCTTGCTTCCTCGACAACGGGTGCCATTGACGATCTGGTGTCTGCTCCCCGCTGTATTGCCGTAACAGATTGGATCCCGCTTCTACCTGTCAAAAGTCAAACGTCCCAGCCTCCAAGCAGAAAAGCTCTTGGGCATGATAATGCACTGTACGAATACATTGACTGGGCACCTAATGTAAAACAAACAACGGGACTTACACCACCTGACGTGGATGAGTTGTTATCTGGTACCTAGCCTGTTTGGTGGGGCCGTGAATGCTGGCAGGGGTCACCCTCGCCTGCCGGCCATGGTCTGACCTCATTGTATCGCTCGCAGACGACAGCAGCAAGCTCTGTCGAACCCATTCTTGCTTGATGTTGCCCTGGCTTTTAGTTTGCACAGCAACACGAATTAGGCAGATGCCATTGCTTGGCTCATTGATTCACTCTCGTCATTGACAAGAATCCCCGCAGAAAAACCACATCCGAGTCAACATGGGGGGCCTCCCGTCGAGCTTGTCTACACAGGCCGGCCGGCTTGTGGAGTTGAGGTACCTCTAGCTCCAGCAGCTGGAGCTTGCTACTAGCGTGGCCACTCCCGGCCGCCTCCTCGAGATAGGTGCCCACTTTGTGACGAGCTTCGAGACTGAGGTGCATCTGTGCAAGCTCAAGCCGTGCCTTCCTTCCTGCCAGTTCCAAGTAGACCGCCAGTGCCAACCCGGGAACCCCAGTTCACTAGGCCGGTTGGCACTTTCCTCGCAGCTGGCAAGCACTGCATGCAAGTGCCCGCCAAGATTCTGGTTGCTGCGCTCCCTCCCTCCTTCCCGTCTTTAAAACAACGGCTCCTCCTCGCCCTTCCTCTTGTTCCACCTCTCATCACCAGCCTCGAGAACTTTCTCATTCCTACACCTCCACATCCTCTCACACGCTTCTCCCTTGAGTTCAGCTCTCGCACTCTCTCGAGTCCAACGCCTTCGTTTGTGCCCCAGTCACATATCAGTTACCATCACGGTAAGTCGCTACCCTACCGCCTCGTCTCTGCTCAGCTCAGCTCCGCCTTTGGTGCTGCTGGCATTGTTCCCTTCCCGTCATTCTTGCCTCATTTCGGTTTGGTCCTTGTGCTCTCGAGCTGGGGCATCGAGATTGTAGATTGCATTACATGGTGTTCCCACGCCCCAGGCTACCCAATTCTCGCTCTCGTTCTTCTCGGCACTTCCATACGTCGTGTGGTACGGATCCCCTGGCCTTGTCTCACGCAAACACCGTGTGTGTTGTCAGGAGCAGGCCTCCGGTCCGCTTGGTTTTCCAAGTGTAAAGCTGTTTGCACTGCCGCAGTGATTCACTCATCCCACGTTTATATCCCATGGCCCAGCCCATGTTCACATCTCCCTCACACCCACCTTCGTTCACGTCATCTCTCTCGTTAACAAGGCTTCCCCGAACTCAACTAACTCGCCGGCAGACCTCGATTTTCCATCGACTTGTCAACAAGCACATTCGTCAAGATGAAGTCCACGATCCTCTCCGTCTTCGGCCTTGCCGCCACCGTTGTTGCTCAGAGCGCTGGTGACCTGCCCCAGTGTGGTGTAAGTTTTGTTTGAGCAGCTGAAAGTCTGGACATTAGTTGACCTTTGATAGCAAACTTGTGCTGGCAACATGATCGGTGCTGAGAAGTCTTCGGAGCTTGGCTGTGACACTGGTGATCTTCAGTGCCTTTGCACTAACCAGAACTTCATCTACGGTCTCCGTGACTGCTCTCGTGCTATTTGCAACGAGGAGCAGGCCGCTCAGGTTCTGGAGTACGGTCTCTCGGTCTGCCGACGTAAGTTTATCGCCTCTCTTGACATATATGCATCTAACATTCTTCACAGAGGCTGGTGTTGCCATCACCACTGGCGCTTCTGGCACCGTTTCCGCCACACCCACTGTTTCTGGCATTGTCCGAACCGTCCTCAGCACCATTGTTTCTGGTGACTCCACCATCGTTTCTGCCGTTTCTACCATCAGCGCTGCCGCTAGTGACACCGAGGATGATGAGACCGTTTCTACCTACACCAGCGTCTTCACCAACTCTGATGGTGATGTTGTCACCACCACTGGAGAGACCACCATCGGTGCCGCTGGTGCCCAGGTTACCACTTTCACCTCTGACGGTACCGAGATCGTCCGAACCCTGGAGACTGAGACTGCCACCGACGACGAGGACGAGAACGTTACCACCTTCACCTCTGGCGGCACCAAGATTGTCAGCACTCTGGTGACCAAGACTGCTACTGATGATGAGGAGACCGTGTCCACCTACACCAGCGTTTTCACCAACTCTGATGGTGATGTTGTTACCACCACCGGCGAGACCACCATCGGTGCCGCTAGTGCCCAGGTTACCACCCTCACTTCTGACGGCACTGAGATCGTCCGAACTTTGACCACTAAGACTGTCAAGACCGGTTCCGAGACCGGTTCCGCCACCGAGACCGTTAGTGACGCCTCTACCGCCACCGAGACTGAGGGTTCCACCGAGACTGAGGGTTCCACCGAGACCGGCGAGTCGAGCGAGACTGGAACTGCCACTGGCACTGGTGAGGCCAGCGAGACCACTAGCACTGGCAACGCTGTACGTATTCCCATTTCACTGCTCTGATATCAATCACTAACCAAATCATAGGCTGTTCCCCAGATGACCGCTGCCCCTGCTGGCATGCTTGCCGCCGCCGGTCTTGCTATGCTCCTTCTGTAAATGAGGGATGCTGTTGTCTAATGCTTGATGTTTTTCACGTTGCACATGTTTGATACATAATTCCCGTCTGTACTTCGATCTTTGGGACCCCGTAACATATTTCCTCGATGCAGGAATTCGACTTCGGGACGATCTTCGGAAAGGAGAAATGAAAACGAGGTGAATGAACATGACGGTTCGGTTTTTGGGAGGTTTTAATGACGCATACGGCTTATCTTTCGTTGTAATGGAATGACGAAATGCTAGAGGGAAGGGATCTCGATGTTGAGTGTGACGATGAGGAAGGGGCGTTGACTTGGGAGATGACGACGGGAGACGGCAGACGTTGTGATGCCGTCGCGCAAGACGTGTCATCTCTCAGAGCAACACATGGGTTCAGGGGAGCGTGATACCCGGCCTACGGCCTGACTTCGGTGGAGGATTTTTCTTCTCGCATTCATTGAGAAACATTAATAGATAATCTTTTTGACCACGATGATTTCCTGATGCCGTGAGATGTGACTGGTGTGACATGTGAAGGGTTGGATCTTGAGCTGGATAACCCTAATTAGGAGTGGGTCTATGCCTAGGACATGAACAGGCACATGGTTGTTTAGAAATGATGCATTTAGATATTCAAGTAGATTCTTATTTAAATACTAACAGGTTTTCGTGAGCCCGCTGCTCTTCAGTTCAGATGCTCGCAGCTTCCCATGATATCAAAAACAAGTAAAGACCGATAATTTTAACCGTGCACCAACAACGCCTATGCCTGTCCCTGTGGTGGGAACTTGTCGGCCTTTCAAAGGCCAGTCTAGTGCAACATGGACTTTCCAATCTCGCTCTCCCAATCCTTTGCTCGCTCGAAACCGTTGGAGTGTGTTTGGTAATCGAACAGGGCCTTGGCTACCTCCTCCTTGGAGGTCAAGACAAAGGGACCGTACTGAACGACAGGCTGGTCGAGAGGGGTGCCAGCAACAAGAGCCAGTCGTGCAGGCTTGGTCGCGCCAGCGTCAACCTCGAAGTGGACGACGTCGCCCTGGGGCTCAAAGACGATGTTGTGAAACTGCTCAACGACTCGGCGCTGGTCATCCTTTCCAACAATCACGTCGCCCTCGAGGGTGTAGGCAAAGGCGTTCCAGTTCTGGGGAAGAGGTTGAGTGATCTTTCCACCAGGGCGGATCTCAATGTCGAGGATCCAGACAGGGGTGTAGGCGAGGTCCTTGACAGAGTCGATGCCGTGGCTCTGGCCGGAGATGACCTTGACGGTCACTCGGTCGTCGTCGACCTTGGCGATGGGGATCTCGGAGGCGCGGAGATCGCGGTAGCGAGGCTCGCAGGCCTTGAGGTTGCTGGGCAGATCGACCCACAGCTGGAGACCAACATTGGTGTCAAAGTTCTGGGCGGGCATCTCGCTGTGGACGATTCCCTTGCCGGCAGTCATGAACTGAAGGTCGCCGGCATGGATGGTTCCCTTGTTACCGGCGAAATCTTCATGATCAACGCCGCCCTCGAGGAGATAGGTGATGGTCTCCTGGCCTCGGTGGGGACTTTGGGGGTGTTAGTGATGAGACGGGAAGTGGGGTTAGAGGAACACATACTGATCAGGGAAACCAGCGCCGGGCTTGATGGAGAAGTGGTCGAGCATAAGAAAGGGTGAGAAGTTTCGCAGCTGAGGAGTTCCGATTGAGCGTCGGACGCGGGCACCAGCGCCCTCGGACTGCTCAATGGCGAGGAAGACCTTGCGGATGGTTCGAGAGACAGACATTTCTGTAGCGTAAAGGTGATGGTCTGTGTTTGTTTTGTTGTTGGAGATGAAAAAGGCAGCGGGTGTCAGTGTCTTTATAAACTCAAAGGCGACAGTTGTTGTGTCTTGGATACGATGCTGGAAGAGTACAATGGCAGTGAGAGCAACCAAGAGTGAGATGATTGTGATGATGTTTCGAAAGAGGGTCATGTCCAAGAATGGCGGCCGACGAGGGGGACTTAAATAGATGTGAGAGGGGTAAAAACGATGAGAATATGCTTTCCCAAGCAAAGACAAATGCGACAACGATGGGTTAGAAGTACATCGAAGCAGCTCCAATTGTCCAATTGCCCATGGCGATTCAGCCGGTGGGGACAAAAAAGTTGGGAGGTTTGTCACTTTTACATCAGCAGAGGCATAACGCTTGTGGATTTGGTGGGTTTGGTAAGGCTGACCCAATCGTCGGCTAAAGAGGCGCGATTACTAAGGGTGACGAGATGGTTGGTGGGCTTCTTTCATTCCACAAGAACTCACTTCTATTGATGATGATTTTGAAGTTTATTAGTTTTCGGGGTTTATAGATTTTCATTTCTGCTCTCTACTTTGAATCTAATCAATGGCAATGGGGTGCTTCGTGTTACATCAGGGACCACACTCGAGTCACCAGAAACGAACATCACCAACATGAGCCAAATAGCATGACTATCAAGTCTGAAAGTCCCAAATACAAGTAAATTGGCACATACCCCATGTAAACCCAATCGTTGATCAAGTATCCGAGCGATAAAACCGAGGTTGCATCTACGCCAACAGTCACATCATGACAACAGTGGATACCTCCCTACCCATGATGGGTGGGCTCTTAGCAAACGGCCCAGCATCGAACCTGGCCATAAGAAACGGCGTGTCTAGTGCATCATGCATCATGATCTGATATCTCGGAAGCTAATTGATAAGCGGCAGATGAGTTGCATGCAGGTCCATCATGACAGCTAATATGTGACCATCATGCGCTGGTCAGCTTACGTCTTGTGCATGGGTACTGAAGTCATGACACTCTTTTGTCAAATCTTGTCAGTGACTCGTACTGTCGGTAGCTTAGTGTGTTGTCAAGAGACCTTTGATGTAAATCGCAGCTATCAGTTCAAGACTCTTACACAGCATGGCCCTGGCTGGTCAATTGGAGAGCAGTGCCTCTCCCGGTTTCGGACTTTGTCAAGATCAAGGCACAGGGACTGATAAGACTTGACGAATGAGCGCAGCTTGTCCCATATGTATCTCCGCCTCTTGCAGAGAATACCACGGCAGATAGACACAGGGTTTATGCCACAATGCCGGCAGAGTAAAAGCCAGTGCCACATAACGCCGCAGTGCTGGACCCGGAGGCCAGTCGCAAGTCCACGTCAATGATTACACGTAAGAAAAGGCCATGGCTAATATCAAAGAAGGACCGCATCCTCGAATAACCATTACTTCCTCCCTCTTGAACAGATCCTGACTACAGCTCCTCCACCTCATCCCCTAGATAACCCATCTCATGGAACAGTCGCAGAGTCTTGGGCGACTGCGGATCACAGAGTACCACTCCATGCCCAACAAGATGCTCAGTGACCATCCGATACATGTACTCAGCCTCGTCTTCATATACAGACATCTCAATCTCCATCAGGTGCAACGTCCCAGCCACAACATCATCCAGCTTAGCCTTGCGACCCAAGATCTCTACCTTCCACTTGCCATCAGGGAACGGTCCATACGGAACAAGTCCGTCCCAGTTAATCTCATGATACGTCTCTGCAAAACGAACCTGCTCGGCGCTCCAGATCCTGCGTTTCTCCCCGCTAAGGGAGTATCGCTCGCCACAGGTATACAGCACACGATCACCGTAGCGATCCCACACGCACTCAGCCGTCGGCGGCGTATAGAGCGGCTTCTCGTTAAAGCGCACCTTTATAACAGAAAATGGCGAACCTTTGTTTATCTTTGTGCGAAACATGACGCCTTGCTGGGCATGTGACGGGGGCAGAGTGTCAAAGTAGGTGATGGGGTTCCGTTTATATGGGGGGCGAACATGATCGCCCAGCTTCTCGAGCACCGTCTCTGGATCGCGATCGCATATCGACCACTGGAGATGAGTCTTGTTTCCGGATGTTTGACTGAGCGAGGGGGAGGCGAGAAGTATCCAAGTGAGGGGTGTGTGGAACTTCATTTTCTCCCAAGTATCATGGTGCAAGTTGTAAGGGAACTATTGCACAGGACGATGAACGAAAAGATAGTCGGGTTCAAGTTTATATATATACAAATCGAGCGTGAAAAGGGGCTTGGCTTTGTACATGCGATGATCAATGTCTCACCCGCCAGCCTCGTTTTTTTTCTTCTTCTTTTGTGGCGGACAAGCCTAGTGATTACACGGCGATGAAGCCATCATGTCCTCATGACAGGCAGGACAAACTAGGGTCTGGTGTTTAAAAAAGAATGTCAGCGAACAGCCACGCGCCCAATCACGCCACCGAATTGACACTCCAACATCCGCGATCTTTTGTTTTGCTCCGGAGATCGAGTAGCAGGCGAACTTATCTTGGGAGGAGCATGTGAGCACGGAACCTAGGCGCCTGGTGTGCCAGCCATGAAACTCAGCGGGAGGTTGAGACAATGTATGCTTATCAGTTTCTCGTTAATGTGATTGTTTCTAGGGTGGTCTAGCGTTGGGTTAGGAGCAGATATGGCTTCTCTCTAGGCTGTTGTGTAATTCCTCGATATGCTGTTCAACGTAGTAGATCCGATATCACGACAACAAACAAGCCGTCAAAATGAATACCGCCGAGGGAACACAAACATGACTTCCACGTAACCCTCAAAACACGATAACAAATCCCAACTCTAACACATCTACCTCTTCATAGAGGACGTGACTCACGTGCTTGTGCTTGATGGGTTGCTTCGCCACCGAGTCTAATATCTAGGTATAGGGTAGCTAGTTTATACTTGAATACTTCAAGATGATACTCACAACCTGATATATACAGAGTTTCAGGGCTGAATGATCACACATGCCAAGGAAATGATACACCTTGATCTGGAAGTCGGCATCTTTCAATTCCTCACTCCTTGATGCCAAAAACATGTGCAAACCATATGCTCATGAACCTCTCCCGATGCCACTAGTTCCCATGGTTGATCAACCCGAGGCCTGAAACCCAGCCAATCATGAAGCAAAGTCCGGGGAGTGCTCGTCAATGATCATCTTAGATCCATGGCAGCCAGAGTTTGGCGGCTCGTCAAAAACTCTTCTCTTGACTGTCAGCAATGCGTTGGCGAGGCGTTCTCATGGCTTGCGCCGCGTCCATGCAGAACGAACTTGGGCTCGCTTATGTTCGGGAGAACCGCCAGCCATGAACTGCAGAGCTCGGAAACCTGCCGACTCAAGGGGCTTTTGTATCCCGGGGATCCTCACCAACCAGAGAGATAACAGCTAGATCTACAACGCCTACATAGGGCTATCTCTTAGCCCAATGCAGGGAGTGACCGGTCAGCCTCTGCCCCACACCAGCTCGCCTTGATCATCCTGGGGTTGAGCCATCGCGACAGGACATGATTTTCACTCAACGACAACATCAACATCGAATCCTGCATCTGTCCAAGAAGGACTCAGCCACGTGCCGTCCCAGCGCCCGACTGTGCATGCAGTGTCGAGTATCGTTACCAACCATCGGAGCATGCATGTTGCTTAGTTGACCGTTGACATGTCGGACCAGATTTGCGTTTTATGGCACACACATCACAGACAAGTCAGCAGGCTCTCCTCAATCCTCACCAAGATGGGAAAAGAAACGCGACCAAAGCCTGGCATGATACCAGGAAAAAGAAAAAGAAACCAACAGAGCAGGGTATAGCATCCAAAAGTCCACGCCGGACTCATCGGAAACCATACAATCAATCACCTTGGCCCTTAAGGTTTCTGCAGTCAGCCCTCATTGGAAATTGGTCGAGCGGCGCTGTTGATGTTGCACGTAGCGCTTGTCACCCCTCCTTCCAAAATCTGCATCGCCCGCCCAAGAGGAATGATGGCGTGTCTGTGTCCTCACTTGCCAAGTCGATCGCGGAAGATTGCCCCGGGAAGACTTGACCGACACGGTTACCCGACATGCCCAGGCTGGCTCTGCTCTGTCGAGGACGCGCCGAGAAATGAAAGCTGGAGAGTGTAAACTTGGAGATGCGGGATCTAAGATGGTCGGTCTCGGATAATGCCCCTCCTACCTAGAAGGAGGGTAAGTTAAGTTGGACATGGGGTAAACTCCACGGGGAAGGGACCCTTTGTCCCGACATGCATCGCCTCATTGCGACTTCGTTTGCGTGTAGCGAAACCATCTGTAGCGAACCTCACAGAAGCGATCCAATGCGCGAGCAAACACACACATCGAGGACGGGATGGACGAGCGGATGAGGTGACGGCCTGTCGTCGAACATGCCATTATCAGCACTGGTCGGTGCTCCGAGCCAGGTCCGTTATTCGAGACTCATGATTGAGGCCGATGCATCAGGAACCGGGACCGGCTGTCGGAGGGTTACACAACAAGGGACGGACGGCCGGTCCCATTGGCCTGCTTTTTTTTCGTATGAAGCTTCCGGGGACATGTTTGAATCCCTTGCCTGGCCTGGCCGTGTCTCGCATCGCAGTCGCAATATTTGATCAACTTTTGACATGTGAATGTGGCTGCCAGTGGGCCGTGGGGCATCGCATCGCGGGACTGACGACTTCAACGACAGGGGAACGCCGGAGGTGCATGCCACGCAGCAGGGGGTTCAGTCCGGATTACAAGGGTTCCGTGGGGCCCTTGGTCGGTCGATAAGGCATTGGCGATGCCATCAACGTGATGCGGCAAAGGAGAAGAGGTTGAAATAGGAAGCGAATTCGTGACCACGGGACTAAGCGACCGAGAACAGGGCCGCTTTTCTAGAATCAACCTCGACCACCTGGCTTGGCACCCGAGGCCATTCATCAAGCTCGTGCCTGATATCGTCGTGTAGCCGCGGCAGCAGCTGGAACGAATCCCGCCAAGTTGGGCATGGGGGCGGGACGTCCCTTATCAATTTCTCTGTTTTCGCCTCGACGCAGCAATCCAGAAGACTCGAGCCAAGCCAGACGACACCGTATCCGGCTTGTTTTCGCGCGGGTGCGTCTGGACATGTCGTAGTAGTGAGTAATTGAGCATGCTTGGGCTCAAACTCTCCAATGCAGAGAGCGGTTGGCCTGGTTGGATCCAATGCTTCCATGATATCTGTGCGCCATGTCTAACAGGGCAAATCTGTTGACGGAGAGCCAATCGCTGTGCCATTCCACGCCGAGCACGAGGGAGGAGGGAGACGAATGAAGAGATAAGACGCGGATGGAGATTGGAGGCGCGCCTTGACGACAGCCACTGACCAAGCGCTTGTGCGCCAACACAGACTCGGATGGGATCCGGTTGAAACGCAATCATGACGAGGAATGAGGTTGTAGTGTAGTGTAGCTGCAGGCGCTTCCACAACTTCTCACATTTGGCTCTCGGATTCTCGTGTATACAGATCCCGGTTGGAGAAGACGTGAGGTCAAAATGCTCCAATTCACAAGCCGGCAGAAAGCCCTGGATCAGGATCAGGATCAGGATCACCGATCCGTTTGATCCATCCCAACGCCAAGTCCCGTCCGAATTACCAGAACGAGCACATCTCACCCGTCGCGGCTAGGCGCAATCTGTGATCAACGCCAAGGGTTACGTGGCGTTGAATGTTGGCGAATGTCATAGCTGCAGGATATGGAAGGGCAAAGTACTCGGCAGATGGCTTTTGCTTTGTTGGGAGAGCGAGCGAACGGGTTGATTCATGAAACTGAGAGTGGATGGTGAAAAAAAGGTCTCTTACTCTGTGTCTTGTCTTGGTGGAGGGGAAGGAGGAGCCACTTTCACATGCCAGATCAACAGGGGGCATGAGCAAGCGCAAGAGCAGGCAAAGAGCAAACAAGAGCCTCGACAGGGATGGAGGAAGAGCACAGCAGCTTAAGCCCAGCAAAAGGAATGGGGCTTCAGAGTGTGCGGCTGAGTGGAACCACTCTCTGCTCCAGCACCGATGGTGTCACGGCGGCCCAACAGCACCCCACCACGCGCAATACTGTACCTTGTGAGGTTTTTGATCTGATTGTCACAGGCCGTCAAGACGTGCGTGTGGCTTTGTAGGAAGCAGGGACTGAAACACCAGCTCGAGACAATCAGCGGAAAAATAAGAGCAATGAGGATCAAATGCCATATCAAAAGGGAGACTCAACAACGCCCCAGGAACATATGAGAGACAGCTGACGGAACCAGGGACCAGCCACAGGTACAAGCTTGAGGCGAACCAAAAGGTACCCCACCCACCAAGAATAGCTGGAATCGATACCCGGTAGAGTACCAGCACATGCTCACCCGCATGCGCGCATGCACATGCTAACGCTGCCATGGATGGGTGGATGAGGTAGCTCGCGATGGCAAAAAGCTACCATCTACACGCCTAGTGGACGGCCTCTCCAGTGGTTGAGGTACATCCTCCCTTACCTTGCTATACCCCCAATTCCCTGATACGGACATCAACTTAATTGCTACCTTCCTACACTCTACCTACGTTCGCGGCCGGAACCTGGCCTGCTTGTGGCGTCCCACCATCCATACCTCCTCTTACATATCCATATCACTGCCCTCCCGCTCGGAGCTGTTTTGTCTCTCCCTCGTCTCCTTTTTAGCCTCCGCTGGACCCCTTCCACTGCTGCATCTTGTCTTCTCATCATCTCCTCATCCTTTTCCGTCAGCTAAAAGCCGTCGCCTATCCTGTCCCTCTTGCTCAGGGTTTCCCTTGCTATCTTGCGGTACTTCGTCACCTTGTCGTCATATCAGTCCGACACCTGCCGCGACTCGATCGACCGAGCCCATTTGGCTTATCTATTCCCCAACCATAAATCAGTTCCCGCTTATACCGGCTCCTCGCCCAGCACACTCACAAACTCATCACAATGTCTTCTCCTCAGGTCAACGGTGATGTGAGCGCTGCTCACTCGGCGTTCATCCAGGTATGCGTCATTGGTCTGGTCCTATCACATGCTTTGACTTCGCGACTAACATCAAGGCGCGATAGCATCTCCTCGCCTACCCCGTCATTAGCGACGGCGTCCACACTTTCAAGGCCAACGAATACGGCCAGAAGTCTATCCAGCTCAGCGACGCCGCTTACCAGACCTTTGCCGCTCCCGTTATTCCCTGGTTTCAAAGGCCCTACCAGTATGTCTCGCCTTACGTCCAGAAGGTCGACTCCCTCGGCGACAAGACCCTCGACCGCATCGACGAGCGATTCCCCGTTGTCATGAAGCCCACCGAGGAGCTTTACAACAATACCAAGGGCCTCATCCTTCTCCCCTACCACAAGGGCCTCGAGGGTCGGGACCACGTCTTTGAGGTGTACAGCTCGGAATACAAGAAGAACGAGCAACCGGGCCTCGTCGCTCACGGAAAGGCCGCCGTTATCACTGCGCTCGTCGTTAGCAACGAGACGCTCTCTTGGATCAGCTCCTTCCTGCACCAGAAGAAGGCCGAGGCAACCAACGCTGTCAACGAAAAGATCAACCAGTAGAAAACGGTCGCCAGCAGCCTGATCGCGCTTATACCCTCCCTTTTTCCGTTTTTCTTTTGGATTTGCCTTTGAAACATGAGGCATCTCCCAGTGTACTCCTCTTATAGTTTCGTTCTGGGGTTCTCAGTCTTGCGACAAGAGTGGAAAGCCAGCCCGCCTGTTCCAAGAGCTGGCACATTTACAACTTGAATCTTTTCGGGGTTTTCTCTTGCGTCTTATCCGCCTAGTCCTTCGCCCATCATCCCCAAAGGTTCTTTATCGCTCCCGCCGAGCACTCTAATAACGCCGATTCCGATGCTGTAGGCATACGTCCTCGTCATGACGCCAGGGAGGGGTCGGCAGCGTCCTACTTGGGAACGCAAATGTGCAGCCAGACGCGCCCGGGGTAGTACTTGACGTTTGTTGACGATGGATGTTACGATTATGTGCTATTGGTTCTCAAGCTTATGATACTTCGGATGTGTCGATTACCGGTGGGAGCTGAGATTGCCAGACTGATGCGGACATGGAAAGACCTCAAAATCGAGAGTTAATAGATTTCTTACATTTTATTTTGAATGGAATGCGTGTATTTCTCTGGGAATATGTCTCCTTCCTCTTGCGGTCTCACTTGTTGGGTGAGTTTGACATGTCTTGAGCCCAGAGCAGTCTAATAATGGGTTTCGAGCAGAACCAACAATACCTATTAATCTATCCCAATCACTCAGTAAAATATACATCTGTATCCATAGCCACCGTTAGGTAAGTCTGCTGCGCTAGATGAGTTTCCTCTTAGGCGCGCGTGTTGGTGGTTAGCTTGTTCAAGCCCAGGAATTCCTTGTACACGGCCTCGGTGTGCTCAAAGAGCTCAAGGTCGGCGAGATTTCTACAATGATAGATATTTTTCTCCGAAACTCTTAGCTTGAAGCGCAAAATATTATGCGAGCTTTAACTTGCTTGTCACAAACTTGCTGCAAAATCCGCTTATCCTAAGGCACTCTTACACGTTCTGTGCTTGGGGTCACATCTGGGCGGATGAAGTGAGCCACCAGTTATGTGCTTTTTTTTACTTGGAGGTAGCATCTATCCCAGAAATTGTGATATTGTGCTGGTATTCCCCTTTTCTTATTTCAACTTGGGTCCAGTTCGGTAAAGGGGGTGTGCAGAGCCCTATCTTTATCAAGACTTCTCTCCCTACCACACAATCATCCGCAAGTGCCATTTCAACGCCAAGATAAAGGCTGAAGAATATCATCAAGTGTATCACCAAAGAGTATTTCACAGGTATCATGTACGAAATTAAGACCTAGTCGGCGTTTAGCCTGCATGTATAAAAAGCTCGTCCACCAGAGCAGACCTGAAGGGCGAGGAGGTGTGCGAGGAGGGACAACCACAACTGAGTACATGTAACGGGAACTGGGTAATGAACAGATTGAACTCAGTCTGAGAACAAAGAAAGAATGTTGATTCAAATAAGTTACAAAGACACTTACTCAGAAAGAAAACCCACCTCTTTGTATAGGTGTCCACCAGTATGATTGATTGATACAACCTCCACCATGCGGTCAAGTTGCCGAACTGCCGTTTCTAGCCATTTAGGAATATGGTATCATCAAGAATTCTGCCAGATTATAAAGTCATGGCTATTCTATTGAAGCATGATTAACTTTTCTGCCGCTCCTTCCGCGTGACGTCTAAGTTTTTCAGAGTGCACAAATGCAACGTTTGGATACATCACTTTAAAGATGACTTTGGCGTTTGCACATTTCTGACTCATTGTCACCTGCTACGGGTACATAAAGACTACTTCTGAGCCCGTTCTGACGTGATGCCTCGTTTTATCCATCATCATCACATTACCCTTGCTTAAACTCATGCCTCCGACCTTCTAAGCTTACCAACCGCAGTCCTCGTCTTATTGACAACCACACAACACGTCACAAGGAGAATTTCCAAGAGTCAGCATGGTCATTGATAAAATCGAGAAAGTAACTCCAGCTGGAGTCTCCCCGCGGGGCAAAGTTGTCGTCCTAAATGGCTTCCCTGGCACAGGGAAACTGACCATTCTCAACAGCCTGCAGTCGAGGCTGGCAGGTCAGGACACTCTTATCATTGACAATCACTTCATAATCGACCCGGTACAGAAGATATACCCTGATCGGGGTCTGAATCACTACTACCTACGGCAGCAACTGCGCCAGGTCATCTTTAAGGAGATCCGAAAGATGGTAGACCGAGGGTGTGTCGTTTTGATGACGGCTTGTCTGGGAAACAACGAAGGGGACCGCAAGGTTTTGGATGAGCACCTTGATATTGTCCGCGGGACCGATATGCCCATGTTTTGGATCAACGTCGGCTGTGATCAGCGCACCCTGGAGGAACGCCTGACAAGGCCAGAGCGAGTTAAGGGCAACAAGGCCAAGCTTACCAACGTCGAGATACTACGAGGCATGACCAAGCACAGCCGGATCATTATGCCTTCAGGGACGCGGCACAGACTGGAGGACATCAACCTCGTAACCGCCAGTTTGGACGTGGGCGGAAGCATTGAGGAGGCTGTGAATAAGGTCTACAGGGTTGTGGAGGGAAAACACTCGAAGCTGTAGCATGAAGCAGCTGGGTCATTTTGGCACGAGGGCGTTTGGTTTGAACAAAATACGATACCCATGCCTTTGCTTTGGCTCGCTTGGTCGAGATTGTTTGAGAGGCGTTTTGGAGAAGAAAGGCATACTCCCGCCCTGCTGTTTGTATTTGTTGCTTTGATTCGTTGAATATATGTCAAAACGGCCTTTAACACCCATGTTAGTAGAAACATTATTGCTGTCGGCATGCATTGATTACCAGGCCGCTATTGCCTTACTATTGAACCACTCTGTGTCCTCCCATAGACACTCGTTGGCCAGTTCTATTCTATCCTTCTATTCTAACGAGGAACGATGCCCTAATCTCGCGGCCAATGTTGGCCATGGCTGAGATGGTTTATGATCTTTTTAGGTCGAGTAGACACCAAGTGTCATCGTTTGGGACCTCGGAGCAAGATTTTCATGTCATCATACCTCATTTCGCCAGTAAATTGGCACGAGTTGATCCCTTGATTCATTCAAGGTCGTATTTCCAGCAAATCGGTTAGGCGAGGCGGTTGAGATTATACCTGGCCTGTTACCTGGAAGATGCCTGCTCAGTGTCAACATGTTGTCATACCTAATCTTGAGCGGTTCGGTGATGAGGTTACTCGCACCTGTGTGCTAAATGTTTGGCTGGCGTGTATATACGGTTGACAATCCTATTCATGGCATAAATATACTGATGGGTTGTTACAGTCTCTAAATGCTGTCTCAGTGGTGACAGAAAGAAACAAGGAGAGTGCCAGCCAGAGACAACCTCAACAACAGCCTTGCTCCACGCGTCTACAAACATTCACTTACTACTCCGGGCCAAATGAGATGTAAGCACTATAATGTATGATCGCAGTCGACATCCATGAAATGTAACCAAACTACCAGATTGCTGGTCCAAGATAATACCAGTGCTGAACGCAACCGCCATAGCATTAACAATGTTACCCTAGACGGGCACAATGACATCGGCAAATCACTCAATGACCCTAATGCTAAAGAGCTGCTGAAATAGTACCGCATACTAGTATCGGCGGAACCGAAATCAACTGGTCCCAATACTGCGGTTGACCGTTGGTACAGGTAGGCGAACGCCGGGGCATATCTGCAAGACGCGAAACATTTGACCTCATGGTGATTTAGGCTATTAGCACAATATGCGTGTCACTGACGGATAGCTATTTCAAGGACAAGACGGAGAAACAAATTTGAGATTACCAAACAATGTACGGGCGCAAGAGTCGAAATGGGAGTAAGCCCCGATGTCTTCCCACGGGACTGGTGACGATCCCCGGCAAGCGATGACGGTGGGAGTGGAAAAAATGCAATGACGATTCGGCCTTGGACGGGCAAACTCCTGAGGCAGTACCGAAAGGAGGATCGACAAGAGTCCAGGGCTCCAAGCGAGGGCTTCTAGATAGGGACGGGAGGACAAGCCCAAAGGAGTCCAAGGCGACTGGGAAGAGAAGAGAAGGGAACTCTTCGGCGTTAGGATTTTGACAGGCAGGGAAGTTCTACGAGCTCGGAGTGCGCGTGGGTATGTGCGCAACGCGACAGAGAATGGGACGTTGACCCCGGGCATGGACATGGCTGTTTGATTAGACGCGGATCATGGGACGTGAGAGGGAGAACAAGGGCCGGCCGCGAGGAGGAGGGTTTCTCCTCTGCGGTGTTTTTCTTCAGCACATTAATTAGCAATGAGGCCTTGCCATGTACTACATGGTCGCGGCATATACGAGCAGAGGGCAAACGACAGGTCTCATCGACAGACATGTTAGGTTGACTGCCGAATCTGAGCTCCGTCGGAAGTCTAAGGGGGGGAACACACACATTTTGGTGAAACTGAGGCGTCCCCCCGTGTGGCTTGACATCCTCGGGGGGAAGTCTTAAGTGAGTGAATAAACTGTTGGACGAGTCAAAAAAAAAAAAAGGAACAAGAGAGAGCCGTTGGTTAAAGGCCGTTTGTCATTGTTGATGGACGCGAGGAAGTGGGGGAACCCGTCTGTGATAGATGAGTGACGGACGGGCGCCATCTCATACTTGAAACGCGCCGAGGCCATGGGGAAATCGAAGAGGATGCAGAGTGCATAGAGTAGCACTCATGGTGGGCCTCGTGCTAAGTGATAGCAGAGGTCCCCGATAGGATGGCCTCGATGAACTACGCACAGATGCTCACGGAGCTGTGTATCGTATCGCCAGTGGAAGAGGAGCACGTCCATGGCTTGTTCTCGTGTACCGAGGGTATGGGAGATGCATCTCCGTAACATCCTATGTACAGCCCAGTACCAGACAATGCAGGGCCACTAGCTGAACCTTTTCCCTGAATTAATGACATGCACAGACTGTATAATATCGCGGGGACCAAACGTCCCGGATTGCAACGTTGTCGCCACGAACATGTGGCGTCGACGTTGAACACACGAGAGACATGAGTAAATGGCGTCAGGCTTGACATTGCTCGGACAAGGCCTGTGCTACCTCCCGGCTATATATCGATCGAATATTGGTTGTATAAATGAAAAAGATTAGCAGCCGCCGCCGATGGCACTGATGGCGGTTGGGCCTCCTGTCCCGTCACTCCACTGACACTTGGGGACCCCCGGGGGATGATGCTTTATCTGTAACATATCTTACTCGTGGAAGTATTGCTCGGGCCTGTCATCTGATTTATGATGGCATCTCCTAATTAAGGGTTGATGGATGGCGCGCGCCCCTCATGTGAAGTCAAAAGTCAGGCAACAGATGAATCAATCAATTGAGCCCAACTCGAAACGTGTTGCTGTGATTACCCTTGAGGTTTGTAGTCTCTGTGCCGCTTACTTGTGAATGACATACATAAATAGATACATCGCTTGTGCAATGCTGATCCGCACAGGCAATCGACAGTGGGAAATGCCGTGCTGACAGCCTTTTGAGTGCATGCAGCACGCAACTCCGCATGCACCCTGTTCCCTTTCGCGAGAGAAGCCATTAGCACAGCAGCCGGACTTGCTCGCTTGAGCAGAGAATGAAGCCAGAGGACGCGCAGCCTTCCCGTTTCGTTTCTCTGCTCCAGGGGGACCCTTGTCGATCGTTTCCGCGCCTGGGCATGCTGCCCGTCGTTAGGCTGGTCT